GACTGACAGGGCCTGTCATCGACGGGAACGGTGAGAGCGCGTTAGGTGTGGAATTTCCGGACATCGGAAGCGAGCTGACAAGGGAGTGGAGCGAAGGTGCAAGAGTGTCGCCTCGATCCAGTACGTTTGGCAGCTGACGCAAGTCCGATCCATTGCCTTGGCTGACGAAAGTAGGGTTCATCATGTGGTGCTTCATGTCGGCAGGAGAAACCAACGTATCCCAGGGCATCTGAGGAAGAGTCGCGTTGCCAGACAGATATGCGGAGGAAGGCTCCAGTAACGAACCCCGACCGGGCGAAAAAGAGCGGTCGGATTCAGCACGATCGTGGACCTGACCAGTAGCGGCGGCTGCGGCCTTATGTTGGAAATCTGTCATCAACATGGCTGCGGCTTCAAGGTCGACCATACCGTCACTGCTTGCCTCAAGCTGTTCTAATGTGGTGGGATCAATTGTGATCGAGGGCTTGGATGGAGCAGGTGCAGGGGAGGACTTCTGAACACCTGCGCCTCCACGACGACGTCCTTCGGCAACAAGAGGTATCCCACCATCTTTGGCGTGAACAGTACGATCATGGCGGAGGAGAAGATCTCGACGAACGAAAGTGCTCCGGCATTTCAAACATTTAAAGGGTCTCTCTTTGGTATCTGCGCGACGAGAAATCAGTCGATGCTCAACAAAAAGATAAGGTTTGGTCGCGGATTCGGTCCTCCCCGCATCAAGGTCAACGGGAGGGAAATGACTTACGTGAGCGTTCATGTCTACTACGATGTTCACTTCTGCTGAATGCACGATTGCAGAATTGGCATTTGTATTTCTTCTCTGGGACGGTAGTCTTCTTGGCCGGCGTGTTGCTGGCCTGGTTAGATGCTGCTGGAGCCATGTCGGAAGAGACGGGGCAGCCGAAAAGCAGGACCACGAGTTCTTTCTCAGCAAAGTAGAAGCGGCGAGGAAGACTGCGGTATCGTGCCTTTTGTGAGTTCGCTCCGGTTCTGTAGGCGGGTTGACGACAAGAAATCGATTTGATGTCTGATCATTCCTTGGGCGGGGGGGTAAATGGTTGTGCGAAAGTTGATTTCGGAAGGGGTTCCAGCCACAGGCGGACCAAGAGGGGGAAAAGTAAGATGGAGAGAGATGCGACAATAATAGAGAAGTATAAGAGAAGAAGAGAAACGGTTGATCCACACAACCGTGTTAGAAAATATGTTGAATGATTTGGGAAGGGAGGAGAGAGGAGGGGAGGTAAGAGGGAAAAAGAAGAGAGGGAGGAGGGGAATGTTGAAGTGGATGAGGAGAAAAAAAGAGGGAGAGGAAAATAAGCAAGTTACGAGAAGAGGTGGAAGAAGAAGAGTGGGAAAGTTTCTGGGAGGAGGGTCTGGGTTCTGAAAGGGAGCGAGCGAGGGGTGGTGGACTGGTGGTAGACTGGTAGGAGGGGAAGAGGTACTCTCCATAGAGGGGGCCAAGAAAGCGAGAGTGGGAAACGGACTGCCAGGTCGTGTGCAGAAGAAGCTGATGGGAGATTCGGACGATCGCTGGATCGCAACAGTGAGGCGGGTCTTACAGTAGCCCAGTCTAAGGCTCTAAGCAGCAAAGCAGGGGCTCCAAACGGGATTCACGGAGCGGACTCAGTATGGAGTAGTGCCAGGACAACCACGCACTAGGAGTTCTTTTGCCACTGCCAGAATCAGCGTGAACCTATCAGAAATTTTAGAAAATACTTTCTGACTAATGACATGGCTGACTATACGCTTTTAGGTTAGACTTAACACGTCCATCCACGTCCTCTGAGCGAAGTACTGCGGTAATGCGTACTCTGAATAATACAAACGAAAACATACAGAAATACTTCCCCGACGCGCTATGTTACAGACCAGGGAAGCTCTCTCTCCAAGGACACTTCTTCTGGACCATCTGTCCCAAATCGGCCAAAGCCGAGTGAGCCACAGTGGCCATCACGCGCTAAAGTGCCATCCCGTCAACCCGGTTCAAACGGGGTCTTTTCGCTTGACTTAGCATACAGAGAAGACATCCACGCTATCACCAGCGCGTTCTGTACCCACTGTCGCACATGTCATCAGAGACATCATCCTCATCTCCGTCTTCCATGACCACAAAGTTACGTTCTTGATCTTTCCTGTACCTCCCTGAATGTAGTAGAAACTGCCTAGCTCAAAAGTTGAACAGCACAGTGTTGGGCAGCTGCATTAACATGAACTTGGTATTGACTATACGCAAATTGGTGGAGTTGCAAGTATGACCAGTAGCATTCTCCTTATCTAATAACAATTCTTTTGCTCTTCCAAGGATCCGATTGGTATAACGTAGATAATGGTGCATATCTGACAATAGGTGGATATATCATCCCTGCCCAGCCCCTTTCCTGATGATACCTTGACTTGTTTCTGCAAATGCAAGATCTATCTATCTACTAAATATTGATCTGTACCTGCACTGTGGACTACATCGATCTAGCTGCTTCAATTCTGTCCGTGGAGGATAATGATCGATCCCCTTCATCGAGAGTCTGACCGCAATGTGGGTTTGTTTTGTTGGTATGACGGGTACAGGTGGGGTACAAATCGCTTCATAGAACCATACTCCTCCAATTTGTACTGTATTGTTGTGTACCTCTCTATCTACGGGGAACCTATCCCTATCATCATCCCTCTCTCGATAAAAACAATCCCCTTGATCGTGGTCAGGCACTGATAAGAGAACCTGGCTTTTTAACTGCTTCTTATTCCATAATGCTTCATGGAGTTGATTGGGGCCTACTGCCTCCATTATCAAGTGTCGTAAATATGGAGTAGGTAACTAGTAAGCGAGACTACTCTAACCTCCGTAGGAACCTAGGTTTCTAGGCAGTAAACACAGGCACCTTAGCCCCTCCAGACAACGAAGCCGGAAGCCGAAGGCACCCCTCGTCAAGCCCCCTTGGCCCCTCCAAGACCTAGCAAGGATTCCTCATCGACCATCAAAATGCCACAACCACAAAAGCAAAGCAACTGGTCTCACATCTCCCTATCGGTAGTATTCATAGTCTGTTCCTTTCATTTCCACCAAAATCCTTCCAGACAAGCTAAAGTTCTAACAATGTTACTGGTTGTCGCTGCGCACTCATATTGAATTATTTCAATATTATTATTATTATTATCAACATTATTATTTTCTGGACTATCACTTCATTATCCGCAATCGCGGATTGAAAGGGGAAACAAAGACACCCCTCCAAAAACCCGCCACCCACTTATCAAGTGATTACCCCTCGGTCCCCTCCTGTCCTCATCTTCCCCTCTATCAAGATAGGGTCTTGGGGGAGAGATGTATGCTTATTGTCTGACTTGCTCAACCCCTCCTTTGCAACCATGGTTACGACGTGTAACCAACCTCAAGTGATCAAGACATCCGATTCAGACATTCAGTACTTGAAAATCACGAAAAAGATTTAAGTATCTTCCTCCTTGTCCACTGACTGCGCCTTCTTTACCAACTTTGATGCACTAGTGGCTTATGCTAAGGTAGTGTTCAATAAATAAATAATTCTAGTCTGTTGATCGTCGTTTGATCAAGCCTACTGTTGTTCGAGACCGGTGGTCTGTCACTATGACGAAGGCTAACATCGATCGCAGTACTCATGATTCCCAGGAACAGATAGCATAGTATCAGGAAGACTGTCGTGTGTACTATTATCCCACCATGCGCATGGCTCTCATATTGTTCCAAAGGATATAGAGAATGGAGTATTTTGGTTGAAGTCGCCAATGACAATAAGCTGTGGCATCAACCCGCCGTTGATAAATATTCTCCTACAAGTTGACACATAGATCTGACTTGGCTCGAATGGGAATTCGGGGCTGAAAGATCATATCTTGATGATAAATACAGCTCACACAGAATATCCCCTACCCCCATAACCTCGACGAGGTCCAAGAAGTAGTGTGTTGTACAGATCCTCCATGGCGATCATTCGGGAGCTGTTCAATGGTCACCTGCCCCAAAGCTCGATAGACAGCGAAGCAAATTGCAGCATCAAACTGGACAAATATAGAACAGACCACATCAGGCTGGTGAGAATCATGGCAGGCATGCAAACATACCTTATAAAATCAAAAAAAAAAAAAAAAAAAGGGCCTTTCTCCTTATGATGGAGACTCAAATAGTTAAAGACGCATTTGGAAGCAAGTCTGCATCATCACTACAGAAACTAATATTGTTTAATGCTTGCTGCGCCCAAACCCAAGATGCAAGCAACTCCCTAATTTTGTACCTTGTCGTATCATCCTTGCCCTCTGCATAAGTGGCATTAGGCGGGCGGCATTGATCTTCGAAAACTGTGGCTGCCTGCACTTACCAGCCTTACTCGGAGACGCGCTCTCATTCCGGTTCCACATCCAAAAATGAGGCGCCCCAGCGATACATACGGCGGACCCCGTATGTGTAAAGACATTACGAAGCAGAAAGCCGCCTGTTATTCTGTTTCCATGTTTTGACGTCGTAGTCGCATATCTTCAGTAAGTTCAGTTTGCCCCTCTGTCTACCCCTCCATAGAGGGCTATGGCTATACCCCGCATGATCTTTGACATCCGGCGGGTTCTCAGGTGGGAACCATGGATACAACGATGGGCAGCTGGAGCTGTTTGGAATTGGGTCTCGCTAGCAGGATGCCAATCATGTGACTTCTTAGATCAATAACACCCTGTGGTTATCACTGCTACTGCACACATGCCACAAGCAAGTCAGAGACAACCCTCAGAGGTGGAAGGGATTCCCGTAAAATCCCGAAGATTCTTGGTGGGCCTTTGTCTAAATCACAAATACGGAGTAGAGGAGTACATACTGCGTCAAAAGTCTGGAGTTACTAGGGTAACCCACATGACCCGCTTGGATAGTCCACTACCCTATTGGGAAAATACGCGAGTACGTACTCCATACCTTGCTGGCTCGGTCTCCGATCTCAATGCGCGTCTTTCGATCCTGGCAATATGAATCATAGACACGGATCACGGGATTAAGAAAGATGCACAGATCATTATAAGCGAGATCATCTATCTGAGATTACTATTATGCAATTATGCAGCGCACTTTCACCTCAACAGGACTTCAGATTGTCGTTCTGCGCGTCATCCTCTCCTTCACGATACTCAACCTGCAGGAAAACAATATATTTCGTTCACACCGCCCTCATCTTGTCTGGCCAGGCAAGTTCTAAGAGAGCGGTGAGCCGCAGAGCTTACGCTTTTCAGTAAGCACATGGGAGGAGAGACGGCCTGGCAGGAGAAACTGGACTTTACTCTCTAATTCGTAGCTCGCAGTTGTAATCCCTAGTTGGCTGGGATCTTTCCGATCCACTGTGCACCGCCATGCAGCGGTCCGTTCCATATCAACATCCTATCAGTGGTGAGTCCGCTCTTCAGGAGACAGGCGATGACTTCAACAGATCCAGCGCAGCCCGCCGGTCGAAGAACTCTGATTTGAGTGCTGGTCTACTGTCTAAGACTCTAATAGACACTAAAGGCTTTCAAAAGGCTCAATTGACTCGAGTCTGGTGAAACCGTCTCAGTCTCAACTTGACTGAAAACTTGCTCTTTGGGATCAGAGTTCAAAGACGAGGACAAAACACCTGCAGCCTGTAGACGGATAACTCCGTACTCCATAGCTAATGCACTATCGTTCCAAACGACTCTAACAACTGAAACACCATCAGTCCCAACAGGTTCTACGTAAACTATAAACACTTTTTGTCCAACATATCTGACAAACTGGATAGATCTTCGAAAGGGCTGCCCCAACTTCCAATCTATACAATTCCTGAACCGGATGCCCCTCCATCATTAATTATTGATAGCAGTAGTCGATTTATCCACCGCATCAATCAATAACCTACTATGCGTGTCTGCTGACTACTAGTACTTATGATCCCATTATTGTTCTCCACTAGGTACCGTTGCAGGAAGCGAGGAACAGCTTCCCCGGGGCCCATTTCCCAAGCTAAAGGTAGTGGCCATCGGTAGCGTCGTAAGTCGTCTTGGCCGACTAGATATGTCCCGACCCTGTACCGCGTTGCTGTCCTTGTTCGGCTGTCCAGTGTACCGCTACTTTGACTTCTGTCGGGAACTTCCCAAAATAGCCATTACTTTGGAGTCGGTGAAGCCTGATAGGGACAGACTTGGAGATAAACAACTGTCCTATCGCTATTGGCTTCGATATACAATTTGGTTGTTAGATGGCTATAGACGACAGCGAAATACATAATTTCCACTGTCCCAGTTTCGCTTACGGAGTACAACTGGCTGAGTCCGACTAGATCAACTGGTAGATAGACTTTCCAGTTTGCACTTCTGTAGACAATCACACGAAGACAGTGATGATAATCTCATGTTCTAGACCGTTCTTCGCTCTTCATGCCTCTGCTTCTTTCTTGAATTTTCTCCTTTGTTAGAGGTGGATCGATCTCCATTGTGTGTTTTCGCTAAAAGAGGGCTCGAGTCTCGCAGTTCTTCAGAATTAGCGAATGAAGTCGATCTCATGCTCAACATGATTGAGCTGTGTGATATGACTCGCTTATCACTTTATGGGGCTGCAAGGCTCATTATGGAGCAGATTGTCTTAATGGCCTTTTAAGGAGAGCCCGGCTTGATCATACTGTTTATATTGTAATTTGTCCCAGCTCAACATCCACGAAGAACTATAGAATCGCGTCTAGTCCATTCAGTGCGCCCCGGCTTAGTACAAGATTTGCGGTTGATATCTTAATGGTACCGTAGGGGGCGAGTTTGTTCCATGGTACTCATCCGTAGTGGGTGTCTGAACCGCAACTGTCAACTGGATGCGGTCAATGATATCCAAACAACATGTCGACTCCAAGCCTCCATCAGAGTTCTACAGTCTTTTTTGATGTCGCCTGTAGGATTCGAGAAGAACGAGATTCAGTTACAAGTAAGACTCTGTATGTGCGTAGGTAGAGTACTAGCTAGATAGTAGACAGTAGATACTACTCCTGCAACGATATGTTCCCAAATCGCTCCAAGTCCAAACTGAATTGCAGTCTTTGTCCTGTAAAACATACCTACACAAATAAATATTACTACTGTTAATGGCCTGGCTATCCTCCAAGACCGTTCATGTAGGTATGCACTACACAGGACTTCCAACAGGCGGTGTCGCAGACGAACTGTACCTGCGGGCTGCAACTAGACGCAGAATGCCAGAATCGGTTACAGATGCATTTGTTGGGATTATGATGAGTGGTCACCGCCTCTTCTGTCCCTGAGCTGAGTATGCCAGTGACAGGCTTGTAGTTCAGCCGCTCAACCGCATAAATAGTAAATCATTGTAGACGCCGATATCAACTAACATCTGACAAAGATGTAAGGTTCTTACCTGCCTATTGTGTCCATGCTTGGTCAGGATCTGACGGATGATGTATTCCAACAACATGCATACTCCAGACGGACGGTACATATTGTATTCTGTATTCTTTTGGAAACCGGAAGAAACCCAAGACACGAGTACGAATACAGAATACGGCCACTGAGGACCATCGTAGGCTCTGGTAGGCTAGCACTTTATCCCCGGACACTGTAAAACCCCAGCACCAAGAAGCCGGATCCCCTTAATCAAAGTTCCAAGACGATGAAAAGCATGGAAGGATAGAAAACTCTCCACCACCCCACTGCCACATATCTGATTGGATTCAAGAAGCCTTCTGGAAGACTCAAGAAGCCAGGTCTCAGGTCAGACTCTGCGACATCCAGCGTGGCCTACCGGATTAGCATCCGCTTCCCGCAGTCCCAGCTGGTTGGATAAGTGCGAAAAAGGGGGAGGGGCAGAAGTCGATACAGGATGGCCTGGCTAAGCTAGTAGTCTAGTTCTTCAGACTACATATTGCTTTTTTCGGGGTCCAAAATTCTGGGCTTCTGGACTCGTAAGTGGCCGCTGGTTTGACTTTTATTACGAACGGCAGTACGGAGTACCGGAGTATCCGTCCAGACCAGACGACCAGGGAATCTGCATCGATCGATTCGACAGTCTATCATCAAGAAGAGACGAATTAGTGGGCGGCTTGCGCAAAGCACAAACTTTGAGAGCCACAAAAGGGAACCCGGGGGATTGGTCCGATTGCAAGATGCAGCAGGGGAGCGCGATGCTTGCATTATGATTTGCCTTCCTTGCTTTTTTTGTTCTTGTTCCGGTCTGGTTTTTGTCATTTTTGACACGGTATAGATCCAAAGTATTGAGCTGTACTTCCTCGCGATGAGACCCAAAGGAGGATAAAACCTACTTCCATGCTAGCCCATGCTTCTGGATCAATAGATAGAAACATCATAGTTAGCGGACTTTATTTGCCTGCCGTCGGTCTACTCCTGAGTCAGAGTATCGATTGTGCTGGTAAACCTCTAATTGCAACTTGGTCAAGAAGATAATATTTCATTGAATCATTGCACGAGAAGTCGATGTAGAAAGCCATGGCCATCTGAGAAGGCCTCCTATTCTAAATAGACGACAGTGTGTAATTGAACCACTCCACATGCTAATTCTCACCCTCTTGCGCTATGCTTAAGATACCCTGGGGGCCATGACGCTGTCGTTCGACACACTGTATTAAAGGGGAGTATGGGAGTAGTCAATCTTTAGAAGTATTGAATTGCACTGCAAACTTTCAAACTGAGAGCAGATATCATGCCAGTTGATTGAACTACATCGTAGGGGTTGACATGAAGATTGACCTGGACGAAGTCTTCCGTCATAGATCCATCGATATCGTGGTATCCATCCTCTTCAGCGAAGGCTGTCGTCAATATAAATAAATTGTCTCTCGGTACGCCGTTGATGCAGCAGAAAAAGCTCCTCAAGCTTGAGGTTTCTCGATCTCTACCTGACCTAGCAGCTTCGTCATGGCTCTCGTCTTGCCCGGCTCGCAGAGCATTAGCAATCCGCCAGAGGTCCGGCCGAGTGAACACTTGGTTATAATAGAAGGACGCCGCGGATTTCTCATACAAGAACAGATATTTATGATGGCGGGATCTCTATATCCCTGTAGATTTCCTTTGGCAGCATCAACCGCGTCCTGATATGGCTTATGGTTCAGTAGCTTTTGTTCTGATCAACGTGTGTGTCTCGATCGGATTGGTTTTTGGGATTATTTATCAGAAAAGCGCATTTCAGCCTGAGAGAGCGTTTATGACTGGGAGAGTGCCATTAATTGAAGCTGATGCAATCAAGAGCTGTTTTTATGCCATAGTGCACTCAAGGAGCTGACAACAATCCGAGGTTTCTGTATGCATATTGCCCCGGAATTCTGATTAATACTGGTTGGTAGAGGGAGGGCTTAATAGAATTGAATACAAGGAGGTATAAATGCAGCAAGAAGCTGTGGACTCACACCATTAGCTGGACAAAGAGACAGAAATATATATTAACATCTAACAGATCTCAAGAGCGTTCTAACGAACAGATGAGGTTAACGTTAGTATACGAATCTAGGTCACTGTATTTCTGGCCCAAACATTAGACTTCCAAGGTTCTTCATCTCACTCTAATTGAACATTTGGTGGATATCGGGCCATTCTAGAATTCTGCTCCTCTGGTAGCCATCTGTCACGGGGAATCCGTTCACATGAGGGATCCTAACTAATCACGACATCCTTTGGAACAGTACAATAGGGCGATAAAGTCATGAACAGCCAACTGCTATGCTTGATAACGTAGGGGTTAGTCGTCAGTGAGAAGCCTGGCTGGCTTCCTTGCTCAGCTCTTGGTCTTTTCTCAGCCATTTTCCGCCGTATGTCCGACCTGACACTCGACGGGATCTCCTCCGAAATCAGTATCGAAGTGATGGGCAACAAGATACTTAAGAGAAGCATCAGACCGAGGCTGCTCTGCACCAGCAGCCTGTAGTTCATCTGAACAGGGATTATCCATACCTCTGCCAGAGGGCGCTGTCATATTTGAAGGAAGGTAACCAAGGCACTCATTCTGGAAGGGTTGTACAAGACAGCCTGCGCCAATTCTGCGGTGCCACTAGCAGCATCGAGTCCAAAACCAGTCTACCGAGGAGTGCAGTTGAATTCGTCACTGGAGCAAAGAGCCTGCAGAAGGTTTGAGGGATTTGGATGTCCAAGCTTTACCTGACGTCTCGAGGTCAGTGCACCAAAAGATGAAGTCTAAATCATAGATGTCGGAAAGAGTCATACCGCAGTACAGTACGCCTGGAAGCATCACACGTGCCATATATTTCATAAATGAAGAAGAATTTTACCGTCGAGCAGTTTACCGTCGAGTAGCTCAATTCACAGCCATTATCAAGCCGAGGATCATGGCAAGTAACGGCGAGCGCCGCAGGCCAAGAAGCTCTCAGCATGACCAGCGGGTAGTCTAGCTCTCAAGTGACATGATCAGTCGCGCACTTTGACCGGGGTCCTTGCTACTTCTGTGTTTCGAGGCGAGGAAAGAACTTGAAGCCAGATGTTTCAAGATAATGGATGCATATTATTGCTTACCCTACAGGAATCCTTGGTTCTATTATTTGACGGGCCGGCCCGACCTCTTCTTCCCTGTGATTCTCCGTTCCTAAATCCATCCCTGGTCAGGTTCGTAGTACTTGCGGGATTAAAAGCATAGATAGGCCGAATAGGTGTTGGGGAGTCGATGAACTGCCGTTTTCACCCCTGACAGTATGGGGTAGATAATCTGAGGGAAGATATTTGGAGTCGGTCCCACCACGTTGTCACTGAAGAGACGAATGGAGTTCGAACAACATATCCGGTTTTTCATGTGCATTTAGGCTCATCCTCTTTTATGATGGCAGTTGTCGGTTCGTCGCTTCTCTTGACTCGATGTTTAGCATAAATCACAAGCATACGTAAACGACGACGAGGACCAAGGAACAGCGGGAGACAAGACCGTCAAGAACAAGCGATGATCAAGAGAAGTATTTATCCGAACATTAGACAGCTATGGGGATGCGCCTTTTTGGTTCATTGGATGCTTCACGCGACCTACCGTCACTGTCCAACCATCAGAGAGCCGGTCCACCGAAAGTCTATCAAACGCGTTTCAATAAGCAAACAGACGGGAATCATTCGGAAAGTCCGCGTATCACCCTGATCGACTCATCCATCTGCAATAGTTTACAGCTCTATATGCTTGAACACATCTGTAGTTTGTACGAAGGTGTGCCGATTGCCGTGGTCATTGATGGGACATCTGGGTGCCATGCTTAGAGGGGTATTCGTGCGTACGGAGGACTCCGTAAATTAGGTAATTCCGTAGGCTCAGCAGATAGTGCTCGAGATTCGAGGATCATCTTGATGATGATGATGATGATGATGATGACGAAAGTTAGTACTGTATCAAGAAACGTATCATTAAAGCCTTGGAAAGATGCAATAACATGAAATATTATCTCATTGCGACGCGATCAAACTACCTAATCCAGGTTGTCAATATACTCCGGAGTAGATACTTTCTCCACTATCACGGGATAATACTGTAAGGTGTACGTTATGGAGTACCTACCTACCTACGCGGGTACCTTCATCTCTCAATGCGCGATTTACAACACGGAAACAATACCGGTCCATACAATGGTCGAGACTCGAGAGTCAGTCGAGACGCTGATTCCATCAATCTCTGGACCCAAGAAAGGGCCCGCACCTACATAGCCTGACTCAGAGAGGGGCTTCCTAGGCTCTAAAGGCCGCTTACTCATTAGATCCGAGCCTATCTATCTCGTAGCGTGCCCCGACAACTACCAAATAACATCCAGGTCAGCCCCATTAGGGCAAAAGGGAGGCACTTCCCGAGCAACCGTCGATACAAAACGCTCAAAACGACGATAATTTAATACAGTTTACTCCCCATTGCAGACATCATGCTTAGAGGTCTGTTTAGTAGCCAACGGGGGATCGGTGAGCATATGTACTCTTGTTCTGACCTTGGGAGTGGCCTGTGGGTGGTTCAGGTGGTGCCATTTTGGTATCTTACATGACGAAATCCAATGACGGTATCAAAAGCAAATCACTAAGGCACCTTGGCATTTTCAAGGATAGGCAGATACCTAGGATTTGAAGCACACCTAGGTTGCTCACTGAGGATCTGGATGCATTAAAGTCGTTCTCGTCAATAATACCATCCGTTCTTATGACTATTGCCACAATTTTGCGCTATGAAAACTGAATCATCGGGCTGAGATAGTCTAGCCATCCGCATTGCTCTGGTCCCATTGTAATTTTTGGTATCTGAGCAGTACAATACTGTAACGTTGGCACTCGACTGAGTCTACCTTATCCACTCATAGGGAGAGGTAGCTTTTTCCCCTCTCCTGCCTCTTACCCACCTGAGGCCACCACCACTTATCAGAGGTGCTCTTCTGGGAAACTCTCCTCCTTTTCGACGGATCAATCTGACTGTCTGACTGTTTTCTTCCTCTTTTCTCAACTTTCCTGGAGAGAGGAAAATGAAACACTTCCATCAATCCTTTTGATCGGCTGACGCTCTCAAGTGCATTCACTCCTTATCGAGTCCTTTCGTATTGGTCTATCTTAGTGACTCTTGCCACCAATAATTGAATCTCACCCTGCCACCATCTCCAACCCACCACAGTCCGTCTCCCGTTTACCGCCCCTCTCCTTAACCACCACCCACCACCACCGCTCGCTACTATCGAACCTGTCGGATACCTGCACTGTCTAGTCATGAGCAACGCCTTTGTTTGAGCTCGCCAGCATTAATCGCAGGGCGACGCAGCCGTCCTACGTTCATATTTTTTTACTTTCTTGTAGATTCTTCAATTGCTTCGAAACTCGATGTACGAAACCCGGGTGACAGAGCCCTTGGCTGTCGACACCAGATCTGCACTGGCGACCAAAACCCAGACTTTCGCTACTACTTTTGAGTTCATCGACGAGCAAGTGTCCACTCCTACATCTGGTCCTCGAAGTCGCAGCCGTGGAAACAGTATCTCCGTGCAGCAGAAGGGGTCGCCGGAGCGACACAGATCCCCCATGAAATCCACCAGCGATGGGCGCTACACGCCCAGCCCGGAGCCGGCGCCAGCACTATTCGTGCGGGCCATGTACGATTACGATGCCGATGACCACACGAGTCTCAGTTTTCGCAGAGGTGATATCATACAGGTTCTCAATCAATTAGAGACTGGCTGGTGGGATGGCGTCATCAACAACAGCATCCGGGGCTGGTTCCCCAGTAACTACTGCGCTATTATAACCGATCCAAGCGAATTAGAAGATCAGGTGGTGCATGCTCGCGACGAAGACGAGATTAGCGCGGAATCGGCTGCCGGTGAAGACGAATATGAGGAAGAGCACGAGCACGATGAAGATGAGGTCGACTCCGCAGGGAACCCGCGCGATTCGCAACCACTACTTCCTATCGAAGGTGTAGAAGCCCCCAAGGAGCAGGAAGAAGCCGCCTTCTGGATCCCGCAAGCGACCCCGGATGGCCGTCTATTCTACTTCAACACTCTCACCGGCTACAGCACCATGGAATTGCCATTTGAGAATCCGTCTGCGAACGAAACCGGACCCTTCGACCGAAGTAACTTTTTCGTGCCGGATCAGACTCGACCACCACCCGAATTGATGGCTCGCGGTTTCGAGCGCGACGAGGATGATTATGATGGCTCGGCGTCCGAGGCGGAGGGAGAGTCTCTAATGCTGGCCTCCCACGATTCCATGTCTCGTCGTCGTCGCTCATATATTGATGGCGTATCTCCTGCTACTTCCATGGACTCCTTGCATCCTCCATCCGCCACCAAATCGATCAATGAAGGCAAGATCTCGCACCAATCCAGTCGGGACCTGCAGAAAACAGCCACCGCCGGTAGCAATACGTCCGCGGCCATTCACATTCACAGACCATCCGTCTCTTCCCAAGCTCCTTCCCGCTTCGTCGATGACGGTCTCACGGCTCCTGTCACTTGGCCGATGCTCGTTGACAATATGCGTCACGCTATCGAAGTGTATCGGCAGACGCTGCTGGATGGAGATCGCTCCGAGTATGTGAGAAAGGCGGAAGACATATCAGATCATCTTCGCATGCTTCTTGCTGCTGGCTCGGACACTACAGACAATCACTCTGGGAACCCGTCGATTATCTCGCAAAACAAGCCACTCTATCCCCACTTCAGAGAAATGATGTCTAAATTCTCGAAACTCGTCCTCTCGTCGCACGTTGCAGCTGCCGATTGGCCAGGGCCAGATTCCGTCAACAAGTGCTTGCAGGAGGCGGACGGCGTTATGCAAGGAGTCTACGGCTACGTCGAAGTTGCAAGACAACAGCGGGGTGAAACCATTCGACGTATCGTTCCTGGATTCGTCGTCGGAAGCTCTTCGGGAGGCGGCTGGCAAAACAATGGTGTATCTCTAGATGATTCGGGCCCGACATCCTTTCTGGACCAGGATGGCGCTGATTCTCGCGTCGAACCCTCGGTGCCTCTGGACTCCGCTCTCCTAGACCATATCGACATTCTCAGGAGGTCATTTGTTGGGACTATTCGGCGACTAGAGGAGCGATTGACACTCAACCAGAAGAAGATTGTTACGTATGCGGAACAACGCGAGATTAGTGATTCAGTTGCTGCAGCTGCAATCAAGGTCGTTGAACAATTTCGTCCTTGGATTTCTGCTGTTGAATCCATCAATCTCGCACCGCTAGGAACAAGTTTCCAGAATCCTCAGTTGGTCGATTTCAGTCTACAGAAGCAGCGAGCCTATGATGCCATCGCAGATTTTGTCATTAGCTGCCAGGCTGTTTCCGCCCCCCTCGGCGATGAGTGGGCAGAGCTTCGCGGAGATTCTCTTGAAGACCGTCTGAATGCCGTGAGGAGTATCGCCAGGCAGCTTGAAAACTTTGTCTCTCAGATTGGTTTCTCCCTGTCGCTTCTTCTCGAACAGATTCCCGAGCCTTCTACCACCTTTAGGAGTGAAAGTCGTCTGGAGGGCGACAAGGAAGCTTACAAGGGCATCCATAGTCGCGGTGATTCTCAGGCAAGAATTCCGACAGAGACGATCGGAATTCCATCCTCGTATTCCGTTGATCCACCATCTGAAAAAGTTCGTCGCAACATGGATAAGGCTCAGAGATTCTTCGGCCAAGCCCCACCAGCCGCTATTACTCGGGAACCTATTCGGGAGCCTGTCCGGGAACCGGAGGAGACGCCTTGGTTCTTGAAGATGGATCACGAAGGGGAAGTGTTTTACGACACCAAGGCTGATGTGCCTACCTTGAAATGTGGAACATTGGCGGGCTTGGTGGAGCACTTGACTCGCCATGATAAACTGGACGCCTCTTTCAATAACACTTTCCTCCTCACATATCGATCCTTCACGACTGCGTCGGAGCTCTTCGAAATGCTCGCTGAGCGCTTCAACATCCAGCCTCCATTTGGACTGAATCCAGATGAAATGCAGATGTGGATAGACAGGAAGCAAAAGCCTATCCGATTCCGAGTTGTCAATATCCTCAAAAGCTGGTTTGAGCATTTCTGGATGGAGCCGAATGATGAGGCGCATATGAATCTTTTGGCCCGCGTTCACGCCTTTACCAAGGATTCCATTGCGACGACGAAGACACCTGGCTCGCCTCAACTGATGGCAGTTATCGAGCAGCGCCTTAAAGGTCAAGACACCACAGTAAAGCGCCTCGTCCCTACACAGGCCACCGCCGCTCCACCCCCATCCTTCCTAAGAACATGAAGAAGCTCAAATTCCTGGATATTGATCCCACGGAATTCGCCAGGCAGCTTACCATTATCGAATCACGCCTCTACTCTAAAATCAGGCCCATTGAGTGTCTGAATAAGACTTGGCAGAAGAAGGTTGGCCCCGACGAACCGGAACCTGCTACGAATGTGAAGGCTCTGATTCTCCATTCAAATCAATTGACAAATTGGGTTGCGGAGATGATTCTCACGCAGTCCGATGTCAAGAAGCGAGTTGTCGTCATAAAGCATTTCGTGAACGTGGCAGATGTATGCTGATTGCCTTCTCCCACCCTCTCCTGCTTCGATTCATGCAGACCGCTAACTTTCCGCACAGAGATGCCGCGCGCTCAACAATTACTCTACGCTCACATCCATTATCTCTGCTCTCGGGACGGCGCCGATTCATCGACTCGGTCGGACTTGGTCTCAAGTTAGTGGCCGTACGTCTGCCATTCTGGAGCAGATGCGCAGACTTATGGCCAGCACGAAGAACTTTGGCGAGTATCGGGAAACTTTGCATCTTGCAAACCCCCTTGCATCCCTTTCTTTGGTACGAATAGCTCGAGTCCCTCATATTATTACGCGCTTTGTAGTGACAAGTGGCTAAACTTCGATCAGGTGTGTACCTAACGGACCTGACGTTCATCGAAGACGGTATCCCGTCTCTTACTCCATCAGAGCTCATCAATTTCAACAAACGCGCCAAGACTGCCGAAGTCATTCGGGATATTCAACAGTATCAAAATGTCCCGTATCTCCTTCAGCCAGTCCCGGAACTACAGGACTACATACTCAGTAATCTTCAAGCGGCAGGTGACGTCCACGACATGTACGATCGGAGTTTGGAGGTGGAGCCGAGAGAACGTGAGGACGAAAAAATAGCGAGGTATGCTGCTGCTGCATCGAGTAGAGACTTAAGAAGTCATAGTACTATGGCCATCGCGAGCATTATTATCGCATCGCGATGATCAGGTCGGCTTGTCTTTCTTGTTTTCTATCTCTTTTCGTTTTTGTTTTCTGCACCTCCGGCGTTGAAATTCCCCAATGATACCCGCGATTGACATTTCGAGGATTTTCTTTTTTTTTTTTTTCGTTTGCTTTTTGTCCTTTCCAAGGATTGGTTGATTGAAGACTAACTTTGGTTTCCTTTTTATCCGTAGATTACTGTCGGAATCCGGCTTTCTATAGTCTGGCCGCTCCCACTGTATCGTCGTGACTTGCTACCCTATTGGGTGTTCCATGTCAGCGTTGCATGTGCGTCGCGTGCCGTCTCTTAGCGTCACATGCTACAACAAACCGAGGAGTGCGCCACAGCGATCCAAGCGTCATGATTTGGTGGCGGCAGCAGCCTAAACCCCGCGGATATTTGCTCAATAGCCAGTCAATTATCCTTTGCGGTGGTTGCTTACGCATGCTCCTTTCAACATGATTGCACCTTTGAAGTGAACATTACCAGATTGGCATCCCACTTCTTTGCGCCCTCCCGATTGACGGCTATGCCCTTCTGGCGTTCGCGATCGCCAGTTAGGTTCGGTACGGTTGCTCCACGTCGCGGCCATGTGACAGGAGCCGACTCTCTTTCAGGACAGTAAACTGTGGCTTGCAGCCTTCGTCCGGCGACATCCTCCGAGCCTGCGAAAGAGGAGTTGATGATACTTCCTCTTACTATCGCGTTTGAACAAACTCGCTGATAAAAGCTCGCCTGCGTGGAAGAGCTGAAGAATGAATGATCAACTCTAATGGCCAACTAATGAAGGCCAGTCCGATGTTGGCGGCCGCATTGGCATGATATAATGATATTTCCCAACGCTCTTTTCGATCTCTATATACCTGACGTCTCTTTTCTATCTCACATCGGCAGCAGAGAACTTAATATCCTGGTACCGATATCCTGTCTCGTGCGGCCCGGTTCTTTTACGAAACCAACTCCCACCGTATTTCATTGCTCTATTCTGATTTCTCATTGTATATGTTGTGGAACATCATTGCGCGCTTGGCACCAACTGGCCCACTTTGTACAATGACCTTCGCTATTTTCTTTGTAAGAATTCTGGTGTATCTTTAGCTTATCTGGAGTCTGTGGTCTGCTCCTACACATATACTCCTTATAGTAAATTTGATGATACTTCATGGCACAGCTTCTGTTGTCGGCTCTTTACTCGACGGATAATGATTAATTTCTTGTCCTTGTTGTCTCTTCTATTGCAAGCCTTTTCTACATGGATCGTCTTTACTGAAATATACAGAACACTACGCCTGAATGACCAGAGGTCTTGTGAGCGGACATAAACCATAGCAACTCTTCTTGCATTGTGTCATTGATATGAGGGTAACCAGACCCATCTCATATTGTGGAAGAGCTTTACGAGCCTGCTAAAAGAGATCATGAGGCACCCGTTTGCGTCCCCTCCTCGATGCCCTGAAAGAGCTTCATCTTAACCTCAGCTGCCAAGAGACCTTTTACTTCCTCGGAGACAATCCGCTGTCCGTCCCGTACTACCTTCTCCAGCTGCTGATCTTTAGCTGTAGTGGTACCACCTCGTGACCCACTGGATTCAATTCCCCGCGCGGCCCGCCAGACTTTCTGACTGAGATCCATCATCTGCTTACTGCCGTAATCCCGAGTCGTGAACAGGGGACTTTGACTCAGCGTAGCCACCCAGTATTTGTTCCAGAGCTGCGACAGAAGTTCCGTGTCGAGGCTGCTCTTGAAGAATGACACCTCAAGCGAGTAATACTGGTGCGCGTATGCGCCGAAATCCTCCGCCTTGCTGAGGGGAATAGTCTGGTAATCTTCATCCTCGTTTCCTTCCTTTGGAGGGGTATAATCCTTGGGGAAAGTGCGAAAGGCCCCAATGTCAACCTTGCCGGCGGAGATGGTGCGTTCCGGGTCAATGACGACAGCAACGAACGGGCCGCCGAGCTGCTGCATATCTTGCGTCGTGACATCGATCCCGGACAGCCAGCATCCATACCCGGGATGACTGTGATACCACCCCACTGCGTTCTCCATGCGGCCTGCATCACGGCAAGATTGCAGGTACGACACCATGTACTCATTCGCTTCTTCCTGGGCGTTGACGCGGGTCTCGGTACCTTCGACGGGGAGGCGGAATGCATCTGTTACGACGAACGTCTCGGGAAGAATATAGCCTTGCATCAGACCCATGACTTCGAGGGAGCCGCCTGAGCGAGCATGCATGGTCATTTTGATTAATGCTACGGCGGAGATGCGTATCGACTTGAAGTAGTGGGGGTCTTTGGCCCATGGCCGCGCCGCGCTCAGGGCCTTGTGTGTTTCTTCATCGTATCGGTAGAGTGCGTCCCGCTGAGGATCGATGAGGCTGATGGCGTTTTCGAGCTCTGATGGAGGGGCAGAAAGCCTCGGTGTCAGTAGCTCATCGGAAACCTATGCCAAGTGGGTCATTTAAGTACGAACCCCAGGACTGCTGTGCAGCCTGCATGACGGATATGTCTGTTGTAGAATGCCGGTATATCTGATTGGGTACAGAAGTAGAGATTGCCGAAGCGAACGGGACGCAGAAAGGATTCTAATCAAATGATCTCGTAACTTCTCTAGATGATGAGCTCTAGAATCAAGCGGAGATAGCTCGATAATCGGGAGTGGAGAGGCGGTGAGGGGTGCAGTGGCAGAAATGGGCGGTGGACGGCTGAGTAAGTGGTTGCCTGAGCGACAGGACGCCATCAACAGCCGCACCGGGCGAATCTTGATTGCGGCTGCATCTCATCTGCTGCACAACTGTAATCACAGGGTAAAGGCGTCAATATTATTGTTCCCTTTCTTCCTTGCCTCGCTCCACTGCCCCATCTTTCAGCTATTTGCTTTTCCCTTCAAATCTTCTCTTTCCCCTGTCCTTGCATACACGCGCAACGATCGTGACGTACATAAAGCCCTGCGGGCACCCCCCTTATTTCTCGCAGATGACATTCGGCCTCTGTTGATCTTATTCGCATGGTGGATCGCCACCTGTCTTGGATTCTGCGCGTGATTATTTGCTGTCGCTACCTTCACAGATCGAGGCGCTCTGTCGCCGGAGAATTTCAGAGCGCAGAACTCGCATAGTGCAGTCGCGCCCTCATTTCACATAATCGATCAAGAGTGCCGCTATCTCAACCCCATATCTGGGGCTCATAATCCCAATGACGGTCGACACGAGTTACTTGACCACTCAGGTCAACAATATCGTCACGCAGCTGCATGGCATATTTGATGATATTGGAGTTCCAAGCCATGAGCGCGAAACACGAGAGACGGAGGTATGGTGTCTCAATCTTGCGCTCGTTGTCTTGAAAGGTGGATGCTAATTGATTGAACCGTGTAGCTCTTCAGTGCTCTGTCTGAGACTCTGAACAACCATCTCAAAATTGTGGATGAGTAAGTGGCACCGGGGTTGATCGCGCTTTTCTCTGCTAATAGCATTCCGCAGTGAGAGAACCAGCATGACAGAGGAAGCGGAACGACTTATTACTGCCATTCAACAAATGGAGGAATCCTTAGTGGACGAGAAAGCCAATGGACAGTATCAACTGAATCATGACGATCTGCGCGTCACATATCCCCTCAACCGCTGTCTCTCTTTTCTCCGCGAAAAGCATGGAGCAATGAGCAAAATGCACCGGGAGCGCTTTGAACAGGTGAAGAGTAAGTGACGAGTTTCAAATGAGTCAGTTTAGTAAAACTCTCTAACAGGCAGTAGAACTCGTTGAGGCGCTCGAATCATACTCTTCCCATCTCGAGTCCTCTTTTGTGAACATCGAACTCCCCCCAACAGCACCTGGCTCGTCCATTGCGCCGAGCTTTGACCTTTCCCCGACATATGTTACCGCGCTAGATAATGAATTTACGAGAGTCTATGAAGAATACCACCGTCGCCTTGAGTTCGTCAAGACGACTTGCGAAGAGATCATCAAACTTTGGGCCGAACTTGGAACACCCCAGGTGCAGACGGATACCAATATCGTCAAGCATTACCGCGAGTCTCCTGAGCAGTTGGGCCTCCACGAGTCGGATTTGGCGAACCTGACGGCAAAGCGAGAGAAGTTGCTGGAAGAGAAGAGATCCCGCGAGCGCAAGTTGAAGGAGCTCCGAACCGCTGTGGAGTCGTTGTGGGAGCGCTTTGGAGTCGAGGAATGCGATCGAAAGGCCTTCCTCGCGGCCAATCGCGGATGCGGATTGCGGACGATCAACGAATTTGAAGAGGAACTGGCACGTCTCAATGAACTCAAAAGACAGAATCTGCACCTTTTCGTCGAGGACGCACGCTGCCGACTGCAGGAACTCTGGGATGGGCTCTATTTCTCCGAAGAAGAAATGCTTGACTTTACGCCTGCGTTTTCTGATGTCTACAGCGACGCGCTTCTCGAAGCACACGAGGCAGAAATTGCCCGGCTGGAGGCGCTGAAGGAGCAACGCGCCCCAACGCTGCAGCTCATCGAGAGGCATAAGAGTCTTCTTTCGGAGCGAGAAGCCCTGGCTGCATCGAGTCAAGATGCCTCACGTCTTATGGCGCGCGGCAACAAGGGAGAGAGGCGTGATCCTGGTAAGCTCTTGAGAGAGGAGAAGATGAGGAAGAGGATCGCCAAAGAGTTGCCCAAAGTCGAAGCAGATCTCCGAAAAGAGTTGGAAAGATGGGAAGAGGAGTATGGCAGGCCATTCCTTGTCCACGGCGAGAGATATCTTGATGAACTCACCCCAGTCGTTGCCAAACCTCCTCCACGCTCCAAGACACCCTCCGCTCCACCCTCCGCGAATTCAAAAGCAGGCTTTGGAAGGTTACAACCGCCTTCTCGTCCGGCAAGTGTCATGAGAGGGCCACCACCTCCTCGCTCCGCCACCAGAACGCCCACTGGAAACGGCCAGCCGAAATACAACACTATCGGCCCATCTAGGGCAGGCGCGAAATCACCCTCGAAGATCCCAGCCCGGGTGCCCCTGAGTAACATGCCTTACGGGAACAATTCCGCTGGCCATCGCGCAGCACCAGGTTCTTATTCTTCCAGCACCATGGGCAAGATTCCAGCGCCACGTGCGCCCCACCTAGGATGCGTGCTTTGACGATTGATCCCAAAGAGGACAGAGGGCCCTATTCGATGGATCCTCCAAGATGTGCTAGCGCGATGTCCAATGCCTTCGTTCGGCCTGTCAGCCCCGAGGACGTTTATGACGATCGCAATCAGCGATCGTTCATGAGTTCCTCTGTTTTCTCACAGCGATCTACCGGCTTCTCTCAGTGCTCTCAGTCCTCGGCCTCATCAATATCATCTGTTCCGAATTTCCCACGACCGAATCCTTACTTGCAACATGCGCCTCCGCCACCAGCGCCTAGACAGGTGTCAAACTCCTCAACTGTTGACACGGTGAACACAGGGTCTGAAAACTGGGAAACATTCGACGACGGGTCCGAGTCCGAAGCCGATGCTAGTGATGTCTACTATGCCAAACTTCGTGCTGCTCATAGCAAGCGATTCGCCCCCGAAGACAACGCATCTCTTGCGGGGAAAAAGGCCAAGGGTATCAGGAGCGTCAGCCCAGAGGAGCCGATTGATGACCATCATGGCCAGATAGTCAGAGTAGCTGGCAGTGATGCTGGTTGGACGGACGACATGGAGGCATACTAGAAGCTGATACTGCTGGGCATTGACGATTCCTTGATGACTGACCATCGTTGATACACCGCAAGTCAACCCTCTGTTGCGCAGAGCAGGGTCCCCTCGCTTTTGACCTGCGGGTGGCACCAAAGTCGCGCCAAAATAGCGTCTTTGATTCTCCGCGCCAAAATTTGGATTATACCACGTTTGCGACGTTCTTCTTGATTTGATTCTCCATGTCGTGGGTTCCTTCCCATGGCTCCTACTGCAACCCTGTTATGCCCTCTGCGCAGGAGGTGATATGTCGGTGGCGTTCCTTTTCGGCTTCCCACTCTCGAAAGAGACAGACCGACGGCTTTCGTGTACTATGCTTCGTTTGCGTCTGAATAATCAACCTTGAACTTCCAACCACGAAGTGCAAGGTCCTTGGCTGGCGCCAGTTCTTATGTTCGGCTTTCGCGCTTAATGTGCCTTTTGAATTCCCCGATCCTTGTGATCACATTCTGCTTCCATGCTCCTTGGTTTGGTTGGGTTTTGTGTCTTTTTCCTGGGATTTCTTCGATATTGTACAAGTTCGCATAGCATGCTATTTTCATGGATTATGATATCAGTGTAGCGCATTTTGTTAATATGCTTTTTTAATGAGATATTTGTTTATTATTCGACTACTCTTCCAACTTGTAGTAATAGTAAACGTAGAATACTTAGGCTTTACATGGCACCTGGTAGCTGAATAGTTAATGCCGTATGATGTCCAATATAGTACAGAATCCTGTGAGTTAAAATACATCATGCGAGGAGAAGGAACCAGCGACAAAAACCATCTAGGACCGCGGAGCAAGAGACCCCATCCAGGTTGTATCCTCGCCCTGCTGCGACTGAGATCTCTTGGGCACACGGACAGGCGACGCCTCAGCCGTGAGCTCCCTTGCCTCTTGAAGTCTGCGGAGCGATTCCGCCCGGCCCAGGATCTCCATCGTCTCGGGAATCCCGGGGCCTGGCGCACCGGCCGACAAAGCCCAGCGCAGATAGTGGTACAACTCCTTCTTGAAGCCCTTGTCTGCGTTTACGCGGGCCTTTTCCGCGTCTGCGTCTGTGCTCTCGGGTGCATTTTCTCCCGGAGAAGCGGGAGTGGGAGGGGGTAGGACGGCGGCCGAGCCATCGTAGGAGGCGATGTTGGAGCGGTGTGTTTCGATGGTCCAGTGCGAGGCTGGGACGAGGGTGAGGGCTGCGGCGGCGGTGTGGAGGGCTGTGATGGGGATGGTGGTGCCGTTCTGGGTTGAGATGGGCGTGTAGGGAGTTCTGGTGAGGATTGTGGTGAAGAAGGTTGAGTTGCGCTGGACGAATTCCGAAGCGTTGGTGTAGGATTTTGCGTCGGCTTTGAGGAGTGGGGGGATGTATTCTGCCAAGGGGCGAGAATCGAGGATGGTAGCGCTGTGGGAGGGTGAGTTGGGAGTCCTTGAAGGTGTGCTCGGATGAGGTACGTACAGTTGGTCTGCTGGGTAGGTTTCTGCGACGGCCTGAGAGACCTTGGCGACCATGTCGTCGAAGACGGGTCCGCCGGTGGAGGCGAATCGCTGCGCGTGGGCCTTTTGTAGGAACCAGAGCTTTTCGAAGGCGACGACGGTATTGCCGCGAGTGATTTTCAGGTTGAACTGGGGGCTTGTGAGCAGAGCGATGGCGGCCCAGGGATACAGGTCAACTCACTAGTTGCTCCAGTTCGTCGAGACTGAAGACGTCGGACTTTTGGGTGTGCGACCAGCCCAGGAGAGCGGCGAAGTTGACAAGTGTGGCTGCGAACACGCCTTGCTTATCCTTGAAGAAGCTGAGATCGATGTCTGCGTTTCGTTTGCTTAGCTTCTGGCCGGACTTGTCTACCAGGAGGGGGACATGGCCGAAGCGGGGAGGCGTCCAGTTGAAGGCATTATACAGGGCGACATGCATTGGTGTCGAGGGCATCCATTCCTGTACGAGTCAACATCTGCAGTTTGTTTTTCGAGGTTATATACTCACGGTTCCCCTGATCACATGGGTGATCTTCATGCAATGATCGTCCACCACATTTGCCAGATGGTAGGTCGGGTGTCCGTCAGATTTGAGCAGGATAGGATCATCGTAGACTCGCTCAATGAGATCCAGCTTGTTGTTCGAGCGGTTCTGCCCGGTCTTGCCATATACCAGGTCATCGAACATGGGATAGCCCTCTACCTTCAAGCGCACGACATACGCTTCGCCTTTTGCGGCTCGATCCTCCGATTCTTCCGCGTGGATGTCTGCGCACTGTCTGTCGTAACCAGGAGGTAGACCAGCCTGACTGCGATGTCTCGCGAGCGAGTCGAGCCGTTCTGTAGAGCAGAAACACCTGTATGCGTGACCGTTTTTCACCAAATGGTTGGCATGTTCGCGGTAAATGGCCGTTCGCTCGGACTGCAACAGACCGTCTCAGCCCCAGTCCCACAGCGTTTGTCTTCCATATCCCTGGGCGCTTACCTGTCTGTACGGACCGTAGGGACCTCCAACCAGCGGACCTGTATGAAATAGCCCGCATCAGCACCTCCGTCCGTTTTTGGAATCCGCGCAGAGCCTCGCACCTTCATCCCATTGTAACCCAGCCCATTGTAAATCCTCGTATAAGCGTTGCTCCGCACCGGGTATTGTCCGTTTCTGTACCCTCCGTTAGCCCTGGTCACAACGTTAAAACCTGCCGTGCTCGCTCCAGGGCCGAACCTGATCTGTATCCTCGATTCGCAGTAGGAACTGCCCCCCGTCCGTTTCGCCAAGAGGTAGTTGAACAATGCGGTCCGCAAGGATCCAAGATGAAGGTATCCGGTCGGCGACGGTGCGAACCGGGTTCTGGCCGGTACATCGGGGAGGTTCTTCTTGGACTTGTTGCCAGCGCGGGCTGGCGCGACGGAGGAGTAGCTGGCTGCTCTGCATCGCGAGCAGATCCACGATCGACGGGCCAGGAGCCCCAGATGAGAGGGTCTCATGATGCAGAATGCTATCTGTGAAGACGCGCGCTACTTCTGAACACCAGCAATAATTATAATTGTTGTTGTTGGGTTGCGTCCGAAATACGCGGATTGTCATTCGACCGCCGCAGAGCGCAGGGACGATAAGTCGGAGATCTGCAAAAAAAACACCGCCGACTGCGAAAAAAAGCGGGCTAAAATTTCTGGGGTTCCGCATCGTATCAGTCACGATCAAACACAACACATCCCCTCATCAGCAAATACCTTTATTCACTTCCAGAGCGCCTGTCTTCTGCGCGATAAGCACCGCCAACCCACTGTTAGATTTCTCGGAGTGCTCGGAGGAGGGGACAGCCTTGCCCAGTATGCTTGTGTTGGACAGTCTCTCTATCGTTAACAATCGCTTACGCTGACCAGATGGCTGGTGTTGAGATCGACCTCTATGGTATTTCTTCTGCTCTTCAATAGCCCAACAATAGCTAACGGAAACGTACCCATGCAGAGGTCCTAGAGGTGTCTCGAAGCGCAACTAAAGACGAGATCCGGAAGGCTTATCGCAAGGTCGGAAACGCACACCGTCCTCATTCCAGCCGGGAACAGAACAAAAATTACTGACTCGATGATAAATGGACAGGCCGCGCTCGCGAGTCACCCCGATAAAGTCCCCGAGGCCGAACGAGAAGCCGCAGAGGTACGATTCAAAGCCGTCCAAGAAGCCTACGATATCCTTTACGATGAAGACAAAAGACACCTTTATGATACCCATGGCATGTCTGCCTTCAATGGCTCCGGCGAGCCCGGCATGGCAGGCGGGCCGGATCTAGACGACATACTGGCGCAGATGTTCGGAATGGGTGGTGGGATGCCCGGCATGGGCGGCATGCCTGGCGGACGGCCTCCCAAGCCTCGACGGAGCCCGGACGAGAACACAAAGTACGAAGTGCGACTAGAGGACCTCTACAAGGGCAAGACGGTCAAGTTTGCTAGCACAAAGAATGTCATTTGCAGTCTGTGTCAAGGTAAAGGTGGTAAGGACAGGGCGACCGCTAAGAAGTGCTCGACGTGTGATGGACAAGGTATGAGGCAGATGTGGATATTATTCTCAGGAAGATCTAAGATTGATTTGTACTACAGGTTTCAAGCAAATCTTGACGCGGATGGGACAGTTCCTTACGCCATCAACGGTGACGTGTTCGACCTGCAATGGACAGGGAGAATTCTTCAGTCCCAAGGACAAATGCAAGAAGTGCAAAGGCAACAAGACAGTGGAGGAGAAGAAAATGCTGGAGATCTACATCCCCCGAGGAGCAAGGTGAGTCACAAATCATGGCACTAGGGCGCGAAACCCTCTGGCTAATATCCGCTTAGAGAAGGAGATAGAATCGTCCTGGAAGGCGAGGCGGACCAGGCGCCGGGCCAAGAACCTGGCGACATAGTGTTCCACATTGTGGAAGAGGAACACCCAACCTTCCGACGAGCCGGCGCAGACCTCACAGCCACCATCGACGTCACATTGGCCGAAGCGCTGACCGGCTTCTCGCGCGTGGTTATCAAACATCTCGACGGCCGCGGCATCGAAATCACTCATCCCAAGACCCCGGTGAGGTATTATCACCCGGTCAGGTTCTGAAGGTACCCGGAGAAGGCATGCCGCTTAAACGCAGCGACGCCCGGGGCGACCTGTACCTCGTCGTCAACATCAAGTTCCCTGACGCCAAATGGAAGCCCAGTGCAGCCGTCCTGGAAAGACTCCGAGAGATGCTGCCCAAGCCGGATCCATTGATCCAGGCCGACACAGTGGACGAAGTGGACTACGACCCTAAAGGAAACCTAGATGAGTTTGGAGCCCGCGATGGGCACGGTGGCTCCTCGTGGGAAGACGAGGACGAGGACGGAGAGCCAGCGCAGTGTGCGCCTCAGTAGATTCTTTCTCGTATCGCTTCTCTGCTCTGTGCTTTTCTGGTAGATATGCTCGATCCAAGCTGAGGCGAGCCCTTCCTCTGGCATCGCAGGCGTTCCGGAATTGATTTATTGGCCTGTTTTCGTGGGAATGCTACGATTGACCTTGTCGTTCCTGTCTATTCCAAGAAATTTTGCTTCATCTTACTAGAATAAACCCAATCAGAGCCAAGTTATAGACCTGCAAGGGAGTTGCAAAGACCTCAAAGAGCAGGTTAGCAAAAATGGCAATGACCAGTTGTTGAATCGTGTGCGCCGTGGAGCGTGGGGTAGACAATGTGGGATGCCACTGGGGAGTGGGATGAGACATTTACAGTATTGCAGAACAGAAGTGGGATATCGTCAATACTGCCTCAATAAGCATTTCATTTCATTTCCTCTTGGAATTTCTTTATTTCTTTCATCATTGTTTGCCAGGAATCTAGAAGAAAAAAGCAATATCGGTCACCTGCGTTCCGACAAACGACCGCTTTGTTTGGCGTATATTGCTTTTCCTCGGTCTGAGGCTGCTACGGAGTACAAGGAATATGTATAAAAGACCGCATATCCGGCATCATCAGCGTCATACTTTCTCTCTGCTTGATAATCTACTGTCATCCTCATCTCCAGCATCTACCCAATGCGACCCCCATGCCCCAGTTTCCGGTAGCGTGGGGTATCTGAGCCGACCGCATCCATTTTCCAGGGACTGACTGGGATTGATCCATCAGTCATACATCATTTGAATTGAGCCTCTGAGGACTGATCCTGGCTCGTCTGCCATTTAAATAAGCATTCGTCTCCCCTGGTCCCTGTTCGGGCCCTTGTTCTATTGATAACCATTGCATCAGCAATAAGGTGGACTCGGCACGCCGGTCGGAGCATCTCCGCTTTTTCGGCATTTCCCCAATTAAGGTTTCCCTGTCCCCATCGTACATATTCAGCGTCATATTCATATTCTGGACCAGGCTGGTGGTTGAGATCACCAAAGGCACTTGACAATGCCGTGTAACACGCAAGCCTCGGCCTCATGCGAAGGCTGCTCCTGCGATGCCGGTGCGAATCGCGCGCCGGTGAACATCGAAGATTGCGAGGCCGAACTGCTTGCTCTGCGGAAGCGCACTCTTGAGCTGGAGAAGTCGCTGGCGTCCATGACGACTAGCGCCGCGAAGGTGTCGAGAGCTGGCCGCAAGCTGCGGTCCTCCAGGTGGTTCAATTGCGAGAGCAACCCCGGCATGATGGCGCTCTATATCGAGCGGTATCTGAACTACGGCATGACCAAGGAGGAGCTCATGTCGGGGAAGCCGATTATCGGGATCGCGCAGTCCGGCTCGGATTTGGCGCCGTGTAATCGCCATCATCTCGAGCTGGTGAAGCGGGTGCGCGAAGGCATCAGGACAGCAGGCGGGATTCCCTTTGAGTTCCCGACGCATCCGATACAGGAGAGCTCCAGGCGGCCGACTGCCGCTATCGATCGCAATCTGTCGTACTTGGGCTTGGTTGAGATTCTCCATGGGTATTTCCTGGATGGTGTTGTGCTACTGACTGGCTGCGACAAGACGACGCCGGCGGCTCTAATGGCTGCTGCTACGGTTGTATGTGACCTTTGCTCGCACTTTTCTGGTGCCGAACGGTTTCTGACACCTTTCTACAGAACATTCCCGCAATATGTCTCAATGTCGGTCCCATGCTCAACGGTTATATGAAGAACGAGCTCGCCGGCTCAGGTATGGTGGTATGGAAAGGCAGAGAAAAGTATGCCGCCGGCGAGATCAGTAAAGAGGAGTTCATCGATTACGTGTCCCGAGGGTATGTCCCGACCTCACTCAGATGACTCACGTATTCTGACTCCTTGCAGAGCACCATCCGTAGGACACTGCAACACAATGGGAACCGCCTCGACCATGAACGCACTTGCCGAGGCCCTGGGGATGGCGTTGCCCGGGTCCGCGGCCATTCCTGCCCCATACCGCGAACGAGGACAATGCGCCTATGACACAGGCTTACAGATCGTTGAGATGGTGCATGCAGATCGAAAACCCAGCGATATCATGACCCGCGAGGCCTTTGAGAATGCCATCGTCGTGAACACCGCCATCGGCGGCAGCACCAACGCTCCAATCCATATTGGCGCCATCGCAAAGCATATCGGTGTAGATCTTTCGCTAGATGATTGGGATCGACTGGGATTCCACATCCCTCTTTTGGTGAACATGCAGCCAGCAGGAGAGCTACTGGGCGAAGAATACTACCGAGCCGGCGGCTTGCCAGCCGTCATGGCCGAGCTGCTCGACGCGGGCAAACTGCATGCCGACATTCTAACGTGTAATGGCCGCACCGTGAAGGAAAACGTCCAAGGAAAGCACACGTGGGACCGCCGCATGATCAGAGCCTACAACGACCCGCTCATGAAAGACGCCGGCTTCTTACACCTCAAGGGTACCTTGTTCAACTCCGCCATCATGAAAACATGCGTGATATCCGCGGAGTTCAGGCAGAAATTCCTCGAAAACCCGGACGATCCGAACGCGTTCGAAGGCGCGGTAATTGTGTTCGACGGGCCGGAGGATTACCACCATCGCCTTGAAGATCCCAATACACCAATCGACGATAGGACTATCCTCATCATGCGTGGTGCTGGACCCCTGGGGTATCCAGGCGCGGCAGAAGTTGTCAATATGCATCCTCCCGGACGCCTTCTACGACAGGGTGTCCATTCGCTTCCGTGTATCGGCGATGGCCGACAGTCTGGCACGTCTGGCTCGCCGTCGATCCTGAATGCCTCCCCTGAAGCGGCGGCTGGTGGCAATCTGGCGCTTCTTCGAGACGGAGACAGACTCCGTGTCGATCTTAACAAACGGCGCGTCGACATCCTTGTACCCGCGGAGGAACTGGAGAAACGAAAGAAGGAGCTAGAGACCAATGGCGGTTACGGTGTTCCCGAGAGTCAGACTCCCTGGCAGGATCTATTCAGGAGGGAAGCGACGCAATTGAGTGAGGGGATGGTCCTCCGTGAGGCAGTCAAGTATCAGAGACTGGCCCAACGATTCGAGGAGCCCAGACATAATCACTGAGCGTACATTGATGATCACTGATGAACGCGTCTTGACATTTCAGGAATTCCCCGTAAGACTTCACCCGACGAATAAGAATTAGGAAGCGATGGGTTTTTCCTCGTCATTTTACTTAATTCCGCGTTTTGACCATACCCGAAACCATGAGTGCGGACATTTCATCGAGATCCAGGTCCCAACTTTTCGCACTTAATAGAGTAATGCAATTGTAGTCGTGCGCGAATTTCTCCTTTCCGTCTTTTTTTCCTATCGAGGAGAGACTACGCCCGAGTCGCTTACTCTCTGTGCCTCGGAAGGCTCCGCTCCTTACCACCGCCGAGCGAGATGCTGCATCTGTGCCGGAGGGTTTCTTTGGTCAAGTTGCCACGGTTGATTTGCCGCCTGGCAGAAGTCGTGCCTCCCTACAATGACGAGGAAGGGGTCATTCCTTCAATCCTCATGTTCGCAGCGGCAGACAGCAGCCGCACCGCCGGCATGATGTGCTGTACAAAGTTAAGATCTCATACCTGCCGAGAGGTATAGCGTGTCGATACGCCCAGGCGACTATGATAATGCGGTGATAGGACTTATCATCACTGATCACGACCCGGGCCAATTCGTAGTCATCAATTCGTCCGAGAATAGCCTAGGACTGTTGACGCTGAAGCTCAGATCTTGACTCTGCAGATCAGGTGGCAGGAAAGTACCTAGGAATTCAGGCATGATGAATGAGTCAGCTATAGTATGGTCAGTTCAACCTATTTCGGTGTGTCATCGGAGACTCACGCTCATAGAAGCCATTGCTATCCGGTAGCCCCTTCTCTCCGCCAAAACTAATGCCGAAAAATGTGTTTTGCATCATTGGAGGATTTCTCTGAGCGCTTACATACCCAAGTTCTCTGCTGGCGTCTTCTTTAGGCTGACTATCCCCTTCCTGACCTTTGCCAGTTCTGGAAAGCACGATATTGATGGTTTCAGCGGCCTTCTTTGCTTCTTTAGAAGTCGAGGACCTGCGCATCCATACTGTCCTCGCTCTCCGCAGCGCACCGCGGATCTCATCTTCCCGCTGTAGTGTCTGCTCGTGATACAATAACGAGCACAGGATCATGGTGGCCGTGAGAAATTGGTGGTTCATTATAGAGGTGACTCGCCAGCGCATCGTGTGAAGCTGGCCTCCGGGACAGGTTTCCTCATCGAGTACGTGCTGAATCGCAAGTGTTTCCAACGAGGCATCGAGACACGCCTTCCGAGAATACTCAAAAATATCCTCATGCTGAGATGGGGACCGCATGTAAAGAAATCGCCGATGCAGCATGACCTGTCCTTTGTAAAACATATGCCTGATGAACAGCCTGGCCAGAATGACCTGTGGAGAGTCCGTCAGGCTAGCTGCCATGGGCTTCATCTGCAGGGGCGGCGGAATGCTCGCAGCCGCTTCATGTAAGAGACTATCTACTCGCATCACTTCTGCGTAGCTGCAGGGCTGCACTGCGCTCGTGAGGTCCGCGATCATGCCCAGCGCCTTCAACATCCGCCTGCGCGCGATGACACCCAGGGCCGTCGTGTGCTCAGTTTCGGGTCGCGGTTGAGGCAACTCTACGGTATCCTCGTCGAAATCTGCATCGTTGAGATTCCGCGGTTCCGCAGTATCATACTGCCAGTCAGAGATCATCCGTGGCATTCCCATCTGGTTGGAGATGAGAATATCACTCATTAGCACTGTCGCCCATAGCCGCCGGCGCATCTCACCCCGGAAAGGCGAGATGCCGGGAAAGTGACTTGGGTCACGGTGGTAACCCATGCGCCGGGCGAGGTTGACCTCCAGGGCGAGCAGAAACCAGATGTCCTTGTCGGCATCGGCACGGATGCAGAATTCAACATAGACATAGTTGATGACCGTTTCCAAGGCGTATGGGCCGCACTTTGTATATTCGCCCATGACTAGGCATTGCACAATTTTTTTGCAGTACAGATTCACCTGGAGGAACTGTTGCTCGGCCTCGGGTCCTTCGGGCGGGTCAGACGCTAGACATGCGAGACAGATCATAGCGAAAAGGAGTCCGACCCATATGATTGGAACATCGTACGGATCGGCCCAGAATGCCTCGTACTATACGTGTCAGCACAGCATCGTTGTGGCTGGGGTGTAGAGCATGTTTACTTACCTCGCGCAGAAAGCTCGGTCCATGAACCGCAGCTGAACCGCGTCAGCGAAAATGAGCGTTAGACTTGGCAGCAGTGGATGGAAGTGTTCCTACAAGACGATACAAGATCCAAATAGTTGAAGTAGCGAGAGATGTACCGATCGACAGCGTTTTTTGGTGGCAATGCTGAGAGTATTTCATCGCGTGACGTCGCGCGGCGACATCCATACAGCAGAAATGCGCCATTGGACCGGGACCTTGCAAACGGTTCACTGCTATTGCCGACCCCATGCTCGTCCTCAACCCGGTCGGAACTCTGAGCTAGCCGCAGCTGTTCTTCACGGTCCAGGTGGTCTTTCAGATCGGCGATACCGTTCAGTATGGCAACCCAGTGTTCACCTCCAACGTAGCGAAGCTCTGAATCAGTAATCCGCATGCTTCCACACTCAGATTGTCCATCAACTGGTGTATCTATCGGCATAGTTTCGGCAGGAGTGATCCTTGCGGGCAATGGTGGCATACACACCTCGGCAGACGAACTAGCATTGGGTCTCTCATTCGAGGACTTGGGCATCATGGACGTAACTAAGCGCTCCAACTGTACAAGCCGGTCATGTACAGTAGGCACAGCGGTTGAAGACAGCCTTGGCGAGCCCGTCGTTGGAAGATTTTCAGCGTATGTACATATTTGACCGCGAGCAGAGCAAAATGAGCAAGGTCTTTGACGGTCACACTTTGATCTGCAGAATATGAATACTCAGCCTCGCATCCTAGAATTAGACAGATAGAAATCACACAAGCCGCTTACTTTCGACGTCGACATGAGTTGCAAGACAGCTGAGGCTTATTTCGACGTCGACTGGGATTTGGAAGCGGGCGTGACATAGCCAGACCAGCCTCTTGAGGTGTTCCATATGACGATACCAATGAGAAATGTCTTGAATTTGTCGTTGACATGGCTGTCCCGACTGTGATTGGGGTCATGTTGTTCCTGGTGGGCATCAATGGCGCCGGCTACAGGCAACTTGCATCGTCCAGGTACCCTTTGCCACTCTGCAAGCTAATTTAGCATTTACGAAGCTTTAGCTGCTGTGTCAGCAAAGATAATGCCATAAAGAATATGACGATCCGACGGTCCTTCCGCCGCAAGGAGTGGATGTTGACAGATAACAGGGGAACAGATGAGGAAGACCAACGATAGTAGTGATGATCACGTGATGAAACAAGCAGGTGGAATACTCCTGTATCATGTCCATCTCCCACTGACTAGACCGAGCATTGAACGCAGAAATCGAAATAAAGAGGCCAAACTGAATGGGTCTCTACATAAGTCACTATGTTACTACAATAATGGATCCCCGATCCTCCGATCCGATCGTCCGACCATCCGACGCCCCACTGCGGATGATCCACACCAGTATATACAAATCTCCAGTGACAATATCATTCTATATTCTATCTACACCATGACTGACCAAAGCTCCGATCCTCCTGATTGCCTCCGGTGTCAATACTGAGGCTGGACAGCATCACATTTCTGATCATGGTCGTCATGCCAGCTGCCAATGAATTGTATCTCCTATCTCCGTCCTATCTCGCACTTTGTTTACATGGTCTTGCCCGCAGTGGCAGTCTCTTAAATACAAAATACAGCCATGCCTCTGCCAACATGTTTTGCAGATAACTCAATTATTTTTCCTCTTCTCAGCAGGTCACTTCTTTGGTTTGCAAGTGCTTTCAACACATATTGGGTCCAGACCTGTCATTATGTCCAAGTCCGAGTGTAGCTCCGACATGGCTACGAACCAGCTAGAGAAAGGCATTGACAGTGAGCTGGAAGAAACCAATCTTATCGACTGGGACGGTCCTAACGATCCCATCAATCCCAAAAACTGGCCGAAGCCCAAGAAATGGACGCATATTGTCATCATATCCCTCCTAGCACTCACCACGTAAGTCCTGTCCCTCTAGCTGGTCAGGTGCTGTGTCTGAGTGTTCACCTTGACGTAGGAATATGGCTCCGACAATGTGCGCACCTGGAATCAGTGGTATCTCTGCGGACTTGGGCATTACTTCCAGTGCCGTCAGCACCCTTGCCATCACTCTGTACGTCCTTGGATTGGCTATTGGACCCATGTTCACATCACCCCTCAGCGAGGTATACGGACGCGTGCCGGTATACCATGCTGCCAATATTATCTTCGTCGTCTTCATTATTGGTAATGCGCTGAGCCGGAATGTCGCTCAATTTTTGGTTTTCCGATTCATATCGGGCTGTGCGGGCGGCACCCCAATGGCTCTAGGCGGAGGTACCATTGCAGACATCACCACTATTGAGCAAAGAGCAGTTGCGATGGCTTTGTTTAGCATGGGACCACTTGCAGGACCGGTATGTGTTATCATTGGTTTGCCTTTCGACTTCCAAATAACCAGTCTGATCTCGCTCAGGTCCTTGGCCCTGTTATCGGAGGCTTCCTAGCTGCAAGCAAAGGCTGGCGCTGGACTTTCTGGTTGCTAGCCATCTTGGGAGGATTCTGTGGCATTTCGGCTTTTGTTGTCATGAGTGAAACACATCCCAAGATCATCCTCGAGCGCAAAACTGCCAGTCTCCGCGCTGACACCGGGAACCATCATCTCCGTTCTAAGCTTGCCGGAAATCCCCTCTCCCCGCGTCAGGTTCTCGTCCAGGTACTCATTCGACCTACTGTGTTGCTCTTCCGGTCGCCTATCCTCTTTGTCATATCCCTTTACGTGGCCTTGGTATTTGGCGTGATGTACCTGCTATTTACCACCTTCTCCAGCGTATTCGAGGGTCAGTACGGATTCAGCACTTCCGTGTCCGGGCTGGTGTACCTCGGTCTGGGAGTCTCGCTTGTCGCCAGTATGCTTATATTCAACATCCTGAACGGCCGCATCCAGGCAGCGCAATCGAAGGCCGAGGGTGTGCAACAGCATCGGCCGGAGTATCGGTTACTTCCTATGATCTGGTTCAGTCCACTTGTTAGCCTGGGCCTTTTCATATACGGCTGGACTGCCTACTACAAGGTCCATTGGATGGTACCAATTGTCGGCACTGCTTTCATGGGCTTTGGAGCCTTTTTCGTCATGGTGCGTAATCAACCGCTTTGTCCCAATTCAATGCAACCTTCTAATCCACACAGATGCCCGCGCAACTCTATCTGATCGACGTATTTGGTTCCCAGGCTGCTGCCTCTGCGCTCGGCGCCAATAATCTCCTACGTTACATTTTTAGTACCTTTTTGCCGCTGGCGGGGCCTATCATGTACGATGCTTTGAACTACGGTTGGGGTAATACCCTGTTGGGATTCCTTGCCCTTGCGTTTGTCCCAGGGCCTCTCCTTTTCTACAGATATGGCGAACGTCTTCGTGCTAGAACACCTCTCGCGCTTTGAAAGGCTGAATTTGCCTGTCTGTACGTTGCCCCTGGCTGAGCTAATGAATATTTCTACAATCAATAGAGTGCACGGGTTGACGTTATGATACAGAACTGATGTGTCCCTGCTGTGTTGACCCTACTTTGCTCTAATCCCTACTAGCTAGAGATGGCTGTCTGGACACCTTTTTGGCTGAGTCGTTTGATGTATGATATTGTATATAAGCTTGAAAGGCTTTGTCTGCCCCTGGATGGATCTGCCAAACATACCCAGAACTACCGTCCATTCTGAAAGCAGTTGACAACAGCATCTTCTTTCATTAACTAGCAGCATCAAGGAATAGTAGATCAAGGCCGTATATAAGATCGTGAATTTGCTCATCCTAACACCTGATGTGCTCTATAGTTTCCGAGTGCATTCAATTTATTTCTTCTACTTTTCTACTCACACTGACTCGCTGCCTGCGCCATCAAGGCAGCACCAACACCGGACCCATCCTTTGCAAGACCTATGCGGATCCTCCGCTCACCAGCCTCTCCAATCTCTGCTACATCCCGCACTGCGCCACGCATTTCAGCCTCGAAGCCCGGGTAGAATTCGATCAGCGCGCCGTCCGCTCCGATGTCGATAATGTCCTCATCTAGACGGGTCTGGAGGTCTGCATGCCGTGGTATCGGTTTACTGGCTTGCGAGCTCATTCCAATGCAGCCCAGCAATCGGCGCCAGCGGAGAGTCACAGGGTGCTGCAAGCGGTCGGTCCTGCTCGCAGGGACTGGGGTCGTCTGCTCTGAGCACTTATTGCGAATGTCAAGGCGCCCACTTTGGATGATGATGGCTGCTAGGGATGCGCCTGCTAGACGTGCTGCTCGTCGCGCAATCGATGTGGCTAGCAGTCGTATAGCCTGGACATCGCCTTGACTGACATTTTCCGCCTGCAATGTGGCCTGGATAAATACGCTAGCGCCGTCGAAATCGTCGGGATCGATCAAGGCAAGGCTCGACAGAAAGGGACAATCGACGCCGCCTGGCTGGAAGACCTTTGAGGCCTTGTCGACCTTCATGTCAAGCGCATCCGTCTGCAGCAGTTGAACAATTACCAGCCGAAGTAGCTCCCCAAGGTACAGGGCCGAAACCCTCTTTTCGAACATCTGCGAGCCCGGATCGACCGACGCTGCGTCGAGGGCGTCGTCGAAGGATGTCCGCGGTAAGACTTCCATCTTATCGTCCAGACAGCCCCATTCCGTATTCATCACCATGATGTCGTCCGCGCCTGCCTTGACACCCAGTCGATGCACATTAGACAGCTTCTCGACGTATGCGGCGTTGGTCCCCGTCCCGAAGATGACCGCGCCGAGTGTCGAAGCCTGCTGACCCGAGCTGTAAGCTCTTGTCAAGAGCGTGCCAACACTATCGTTTGCGAGGACGGTCACCATAACCGGCAACCCCAGCTCATCAATAGCCTCTTGCAGCATAACGCAGGGATCTCGGCCAACTGCATCAGGAATATCCCAGCCTTTGTCCCAGTGTATGAGACGCCCGCCAGCGAGGGACGTCTGCTCGCAGGTGAAACTGAACGTAAATCCCAGCCTGTACGGCGACGGACTGGTAGGATCCAGATGCGCATCGAGAAATCCCGCTATCCGCTGCGCAAGCCAATCGAAAAGAGGCCGATAGCTGCAGTTAACCATGACAGTTGGCGGGACGCTGTGCTTGCTCTGTGTCACGGTAAAGGTAGAGTCGCCGTGCAAGTCGACAAGGCATATCCTGCAATTGCTACCGCCGAGATCAACGGCGAGGAACCGGCCCTTTTCCTTGCCTGTGGACACGTTTCTCACGTAGGAGGGTAACTGCCAGACCCGGCGGTTAGCAAGGCCATCCCCTGGAGCTGTCAGCATCGTGCACACCGGAGGCTTTCAGTCATTCTCACTCAACTGGCGGACGAAATGACTCGTCACCTGCCTGACGTGCTCAGGACTGAGATCAAACTCGAGAGCAATCTGCTCTGCTTGAGCTAGCAGGTTACGTTGCTGCGCAAGGTTGGCTTCGGCCATGACCTACACCGGAACGGGCTGTTGAAAGCGAGACAGCGACTCTCCGTGAGGCTCGCATGACGAGATAAAACTGATGACAATATCCATGGAGCCAGCTACTAAACTTCCTCCCGGCAGACGGAGTATGATGAATGCGACAGTGGTGTCGTGTTGGTGGCTGTGGATACGGCAATCTTGACTTTGGCGGACAGATCGCCGGAGATGACCGGTTCCCTTTAGCTAAGGCAAGGCTCGATTTACTCACCGTTTCCGCCTTGCGGAGCAGATATTTCTTTCTTCCCTGCGTCGATCGTGATTCTGGTTAGTGAACTCGTCCAGTTGGGCCCCAGTACGACGTATCATGTATGAGGATTTCCACCCCTGAATTACGCACTCCACCGTCCACGATCTCAGTATTGACCCACCCATGCATTTTGGGAATGTTGGAACAATTTATCTTTTATTCCTGTCCTTAAACTGATATACTACCCTGAGACTCCCAAAGTATGCAACCTCGCCTCCACTACGGCGACGTCGCATAGGAGAAAAGCAAAGCCATCGCCGATGGATGGGTTCGCCGGTTTCTTGAGCCCGATGTACTACATCCAGTTGGCAATTTCTTGCTCAGACACCATCGTCCTGGCGAGGCGGACGAATTCAGTTTTCTGGGGAAAGGCGCATACAACATCTGTTTCCAGATGAAGTACAAGAATGCAAACACTGCTGTAATCCGTTTTCTCCAGCCAGGTGCCACCATGTTTCCTGAAGAGGAAGTCCGGAATGAAGTCGCTACCATGCGATACATCTATGACCAGACTTCGATCCCCGTTCCTTTTGCGCACCGATGGGGGAACAAGGAAGGAGAGTCCTCTGGGACTAGGTCCGTTTATTATCTTGGACTATATTGACCATGTTACAAGCATGTATGATGTTCTTAACACGCCTGGGTGCCCAGAGGAAGATCGTGGAATCCTTGATCCCGATATGAGTAAGATGAGATTAGAGGCTCTTTACGGAGAGGTCGCCAGTATTTTGCTTCGGCTTGCTCAATGATCTCTACCCCAGATAGGGTCGCTAGACCAGGTGGACGATTTCGCTTGGGAGGTGACACGTAGAGCTTTATCAATGCCTATGAATGCTCTGATTCAACTGGGATCCTTACCCCAAGTGAAACTACCGACCACGACATTTGATCGCATCATCATACTTTGAAGCCCTAGCGGAGCTGCACATCGCTCACCTCATAAACAAGCGCAATGATGCAATCGACTCAGCCGAAGACTGTCGGCGTAAGCTTGTTTCCCGATATCTTTTCCGCAAACTCGCCCGAGAACATCGTTTAATAGAACGGTCAGCATCCTTTGATAAGGGCCTGTTCAAACTTCGGTGCGATGACTTGCACCCAGGTCTGATGGAACGTCCAGATAAGGCGCTAGCTTTAAAGTAGTCGGAGAGGAGACGAGTGTGACAGGCTGGCGACGTCGCTTTAAACAGGTGCAGCTCCCGTAGGTACCTTTCAACGTGAAGACGAGGTTTGCCGTAGCGTTGACAGTACGCTATTTCGCGTTTAGAAGGAGCCTCTAAAAACGCGAGACAGAATTTTCCTAGTCCCTGGTTAGTATTTCTATGCCAGTGAACAGAAAGAGGCACGATACACACAAGGGCCACGGTCAACATCAAATAGATTGCGCTCGCAGGTACCACCACTCATATTGCACAGTAGGACCGAGGACAATCTGATCGGATTGTCCAGGGATTGGGACGATCAATTGCGACTCTGCCAGGGCTCTGCGATAAAACAATCTTCCACTCGCAGGGAGAGGGGTCTTCATAACTCTCCTCTCCACCTCCACAATCTGTTTCATTATCTTCGCTCGACTTTTATTATCCATAGAGAACCATCGTTCGCTTAGCGGTACTCCCTCAAGCTTCTCAAGCATAATATATTCCGCGCCGACAGGATTTGGTTCATCCGCAGAATACGCAAGCACCTTTGGCACTGGAACACCATTATGCCGAAGCAGATCCAGCGTAGCCGCTTCGCTCGCTGCAGCAAGCCGTTTCGGAACTGTCGTTCTGTATGGAAATCTGACGATTACCTCGTACCCGTCGTGGAAGGTAGCTTGAAGTACGCGGTTGAAGGCCCCTTCGGCTAGCTTTGATATGGAAGCCAGGTCACTGACGGGTCGCTTGGTGGCACAGTACAGAGCGCTGACGAGGGCATCCACGTCGAATTCAAAATAACTTATTTGATAATGCTATTCAATAAATCGAATATTAATGATTCAAATCTTGCACGCGACGTTCGGTTCGCCGAGTTTCCTCGTACATGGTATCAGTAACATTATCGTCGTGACGGCCACAGGTAGGCTCACAGGAAGCGGCCTGAAGTACATTCGAATAAATTGTGATTCGCGTTCCATGAGCTCATAGTTCGCGTCAATAAAACGCGTGTCCGAAAAGAAGACCGTGAGAGGAACCCCATATTTATGGCAATTGGAGTCGAAATGACAGACCTGAAAGACAAGCAGAGTAAATAAGAAATGACACGACTCAGATAGGATCATGTGATCTTTCACTAAGGAGCTTTCGAATGCTGCCCTTAGGCCCTTCACAAGAGCAGCGGCACTCATAATGGGCAATTAGTTGGGAGGTGCAAGAAAAGCCGTCACTTATACACTAGTGCTAGTTTCTAGAAGGCTTCTGCAAAAGTATCTGACATGCTAGCGGCGAACCTAACAAGCACTAGATAGCATCAGTGATCCTGAGGTGATTACCCACAAGTATGAAGCTCTTGGATTCGAGTCTGCAGCCAGGACGTTGCTGTCAGACAAATCCATACTGAGGATCAAACTGCGCGGATGCTTCAATAGTAGTATCTTAGCCAATGAGGAAGGATCTGGTTGAGCTCATAGATCGGATAAAAGCTTGGGCCCTTTGAGGACACTGCCTTATTATGCCCTCATGCGCCAGGCGACCTCTGGCGGTCCTGCCTCCTTCAAACGATCATGAACATTATTGATTGCATCAATCCTGGCCTCCGAGGTTGAACGGGATTGATGCATCACTGAGAAAGTTATTGGCCTTGGCGTCCTGGGATTCGAGGTCCAGACCTCTACCATGAGAGAACTGGAAGTGGCTGAAGGAATAACATCAGAAAGGAGAAGGATCCAGACGGTGCAATCAGTCGCTTAAATTTCAGAGCAGACGTGCATGAGTGAAGATCCCTGAGTTTCTCATCGTGATCTTATTGGTTGATGTGACAGCTGCTAGTAGTCGAGCTGCAGAACACAGATCGGGGATCCACCAAATAAGATATCTGGTTTCTCCCTCTGAACACTATATTGACCTTTCTTCTTTTGAAAGTCAAAGGCCATAGTAATGCCTCATGATTTGTCCAGCTTCTAAGAACTCGATAAACGGCAATGGAAGACATGCGGACAACATGTGGTACTTTTGACACGTCAATGGGAGGACGACCCTCCATCATATTTCACTGAACTCGGAGGAAGTCTATCTCCATCGACAGTCCCTCAAATTCACTACGCGTCTCATGCAAATGATGACGACTTTCCTCTATCTGAGGAATAAAAATTGCTGTCCAGACTGGATTCAAAAAGGACCAAGGCGACCATGTCCGTTCCTGTCACCGGTGACGGGCTTTGACTTCTCAAAGGATCGTGCTGGGACGGAAAACCTGAAACCCCTGGTGATTGAGTTGATGCAATGCTTTCAAGACTCAGAGATGAAGTATCAGCGGAGGATATCCCTTTCCGGAACAACACCGAGTAACTACGAAGATGGAAACTGCATGATCAGGCGTCAAGATTCCTGTCTCGAAGTGGATAGCAATTGATAATGCCCAGTCTTTGCCAAGATGGCTTGACTACTCTTTTTTGAGCGCTCACTCCTCACTCCTCAGCTGCTTTATGACATTTCCCGACAGCCACTGCTAAGTTCCAACGGCTAATTCCGTTAGCTTGCAGTTGCAGGAACATGCTAAACCCACGACTACGGAAGGAAAAAGCAAAAAGCGCAGCTCCCGGACCCCCGAGAACTAGCGAGCTGGCACACCTGGTTCTGAGAGTAAAAGTCGAATTAATTGACTCAGCTATGACGATGAGCGTGATATAGAGTGGAATCTAAGAGGGAAAAAGAACGCAAAAAAAAACGCACGATAAAAATACAACTACTCGTGTGGGTCTCGGCTTTCCCGCGGCGCAGAGTTTCCCCTTTGCAGCTCAACCGGCACAGCATTTTGTTGGTCAGAGTCGCCGGAATTATGGGACTGTCGCAAAGCTATCACCACGGATCCGTTCTTTGACGAGGTCTAGTCCTTCTAGTTTGGTTCGTGGAGTACCCTGTTTAGGAGCGCAGTGATCCTGACTATCAAATTTTTCTTACGCCGTCGAGGGGCTGACCTCAGACCGCCTCGAAATGTGCGAACGCGCGCACAACGATCTTCATTTAAAGGCGTTTGACCTTAACACTCCTTCTAATACCTCAATTTCTCATCTTGCATAATGTCTTTTCTCCTTATCGTCCAGTCAGAGTCGAGATTTCCCCCATGCGCTCTTGACGAGCTGTAACACAGGGTGACTGCTGCGCTGCTCTCTATCACATTCGGGTCTCGATCGGCTTTCTGCAAAGCTACCTTCTATCAAACTATCTCTGCGTTCCTGTTCCTGTTTCTGTCCAGGATATTTCCAGGAGATTCGAGCTCCGTTCGTTGTTACGCCTCCTGGGCTGTGATACACACCGCATCACTGCAGCCAGCGCCTTTTCATTGCTCCTGATCCTGATCCTGACCCTGACCCTGCTCTCAGAAGTAGCCAGTAACAAGCGGTCGAGGTCGCTTGGACGAATCCCACTCGCATTCTCAATCATCAGGGACTTTGATCCTCAGACATTGGTGTCGCGCCAGTGACAGCATCACCGTCTATCCCTGTTCATCTTCTTCCAGCCACTACGAAGCCTTTTCGAAGTACGACCGTCACGATGGATATCGATTTATGACCTTGCTGTTTTCGCTATCTCGTTTCTCAAATCGAAAAGTTCTGCAACCGAGCGCTTCCTTTGACTTTCTACTCATTCCTCTCCATTTTGTCCTCATACGTCCTCTTCTCTATTCGTCCTCATTCAATATCTAATACCATGGCGCCGAATCTTTTCATCTGCCTTCGCGCTGTCTTCTGCCCGACGTACTGGTTCCAACGGGGCGAGCGCATTCAGGGATCTATCTGTCACGAGGAACATTGGGAAAGCCCTGTTCCTGGTATCTACAAATACATCCCCGGTCTGGGATGGCACCTCGTCCGCAAGGACGACAGTGAATACGAGGAGAAAGTCCCTGTCCCACTTGTCTACTGCCGCATCCTCCATCGATACATCTTTGAACACGAAATGGAAGACAGATGTCGCTGGCAGTCGGTGACTCTGCACGAAGGCGCGAAGCCGGAAAAACTGCTCTTCTTCCTTCTTGACGATGGCTACACCTGGGTCGCCGGATGGGACGCCAAAGGAAAGTTCATTCCTGGCCCGTATCAAAAGTGGCGCTATGACCATGGCACCAAGACGATGCAGCGCGTCCTGTCTCCAGAAAGCTCCCTCAACGTCTCTCGGTGCAGCAGCATCGTCCCCACCAAGATGGGTTAGCCTCTGCACCTCGAATCACCATCTCATTATCCATCACTCTTCAACTCGTCTCACCTCTTGACTCTCACGACTACCTAATCTCATAAATATCGCCAATAGCGTTTCAGCGGGTGTCTTTATATTTTGTTATTCTTTCCATCGCAAATGACATGCTGATACAATTATCGGACGAAAGCGTATATCGGCAATGGTCGATTAGCGATGGCGTTCGGTTTCGGTTAGAAGGATAGACTTTCTTGCTATTTTTGCTTCGTCCATGATCTATAAAACAGTGGTGTTAATATCTTGTGTTGGATTTACATTAATTGCTACACTGCTATCAGCAGGAGTAATGGAACACAGAATTTTCGGTCTATATTTGAATCAGACCCAACCTTGGGAATCAGTAGCTATTGACGACGCACACCACCAGTGTCACAGATAACTAGTGTGAATTTCTGTTCCATGGCTGGGCGTATCACGAAGGCAGTCTATCATCTGCAACAGCTGCACCACATGATACTCCCTCAAACACTAACGAATAATGAATAGATAAATCACAACTTCGCCCCTCCCTCACAACCAACCTCTCCAACCCCCGTCGAACCCTCTCCTCCATCCCCCCTGGGCCGGCCTCATCGTCTCCCGCGCACAAAACACATGCGTATACCCCCCGACAACCTTGACATCCTCCTCCCCCCGCCGAAACACCCAACCTCATACGTCACGCTCGACGATCCCAGCCTAGCAACCCGCAGCCCCAAATCCAGTACATCCGGGTACGAGACTGAGGCGAAGTAGTCGCAGTACGAGTTGACCATTATCCCAACTTGCTGGGAGACAGCGCTGTCCCTGTCGCTGGTGCTGGTGCTGGTGCTAGCGGTGGACTTGTTCCTGTTAAACGGATCCATCCCGCACTCGGCGATAAGCCAGCAATTCACGATGGAGTCGAAGAGCATGGCGTAGACGGTGTTGTTGAGGTGGGCGTACATGTCGTTGTCAAACCTGTCTTTCATTAGTGGTAGGTAGTAAAGGGGGAGGGAATAAGGTGCGTGCCATCGGGTGCGGTATTCCTGGTGGAAGACGTAGTCGCTTCGCTTGCGGCGCTTTTTGGCTTCTAGTTCCTCTTTGGGGACATTTTGTTTGTGGTGTGAGGTAGGATGTTATAGTGAGGGCGGTTACTTGAGTAGGTGGTGGTTATATATAACTGACGATAATGATATTGCTCGTCAGCTTGGCTGTCGCCAATCGGAATTCAATTCGGAAAAGTTCACTTCCAGTACAACTTCATCAATGGAAAATAATTCTAGCTTCTTATAGGGAGGTAGTTGTAGTGCTGTTGCTAAATTCGTTTGATGTTGATGTTGTTGTCGATGCTCGGAGACCTCAGGCACCAAGGAGCCGAGGTTGAAATGCAGGCACAGTTGATTGGTTGCATAGCTTATGCAGAATTAGTAATGGAAAGTTTATGTACATGTGCCTGAGGAGGGGATGAGATCGCGACAATAGCGATGATTGACAGCTAAGATGTTGCGATACTGAATTGAATATGGGTATTATAGAGAGGTAAATTATATCGGATTTGACGGTGTATAAACATTTTAATATCAATACAGTATATAACGATTGTTATTACAGTTGTTGGCTTCTGTACCTCTCTATCTGATTTCCCCGCAACGCTAATTTATTTTTTTGATATTTTTTTTGGGTGGCTATTTTGTGTCTTCACCAGAAGCACACACGTACACGGCCGCACAAAATTACGGGATTGTGGATATCACCCCTGGCTCCATCTCCTCGCATTACTGCATATCTGCTGCGACAAGGCAGGATACCTGCGTCCAGCATGGCTGTCGTTCCCGTCGACACCACCCTCAAAGTCCCTCCTGCGGACCCCGTCGAAGAACCCCCGAAAGTCGCCGTCACTCCATGCGATCCATGGCCGATCCCATACTACTTTGAAGGCGGACTGCGCAGGGTCAAGCCCTACTACTACACATACAACACCTACTGCAAGGAGCGATGGCGGGGTCGGCAGCTGCAGGAAATTTTCACGTCCGAGTTCAGAGATCGGCCGGCCGAGTACTACGTGGGTCTTCAGACTGTGAATCAGATTGAACGCTGTCGCTAATGCAATGCAGGTACAAGCCCTTGCGGACGGTAAGGTCACTGTCAACGGAAAAACCGCGGCCCCCGACACTGTGATCAAGAACGGCGAAATCATCTCGCATACCCTCCACCGCCATGAACCTCCCGTCACCGGCCACGAGATTGGAATCATACACGAGGACAATGATATCCTTGTGATCGATAAGCCCGCGGGCGTCCCCGTCCACGCCGCCGGCCGGTACCACTACAACTCGATCATCGAGATCCTGCGCTCGCAGCGCGGGCAGGAGTTCGTCCCGCGGCCCTGCAATCGCCTGGACCGCCTGACCTCCGGGGTGATGTTCATCGCGAAGCACCCCAAGGCCGCGGACGCCATCACCGTCAAGCTGAAGCAGCGCACCGTGCAAAAGGAGTACATCGCGCGCGTCAAGGGCCGCTTCCCGGACGGCGTGGTGGTCTGCGACCAGCCCATCATGTCCGTTAGTCCCAAGCTGGGGCTCAACCGCGTGCGCGCCACCGGCAAGGACGCAAAGACCAAGTTCCGCCGGCTGGCGTACTACCCGCCAGCCTCGGCCGCCCCCGAACCAGACGAGAACGAAGTGACAGCCAGCGGCGACCGGCCTGCGACGCCGCCGCCGCTCCTCGCCAACGAATCCGAAGGCTACAGCATTGTGCACTGCCTCCCGCTGACAGGGCGCACGCACCAGATCCGCGTGCACCTGCAGTTTTTGGGCCACCCGATCACCAACGACCCGATCTACTCCAACCGGCGGGTCTTCGGGCCGGACCTCGGCCGCAACGAGGCGACCGCCGAGCGCGACGAAGAGATCATGGACCGGCTGTCCGAAATGGGCAAGACGGAGGTCGCTGATACGACAACGTACCGCACGCACCTGACGACCGTGCCGCCCGTGCCGCCGGGCACGCACCCGTCCGTCGTCGAGGAGATCATGTCACGCGAGCACGAGGCCGCCGTGCACGACTACCACAAGCGCAAGGGCGAGCGCCTCTCCGGCGAGGTCTGCGACGTCTGTGGCACGGAGCTCTACACCGACCCCGGGGTCCATGAGCTCGGCATCTTCCTGCATGCGGTTGCGTACTCTGATCTAGAGGGTCAGTGGAAGTATCGTAGCAAGATGCCTACGTGGGCTATGCCGCCCAAGGGGCTGGATGGGCCGCGTGAGGCGCCGGACTGGGTGCCAGTCCCGGAAGAAGAGGAGATTGTCATTGGCCAGACGCCGATTCCCGAGGGCATGGTTGTCGAGGGTTCTGAGCAGCGGGAGAACCCCGTGCTGGTGAGGGGGTGGGGCTGGTGGATGTCTCTGCTGTTCGGCAGCAGGAGTTTCAGGAAGAGCATAATACATAGACCATGATTTATATAGACGCATTAATGATGTGAGATTTACTGTAACTATTGACATGATGTACAAACTACGCATACTGCAGTGACGGGAATCTCCTCATGACTTCAAGGATCTACACTTGCCATCATAGATGGCTGACTACAATACATCCTACAGGAAAGCATGCATGATGCACATATCTTGAATCGTCATTTTGCCACGAGGATTGCACGACCATACATGGAACCGACAACCGACACCCTTTTCCGCACCCGCCAGAGGAAACGGACACTCAGCCACAAGGACGAGGATGAGGAAAGAGGAGGAAAATAAAAAGGACGTCCACCATCCGGCCCCCTTCATGGTATATTTGTAAGCGGTAAGAAGCTAGGGTCAAAATTTTTCGTTCTATTATTTCATCATTCCTATTCCACCATTTACGCCTCAACGGTGACACGGCCCTTGGGGTTGGTGACCTTGACGCCGAGCGCCTTGGCCTTGGCAATGATGTCGACGCGCTTGCGGGAGGAGACGGCGGAGGCGATCCTATCCATCAATCAGTATATTCTATCCGTACGAGTGATTCAAGGCGAGGGAACGTACTCAGCGGCGTAGGTGCGGTTGTGCATGAGCAGCAGCTCGACGTCCTTGGGGTTGTGGACGAGGAAAGCCTTGTGGCCGGAGGGCATCATGTGCTTGGTCTTCTTGTTGCTACCGTAACCGATCTAGTCCAGAAATATCAGCATGCCAGTTCGTAAGGTAGACCGCAGCGATTCCAGATTTGTCTCGTCGAGGTGATCGAATCTGATGCGGCTAGGGTCGAGGAACTAAACGTACGGAAGGCATGGGGATGTTGCCCTTGAAGCGTCTGCGGACACGGTTGTCGATACCCTTGGGCTTGCGCCATGACTCCGGCACGCACTTGAAGCGGTCGGACTGGTGGCGGAAGAAGCGCTTGGTGCCTGTTCAACGTCCGTGTCAGTTCTCCTGATATCCATGTGCTCGTGTGTAAATTTTCTTTTCAAGCAATTCATGCAACGCTCGCAACGAAGGTCTTGATTCGGTCGCTGATTCCATCTCTTTGAACCATCTCTTCCATCACATCCAAACCAGATCATCCATTCCTTGCATCTCCAGAATCGAATTTTGTACGTGTGCTTGAGGCAGGGAAAGGCTGGCAGAGGGAGCTAGAACATACGCTTCTTGACGATGGGGACGTGCTTCTTTGCGAGGACCATCTTGAACCTGTCAGTACAATCTCAATGCATCAAATAATAAAAACGCAGATAATGAACATACCTTGTCGGTATCGTTGGGTCTCGCTGGCTGGCGCTCGAGAGTTGTCGTGACGATTCGAGTTCAATCTCAAAATTTCCGCTGAGGTTTGGCCGCCTGAGCGAGCGAGTCTGAGTGCAGCGGGGACGCTAGTGGATCGCTAAGCGAGAACGGGTGTTTAGGGCTTGCGCGGCTAACCCTCGCCAAGACTTACGGATGTACCTATCAGATTGAAGTTACTGTATCATAAGGAATCAATTGCCATGAAAAGCTGATAAGTATCTACGCTTGTAATTCCACGCTCTGTCTCTCGCCGTCTCTCTCACCACTCGTCAACATCTTCTCCATAATCTCCAAATCAGCCAACGCCTCTTCTGGGCTCTGTCGCTTGTCGACGGAAGCACCGTTGGCAATCGTCGCAGCAAATACGGCGACCTCACGGCTAACACCTCGTCCGTCAAAGGCGAGCTCATTGCTCTCGCCTTTAATTGTGAGGGTGTCAAAGTTCAAAGCGACTACGCCCCCCTCGCAGTCAAACTCGAAAACAGAGTCATTAAAGGCTGATCCGTACGACAAGGACAGCACACCCGTAGCGCCAGATCTGGTCTTCATCACCGCGTTCACCGTGTCCAGCGGAGCGAGATGCTGCTGCTGGAGACAGGACTGTGCGGATATCGTAGCGACGGTATCGTTCGACCCGAGAATCAATCGTAGAGCTGCTATCACATGGACACCGCCGTCGAGGATGAATCCGCCCTGGTATCCGGGTGTTTGGCGCCATGCGGTTTCTACTCCGTTAGACCAACGAAACCAGATGCAATAAGACGTAGAGCGAAGTAATCTACTTACTAAAATACTTCGAGTCCGTCGAGATCAGCGCGTGAGAATTCACCCGGAAATTCTTGACCCGGCCCAGCTTCTGCACCTCCTCGGCCGTGCGCAGAAACTTGGTCATGTATCGGAAGTTCTCTGCGACGGCCCAGAGCGTCTTGCTGGTGTCGATGTTGGCATTGTACCACTGCAGCAGGTCCCGCGCCGTGGCAATGTCCTTGGCAATCGGTTTCTCGGACAGGACGTGCTTCCCTGCGGTCAGGGCCTTGCGGATGAAATCCGGCTGGACCAGGATGGGGAGACTGCACGGAGGTTGATTAGCCAGTGAGACTATCGCTGGAGGGGTAGAGGGTGCCAAACGCACGCAATGACAACCGCCGCGATGTCCTCTCGGGCGAGCAAATCGGCGTAACCCTTTCCGGGGCCAGAGTCCTCCGAGTAGAGGTCAACGCCCGTAGTCCCGTTTGCGAGATCCTGGGCTGATTTGAGGGAGCGGGAATAGATGGCTTTCAGCTTGAAGTCCTTTGCTGCTTGGACTGCAGGCTATGACTGGTGTCAGGGTAGTCAGATCAAATGACAAAATGGAATGGCGTACCAGATGCTCTTCGCGAGCGAAGATGCCTGTGATTTTATCAGCTTTAGATCAATGGCTGTTGTATGGAGTACAGATGGTGGGCATACCGCTTCCAATGATAGCCACTCCGGCAGACATATCGAGGGTTCAAAGGCAACAGATTCACAGACAGTAGTACTGACAATCGAGACCGTACAGAGGCACGACTTTATATACCTTGGAATAAGATTAGAAATCCGGTTACGCAGCATCCAGCTGCCATGCTTCTGCCGGCATTTCATTGGCGCCCCCATCTGTCAGACCCTGCGCTGGGCGGGGTGGAGAGTGGAAAGTGGAAACGACCCGGTGAAGCATACAGCGTTTAGCCTAAACCATGACAACACGGACTGTTGCCCGTGGGCAAATGGGTGCCATCTAATGAGTCACTGGAGGTATCGGACTTTAAGAAAAGGAGGTCATTAGTGTCATATTGTACCATTTGCACAGCCGTCTACCATGTAGTGATCAACTGGTGTAGATTGCTGAAGCATCAGCTATAACAACAGAGTAAATGCTCTCCAAAACGCCTTCCTGTCATAACAATGCTGGTCGTGGTCCTCATGGGCCCATAGCTCATGGCCATTCATGAGGCCATATCGCGTCAAAAACAATCCAAAGCAGGAGTCGTCCGCCGGAACCAAAAGAGGGGGTATAATAGATCCAAAGCAAAGCCAAAAAGAAAAAAAGGGGAAGTCTATATATCCGTGGACTACCCGACCAATGCTCGAAGCCGCTCTACGCGCTCCATCGCCTTTTCCAGTCTGTCAAGACGTTTCCTCTTCTCGATATCCCGGCGTTCAAGCACCGCCACCCTCTCTTCCAATTTCGCCCGCGCCTTGCGCTCTTGCGCAACCATCTCGTTCGCTTGACTGAACAGCTGCGCCGTCAGTTCCTCCAGCTCCGAACTGGCCTGGGAGAGCTGGCTCTCCGCCGCCTTGCGTAAGCTCTGTTCTCGCTCGAGCGCAGTCTGAAGCTCTGTCGTAGCTTGGTCCGGAGAAGGAGTGGGTTGTGCTGGCGGGGCCATGGTCTGGGTCGGGGATGCGGTGCTAGGACGACGGTAAGGGAGAAGAGACGTCAGCGACGATAGGCGACTTTGTTGCTGGGCCTGCGGTGGCGAGGACCGGAGATTCTCGCTATCATTCGACGGAGCGGATGATGTGGACGATGCGGAGCCTGTCCTGGGGGTGTGCGTGTTGGTTTGCGATCGGAGACGGCGCACTTCTTTTTCATACTCGGCCAGTTGTGCAGCTGTAGACGTAAACCGGATTAGCAACATCGTCAGGTAATTTGCCTTGTTCGTAGCAACCGCGCTTACCCATCTGTGTAGCGTGAGCGTTCAACAGCTCGACCTGACCCTCCAACTCCTTCGCCCTCTTCCGGGCGCTCTCGACTAATTGATCCTGCGACATGTATCTGTCCTGGCCACATGTTGGACAATTCTTCCCTGAAATATTGGGGGTAGCACTCGTCATGGTCGGAAGCATTCCCACAAGCGTCGTAGCCGTCACAGTCGTGGTTGCGGTGGTCGACATTATGGAGGCATGAATCGGAGGAATGGGAAGTGCTCTTCTAGGCCGAACTCAGAGCATTGAGGCCTGAAACGAAGCCGAACCTGGGGTCGCGGAAATGAAAGGATGGAGGCTCGGCGTCGCAAGTCGTCCAGTCGTCCGCTCGTCCAGTCCGGGCCTTAAAATAGCGGGGGCAGATCGGTGAAGTGTCCAGGGCGCAAAGAAGAGAAGTGGCACTGAAAATATGTCTCATGAGGTTCACAATAAGTAATTACTGGGACAGTCAAGGAGGTAAGGAAGCGAAGTCAAAGGGAGGCTGACTAGGCGTTATTATTATCAAATGCTGGGGAAGGATCATGATTCGTGTTACAGGCTGGAGTTACAGTCAGTAAAGTCTATGTTTAGCGCATTCTATAAATATGTCTCTCTAGGCTATATGGTAAAGGCAAGGGAATCCGATTGCCTGTCAATGAACAATGCGAACTGCAAATCAAGAAGACTCTTTCTTGAAATGTCAACGATCAATCTTTGAAGCTTACTATTCACCAGTATATGCAACTAAATATGATTTGATTGTGGTTAAATGAGTCGCCCTACTAAAAGGTACACGTGTAGATCGTGGGTCACTTTTAGTCTCCGCGTCTGGTGGATTTTAGTGTGGTTGACTGGTCACCTCCAGGAACTAGATAAAATAATCCAGTCTCCTAGGATATCAATATCGATTAATATCGATCAATTATACAGATTACCACTCTTTATCTCATGAACTTGATCCAACCTGCCTGCGCAGGAGTGAAGGGTTCCCCAACCATCGACATTAGTCCCTTGCAAGGAATGAAGTATCTCAGCGTCCACCATAGCTGATCGCCAGGGAAACACCAGCCATTCTAGCTATATCCCTTGCAACGTGGAGGTAAAGATTAGCTATCTACTCGCTACTTGCCCCTCTTCTCGTCGTGTTGCTCAGTCCCTCCTTGCTTGGATATTTATCTCCCAGTGGCTGGCACAGGAATGTAGCCTCGCGCACCCAGTCAAGGAGCTGTCAAGAGAAGCTGGTGGTTGACGCCTGTCGGCACTAAAGTTGCCTACATCGCATTCTATGTTCTTCCCAGCTTCGCATCATACATCCAGCTTCTGAGTCATAATCTTATTCGCATGGCTGTCTCGTCATCTAGGAAGGGACATGGCTCCGTTAGAAGAACAAGTAGAATAGGACTCCACACTCCATCTCCCCCAATCCCGAAACAAGATAGACAATGAGAGGGGGGAATACGTTGACAGCGAGAAGACCAATTCTGCCGAGGAAAGGAGAAGGAAGAAATACAAACATCTCAGGAAGTCACATAGCCCGTTCCTTCACATAGGCCGTGATGGGTCATGAGTGCAACAACACTAAATCCACACAACATGGGAATAGCTAGCTCAGAGAAGGGGAGGGGAAACACGGATGACGACAAGGAAATGGGTAGACATAACAAGAAAATAAACACGAACTTTTTCGACGTGCCCTACAACGTCAGCAGTGACGAGACGTGGTTCAGGAATCTAGCCCGACGAAAGATATCACGAACCAAAGAGAAGGTGGAGTAGAGAGGATGGCAGAGGAAGGAAAAAAGCTGGCCATCGACTTAACCAAGAAGAAATGCTGAGAGCAAGGAGGCTGTACCGTCAGATTTGTGGCATCCGAGAAAAAACGACAACTGACGAACCCTACTTCTCCCTGAAACCAGCGTAGTAGTACTCGGCTATGAACGATGACATGAATCAGGGTATCGAGAAATCTATGCGAATGTACGTCCAGACTGCCCACGACGGTTGCTGCGTTGCCTCGAGCTCACAGTGCTCCAGCCTTCTTCGTCTGCGGCAGCCTCGGCGGGCTGAGCAGGACCTCCGCTTCGCCAGTTACCGTTCGCCTTGCCGGCGGGAGCCTGCTTCGAGGCCTCATCACCCACAGCAGCGGCAGGGGCTTTTTCCGGTTGCTCTTGTTCAGCAGCACCGCTTTCATCCTCACCGGCCTGCCGGAGGATCTCGAAGTTCTTTCCGCCTTGAGGGATGTCCATGCTGTCCTTGCCGTTGGGATCGGCGGCTGGCACAGGCTTCTCGCTCTTGGCCTGCTCCTTGGATTGGCGCTGCTTCTCGGCTTTCTCGGCCTTGGCCTTCTCTTCGGCCTCCTTCTTCTGACGGAGCGCTAGTTGACGACGTTCCTCAACTTGTCTCTCTCTGGCGGCAGTATCGATGGGCCGAGCACCACCGAATGGGCTAGCCTTCGAGTCAGTGCTGGCAGCGGGGCTGGACGGAGTTTCGGCGACAGTCCGCTTCTGGAGGTTCAACTTAGGGCGAGAGGCGGGAGCGGCGGGGCGGCAGGGGAGGCGGGAGTAGCGGCGGGAGAAGGAGGGTTACTGGGTTCCTTGGCAGGGGCCTGATCGGGGCGCATTCTGGCTCTCCATGAGTTATCGAGTTCGGCGGCAGTGGGTGCGCGCTCCTGGAATTCGCGGCGCGGGGGTCTCGAGCCATCCTGAGAGCGTCCCTCACCCCAAGCGGGCGAGCTTCTTCTGAAACCGGGGCCCTCGTTGCTGCGAGGACGGCCACCTTCTCTGACTGGTCCAGTCACCGGAGAAAGAGGACCCTTGCGCTCCCAGTTGCCGAAATCGCGCACCTTTCCATCCGACTCGAAGTTGCGACGACCACCGACACGTTCGCTACCGGCATCGGAGAGGTTGTCGAGGTTACGTCCGAAAGTCGAGCGGTCGGGCACACGACGGGGAGGTTGCTCGGGCGCGGGCAAGGGGCCCTTGCGAGTCCAGTCAAGCTCCTTGACATCACGCTCCTTGGCTGTTGACGGCAGTCAGTTTTTTCTTGCGCACAGAATGTGTTGAACATGCGAGAAGATACTTACGGGGCTCAGCGATGCTGACACGAATCGCTCTTCCCTGAAGGGTGGTTCCTGAGAGGTCAAGGGCCTTCTTCAAGCCGTCGACGGTCTCAAATTCCACATAGCCGAAGCCCTTCGGGCTTCCTGTCAACTTATCTTCAACGATACGGACGTTCGTCACGCCACACCCAGCAAACAGGTCGTTGATATCGGCCGAGGTCGCCTCAAAAGAAAGGTTTCCAACGTGAGCGGTGTAAGGGGGTTGAGTAGGAAGTGGGAGAGGCTCTCTGATCGCATATCCACCACGGTCTGTGTCACTCTAGGATCAGACTGCATTCTTAACCGATTGAAACCGGGAGCCATACCATTAAAGCCATTGCCGAATCCACCGGAAAGAGGGCCAGCGCCGCGGCGGTCACCTCCGTAGCTGAGTTGGGAAGGAGGAGCTATGCAACTTTAGCCTCGCCATCCTTATCGCAAGTGAAAGAGAGTATCGGCGGAAAAGTATCACGATAGTGCGCCTAGTACATACCGGCTGCAAAGTCCTGAAATCAGCAAAAACCATCATTTTTCCAGTGTTTCATCGATGACAGTTGCAACTTACAAGGCAAAGGCATATCCTCCATCTCATCGGCCCAGGAGCCAAGGCCTGTTTCGCTTAGCACAGTCCATCCCCGCGGGGAATTTGTGTGGGAACCTACTTTCATCGGCCAGGAAGGTGCCGATAGACATCTTCTGGGCTTTCTGCTTTGCGGGCGCTGCATCGGATACCGTTAGTACTGATCATCATATTCGACGCATCTGATCTGGAGACTCATGGGATGCACTGAAGGAGGGTTCAGGGTGGTACATACCCATGATTGCGGTTGTGGAAATTCAGGAAACGCGCCAAGGACTTGTGCGCGTCTCAGGCAGGATGTTAAATGGGCTTAAATAGGGTTATAAGAAGACTTCCAGACAGGAAGATAAAAAGTGATTTCAAGAAATGACGTCTAGTTGTTTGAACAAGTAGACGTGCGATGAATTATTGCAGGTGACCTCCGCAGTTGAAAGGACAGAGGGGGGGAAAGTAGGTTAATCCGTGAGGATAATTTTTAGTATGACGCTAGAAAAGTCAGCCTCAGGAAAAAAAAAGTGGTGGTGCGGCTTCCGGCCTCGACCCAACCCCAGGGCTTTGTCACATCGGTGCTCGGTGTGCCATCAAGACATCCTGGAGAGGCAATTTGCACATTCTTTCCAGATAACAAAGCAATTAACTATCCAGTTATTACTTGATAATCACTATATCATACTTCTAACTTTGTTTCATGACTGATCGGCTCAATGCAAGCCATCTTGAACCAATCCAGTAATACGGAGTACGATGAGGGAAGCTTGTGCCCTTAGCCTGAGGCGGATTATTATCCTGCAGGCATACCACATATCCAACAGGATTCTGATACTCAGTAGTATAGGCCAGTATCTCAAATAGAGTGCAAAGTTGAGAGAGACTAATAAGGGCACGAAGCGACCATTATAGAGATAAACATTTTCCACTCATATTTGACAGCAGAGGTCCCTGGCTGGGTCTAGGGGTAGGTGGAGGGAGGGGCAAACTGTACCTATTACAGGCACAATACCTTAACTGTGTATGGTTCAATCAAGACGGTTCACAAGCAAATTGGGCCTACTTTGGTACCTATCCTTTCTCGAGTTAACCAAATCAGTGTAAAACTGTAAATAGAGTAAGGTGAAACACGGCTGAATCCTCCCTAGCAGCATTTAGATAGATGATCGATATCTGGATCGGAAATCGAGGTAGAAAAATTCGGCTGCAAATGACCTGAGGTCACGTGAGGTTCCGCCATATGAGCATCTACTCTGATAGATATCAGCAGGTCTTATCATTTACGTAGCCAACCACAGCGGCATGCTTCAAATATACAGTCCCTGGTCAGTCGCAAGATGAGTGGACAGAATGGTCAGAGGCCTGTATTAGGAGAGAATGTATGGTTGGCGTCATTAAAAGCCGGAGCTTTGAGCGGTGAGTTCTTCACTTTGCCTAACCAACCCGCAAACTTGCCCTCAGAGACCTTCAGTGGTCCATATGACGGGTTTCTTCTGAAAAGGCGCTGACTTTTGCCATTCAGGCTCTGCTGGCCTTGTTTATGGAGGCATCTCCGGTGTCATAAGGTCTCCTCACCCTGTAATCCATTCGATTTCTTGCGGTATCCACTGGTTTGTCTGTGGGACGTCCTTCTGGTGTACGTCGTATTTCTTCCATGTCCGGTGATGTTGGATGCTCATGATGCTGATTACTTGATTACAGGGCTAAGGAGTAACATTCTAAGTCTCCACTATGAGGATAGGGCCACCCCAAAACAGAGAGCCTATGTCAGCGCTGTCTCTGGTGGCATCGCTGGCGGCGCCGTGACTAGATTAATGGGTACTTGAAATCCAAAGACTGCTTGAAATGTGCGACTAATAAGAAATCACAGGTGGTCGTCTCATCCCTGGAGTTGCCGTATTCTCGCTGCTCGGCTACCTGGGACAGAGATCTTACAATGCTATCGACTCATGGCAGATGGAACATGCAAATACCCCATCGAAGCCAATTCTGCAACGAATAGCAGATTCCAAATGGATTCCACTCAAGACCCTCTCTGATGACGAATACAGGGGAATCTTAAGTGAGAAACTTCTCAGCATTGAGGCTGAAATAGCTATCATCGACGAAAAGATCGAGGAGCTTGAGAAAGCCAAAGCAAACGGACAGAACATGACGGGACTGGATCCTTCATCAAGTAGATGATCGCGTTGCATGGGAACGGCGCAAAGACGTCTTGTATTATATAAAAAGGAGCAAATTGTAAGATAGCCAACAGTTGGAGAGTGTGCCAGCATTTTCTATTGGCAAATGTTCAATACTTTCATCGAGGATAGTCAGCCCAGATCTGTAGGGCCACTTTAAAAAAGGCCGACACCCCTGTGTATCATAGCTAAATGACACTAAAGCGTAAGAGAATTATTTTAGTGACAATATGATAGTCCATAGACAAGTGTAATAAGAAAGCCCTGATTGAATATGTGGTAATTTATGCATGTATTTGGCTTGATTATATAACAAATCCTACCCCGAATGTAGTGGTTAATAGCACTTGCGAAAGGAGACATGTCATATAGAGGAGTCAGTTTGGTAGATTATGAAGATCGACAGCATTCCTAGAGGCCTCCTATCCCTATTCCCCAGTATGGATTTATATATGTGTGTTCATTGTTAGGCAAGTCCAAAGCTTTATGATTCTGTAGGTCAATGAGGCTCCTTTACAGAGAGCTAGGGGTGATCAAGTCATTGCCGAAGCAGGGAAGAACCGCACATCCAATGCTGTATGACATGCTCTAGTCATTTCCTGAGAGGGTAATCTATCTTCTGCGGCCTATATTATCCTGGCCAATAACCCACTAGATTGGTAGAGTTCGCCAGTTGACCCCAAGCAATAGTGCCGAGACAGCCGATCCGCCACAGAGCCAAATACTCCGTATTCGGTTTTCCGTAGTTAGTTAGTTAGCTCTGACCAAGTGGGCGGGCTTTCCGCTTCCAGATTATTGTTCCCCCCCCGTTTGCCCGCAACCACCGTTCGGCAGGTCTCCTGTTGCTGACATTATTATTCTTGATACGTAGCTAGTTAGTTTGACAGCTGATGGGTCTATGGTTCAGCCGCTCCGGTTCTATCTATCGCCTTATGATCCCTACTTCCATCATTCAATATCCATCACATTCTGAATCTGTTCATTCTTGTTCGAAGCATGCCTGGCTTATCACTGTCGAGGCTCTCTTCGGACACTTTGCAGGCCAGTGCGCAATTCTGGTCTTACTGAGACCTGTTCCTCGCCGACTCCGAACGCTTGTGAAGAATTGCTCGTATAGCGGGTCATTCCTCAAGGCAAGAATATTTCTAGCCTAGTGAGGTCGGCGATTTTTTCGCTATATTATAACTGTCTCAAACTACTCGCAGGATCGGCTAGTATCTCGATGATCTGTGCCGTCAATCCCCTGGCCTTGTTCGACGGATCGGTCTCCCTACTGGTCGCGAGACGCGATGCCGCTCTTTAATCCGACGACCGTCCTCGTGGGGTTCCTCCTCCTCTACCTTTCTTCGTTCCTTATCTTCGCCATCGTTCGAATCGCAACGGGAGTTTCTATTCAGCGAATCGGCTACTTTTCCCTCCGCCGCATTGCCTATGTTCCGAGAGAAGGGATACAAATCGAACTTCGTGGCTTGGGATTATCTCTACACCCTCCGTCCTTCGCGCAACCGACATGGCTGAGTCTTCGCTTAACGGAACTGAAGGTGACCGTGAACCCTTCAGCTTTGGGCAGGGGGGTAATAGCAACACAGCAAAGGCGGATGTGCCTGAGCCTCAAAGCTCTTCGGACGTGGGGGATACTTCGCAGGATGGAGGGGAGAGCAGCCCAGCACGAGCTCGGCGGAGCAAGACGTGGAAGACACTCACACGGATGAAGGAGCAGGTCAAGAGGCTACACAGAAAGATACATTGGCTCAAATTGGTGGACGTCGTTGCCGTGAATACGACGATCAACTTCCTCGAAGCCGGCCAATTCCAGATAGGATCGCTCTCGTTGGCGGTGGACACCAGGCGGAAGATGGTGGACCGGGCAAAGGTGTTTCGCCGAAAGAAGGATGAGTCTGGTGAACTATGCCCGGCCGAATGGATCATGAACGTGCGAAACGTCCTTCTCGCGGTTGATGGCAACGAGCCGGCTGAGGTTCTGGATCATGTCCAAGTCAATATCCACGGACTCCTCCATAGTGACCGCGACGGACTCAGGGATACCTCTATTGCCCTGAAAATTGGAAGACTCCATATTCCATATGACGAATTGGCAACTGTCTCGCAACGGATTAAGCAGTTCCGGCGGTCGAGGAAGGACCCTATCGTCAATGACACGGACGACGAGATATCGTTTGCCGACTTTGTCGAGGAGTTGGACAGACCCGGTAGTCGTGACGATGTGATTGTGCAAACGGTCGCTGATTCGAAAGAATTTGCAAGCTCCCTGCTACGTGGCATTCGGGAAATTCAACTGGCTTTGAGTTTCTTCAGACTGTCTCGCATTGTCCAGCCGTCATCTGCGGGGCAGAAATCGGTCTACTTGAACGTCATATCCCATGAAATCGGCGTTGACCTGCATCGCATGGACCAAAGGAGTCCCGCACATCGCATGTATTTTCAGCGGGACGACGTCGCACATCAGGCTCTTCTGGCCGCCATCTCTCTCTCAGTAAGCTTGGATGATAGCTCGGGCGAGACGGACAACATTGTATACATCCCTATGGCTACTACAACAATCAAGACTACGCTTCCTTCCAAAACCGTGGGCTCTTTCGATGATCATAATGCGGAGGAGCGCAACACAAATATCCTCTTTGCCAATTTTGTCGTCACCTCGCCCTCTCTCGATCTAGAACCACACCATCTTGACCGACTTCTCGGTTTGGTTCAAACCAGAGCATCCTCCTCGCGCGGAAAGAAGCGCGACAATCATCGACTGATTTCGCGGCTGCTCCCGAAAGCCAATATTAAGCTTTCCGTGCATGAACCTGTCGTTCGACTCGTCCTCCCCATAACTAAAGAATCAGCCGGCTCTGATGATGACTATAATCTTCTAATCTCCTCCATATCCGCTATAGCTCTCGATATAGATTCTTCACACTCGTCAGAAGGTGGAGTACATTACTCTCTCTCGTCAGTTTACCGGGTCGCAGATCACAAGCTGTACTATCAGACCCCCACCGGGGTCAAGCACAATCTGCTGACTACAGAGACACTGGAACTCAAGGTCCTCCTCAACGCGTCACCAGAGGTGTGCGTGATCGCTACGGGGACACTGAATACATGTTCTGCCCACATGGTCAATGGTGAGGTCAATCGCGGCATCCGCCAGGTTGTCGAGCAACTTCGAGCCCAGACGCAGAACAGGAGAAGGGCCTCGATGGCGCGCCAAGAAAGGAAACCGAGCGTACTAAGGCGTATTCCGCCGTGGTTACTCAACTTCCAGTTTGAGGCCACGGGCCTCAGTCTGGAAATCGCTGGAGTGGATAGTACGGTCTCAAAGCTTTCCCGGGGAGTTTCATTACAGCTGCAATCATGGACTGCAGAATACAGAGCCCAAAAAGCTGAACCTACTCATATCAGCCTCGTACGGCGACGCACCCCAAGTCACTCCACCATTGGGGACGAATCGCCGTTTCGATTTCCTCCAACTTCACCGCCCAGACAAATTCAACATGGTGCTGCGGATGGGAGACGGCTGGCTTTTCACGCCCGTGGCTTCGAAGGCTTTGTGATTGAATCTGAGGACTACTTGGAGCCTGAGCCGTTCTTCTCACTTCCCCGATTTGAGGTTGCACTGAGCACCCAAAGTGACCGTCTTGGTCCTATCTTCCATATCAGCTCGGTCCTGAAGGGTATCTATTTGCAGTATTCGCTTTATCGCTATTACTGTCTTGGAGTGGCGGTGTCTGTTATTCAGGATGCGTTCATTCAACTCCCTACAGAAGCACCAATCCAGCCACCGTTCGAATGGCAGACGAAGGATTCTGCAACCTCGCCCTCTGTTCCACGGCCGCCCCTCAAAAGAAATGAGCTCATCACGGTGGATATCAGAGCTACAGTCGTTCAAATCAAAACGTTCCTACCTGCGGATCCTCCAATGATGCTACAGATATATGGATTGGCGGCTGGGTCTCACCGTCTGTCGTCTCCTTTCGTGAAGGCGCAGCTGATTCGCTTACATGCCGAAGCCCCAAGCTCAAGGGTGTTTGGGCTAGAATTATCAGCATGAATAACGTCAAGGTTGACCTGCGCAAGTTCAAACTAAAGCAGGGGTCTAATTTAGTCGAAGAGAAGTCAATAGACATTTGGGCCGACTTTATCCGCATAGGGGTCCCTCATCACATGATCATGCATCGTGTCTTCGACAACTGGGTCAACACTGCTAAAGCTCTTAAGCAGCTCCATCATCGTTTCAAGAACCGTTCATCAGAATTCATTTCAGCAAGGGATCCAGAAGCGCCAAAGAAGGTTCCTCGGATCTCGCTGCGGAGTAAAGCTCTATTATTCGAGCTAGAAGATGATGCGTTCGAGTGGAAACTAGGTTGCATCTATCGGACAGGTCTACTTGAACAGCGACAACGTTTGGCGCGAGAGGAGGCGTTTGAGCTCAAGGTTCAGAAAATAAGGGAGTCAGGACAGCGTCGGGCCTCGTCCAGGTTGAGAACAAGGTCCAGCCATCGGACCCTTCGCAGCGAACGGACAAGCCATGACACGAAGAGGAGCAAAAGTGCTGATCCGAAGCCTCGCGGCCTTACTCACGATACGAAGGGTGGACGAGGGAGGAGATTCCGGTATGATACGGAGGGCTCGGCTTGCCTGTCTTCCGATTCCAAAATCTCCGAGGAAAAGGCTTGGTCCCGACTCCAAGAACACAATGCTCGATCTTGGAAGCAGAAGATTGACGCGGCTTTTCGGTTTCAAGGCAGCTCCATCAAGGAAATTCGGAATCTCTTTTCTGGAGCCGATGAGCCGCCTGATGATGCCACTGTAACCGAGAAAATTCTCGCCATTCCAAACAGGCCTGGTATCTTGTCAGCCTTGATAACTGACCTCAGTCTAGTCATAGACAAACCGTCTTTCCCTATTGAAGAGTTCCCGTCGTTTCTCCATAGGCTTGGAAAGGGAATCCCTCTATCCACACAATACGCTTTGCTCGTTCCAATGAGCTTCCACCTGAACATGGGCGAAGCTCGAGTCAACCTGAGAGACTACCCCCTGGACTTGTTGCATATACCTGCCTTACGACCGGGCCAATCTCCCAGACTCTCAAGTTGGTCGCTGCGGACGGATTTCGTTATAGCCGAAGAATACCGCGACTACAGGTCGTCGAGAAAGGTACAGCTAGAACTCGTTCCATCAACCGAACTTTCGGATGGAACCACGAGTCCTCCCTTCTTGATCGATGTGTGGCGATCTGTGTCTCCTGTCAAGACTTACTCCGACCCTACCATCGAAATCAATACTAGTCTTCCGACTAGCATCTCCTGGGGTATGTCATATCAGCCTGTGATTCAGGACATGATGAAAATCATAGAAGGCTTCACGAAGACTGAGATAGATGCGTCCGAAAGGGTTGGATTCTGGGATAAGATTCGACTAAGTTTCCATTCGCGCATACGAGTTCTATGGAAGGAGGACGGCGACGTTCACCTGCGCCTCAAAGGCTCTAGAGACCCATATGTTGTAACTGGCTTCGGAGGCGGCTTCGTCATGTGCTGGAGGAAAGACGTGAAGTGGGAAATCCACACCAGCGACGATCCGAAGGAATTCATGAGTGTTACAAGTGGGGAATATGTGCTGGCGATCCCAGACTACAGCAACGAGGCTCGATACGCACAAGAGGCCACCGCCCACGACTTGGAGAGCAGTTCTTCTTCAAGCGATTTCAAGAACGCAACACTTTTCAAGAAGGTTGTGATGAAATTGTCGGGCGACGTCCGATTAGTTGCTGGCTTGGTCTTTGAACGTAACGTAGACGGGGACAAGCGGTCGTTTGAGTTCAAACCGCATTACGATGTGGTCCTTCGAAATCCGGAGTTTATCGATCCAGAGGAGCGAAAGGCACGTGCAATTTATCTTCTGGAAGGTTTACTGTCTAACTTTTCATCACAGGACTACGACGCCTATCGTGGGTTCCGCAGCAACCACATCCACTTGTCCATCTCGGTCGTTGCCCCTGTGAGCAGGAACTGGGATGTTGACCATCTTCAGCCTTCAGCAAGCTACAACGCCGTTCACTTGAGTCCGCGATTCTTCACGCATTTCTTCAACTGGTGGTCTCTATTCTCGGGTGTGATGTCTCTCCCAGTCCGCCAGGGTCCTCTTTGGCCTGGTATCACCAAAACCAGCAAGAAGTTCAATCGTCATCTTGCTACTGTCAAATACAAACTGCTCCTCGCTCCTCTATTTGTGGCTCACATCTACAAGCACAAGGACCGTGAGGATTATGCGGAAGATGTGGTCACAGCAACAGGGCTGAAGGTTCGTCTGGACAGTTTGAAGCTCGATGTCCATCAGCGGCGGGAGCAAATCAAGACGGTAGCAAAGGGTCGCCTGAAGCAAACAAAGACAAGCGCGATGCGAATCAACCAAGGCCAATTGGATTTGCAGGCGGCCGATTTCAGAGCCGTCTCAGTTAGTATTGAGGGGACGAATCTCGATGACATACAGGAGAATCGGGACGATATCATATCTTCCTTCCAGCAGCCAGTTCCCTCGGTTGATTTATCACGATTCACTATCCCAGACCAGAACCTTGATTGGGTTGATATGGATGACTTTGTGGAGCTCGATTGGATACTACCTCAAGAGTCCAACCCAAAAACACATATACTTCCTCTTGCGTTCACCCCACGTTTTACCTACTTTCGTCAGACTGATCATGGCGATATAACGCCAGATCAAACAGGGTACAGCCCATTCGGCCATGAGCCCACTCACGACTGCGTTCTGTCCGAGAGTAACGAACCTCGTCGGGTACAAATGGAACTGATCAGGGATCGCCTCGCCACCGTTGAAGCACAAATACGGAACTTCGATCGTCAGATTGGGGAGCAGGAGCTTCGTATGGCAAAGGATGTCGACCATCATTCCGAACTTAAAAACGAGCATGATGACTTTGTCAGACAGGCTGAATCGCTTGCTCGGAGACGTGCCTTCCTTGTGACTGGGCTTCGTCGCCTTGAAATGCAACTTGCACGTGAAGAGAAAACCCCAATAGACAAGAAGCCTGAAAATTTCGCGAGTGACAGCTCGTTTCGTCTTGGTGCTGACTCCGATTCGACAAACGGTGGCAAGGAAGCGGATCTCGACGGCTTGTACTCCTCGCGCAACGATGAATACGCTAGCGACTTTAACAACCGCTTCTTGATCCACAACATGCAATTGAAGTGGAACAACTCACTCCGCAACATCATACTGCGCTATATTCATCAAGTGAGCCAAAGACGAGGTTTCGTATACTACATGTCCCGCAGAGCCGTCAAATTCATTCTCGATATTGTCGAAGAACAGAACAAAAACAACCAAAGACGGTCCAAAATGTTCAAGGGCTCGTCGAGGCGGCCATCGAATGCGGACACAGATGAAGACAGTGTGGAGGATCGTATCGAACAGCTTCTGAACGATACCAAACGCTTTGTCAGTGCTGAGGAACAGGAAAGCATTGACTCGGGTACCCAGACCCAGCCAGATTCTGACAGCTCTAGCGAGAATATCTCGCCTGAGTTCACTCCACAGAATAGTTACTACTTACGGTTGATTGCGCCGCAGATCCAGCTTCAGAGCGAGAAAAATCAGAAGTCAGTCTTGTTGGTAGCAGCGAGTGGAATGCAACTGAAAGTGATTTCCATCATGGACAAAGAGCGTGTTTCAGACGATGTCAGCGGTTTGGTGCAGCGGCGCTTCTCCCTTGACATGGATGGTGCTCAGTTCTTCGTTGCGACTCAGAAGAATCTGATGAATCACTTGCAGTTCTATGCCGGCAATAAGTATGGCAACGCTCCGGGATCGGCATGGCCACCTTGGGTAACCCTCGAAGCCATGTTTGACTTTGAGCTGAATCCTTTCGGCTTCTCGAGAATTATCCAGAAGACTTCTGCCAGCTTGAGATATGACAAATATAACAACCTGCGTCTCAAGTACAATGAAGAAGTGGCAAAAGGGCAATCCAAGCACGTCGGTCCGGATGGTCAAGAGACTAGGATGGATCATATCAGTGTTGACTTTCCTCACTTTCGGGCCATTTGTGACTCGGCTGAGTATTACTCAATGTACATCATCGTGCTGGATCTTCTGCTCTATAGCGAACCGTTGGAGAAGGTCAGAAACGAACGTCTGGAACGCATACTTCTCACTTCGGATTTCAGCGACCTGAGAGGTGCTCCGGAGATGGTGTTCAAGCTGCAGTCCCGCATCCGTCAACTAGAGGAGATCAAGGAGCATTTCCAGATCAACGCCAAGTATCTGGACAAGAATGGCTGGGAAGACCGGCTGGTGCTGGAAAAGGATCTCGCTCAATGCGAAGACGAGTTATTCTTCTTGATGAAAGCTATCACGACATCTCAAAGACGGATCGAGCCGACAACATCTGGAGCAAATGGAATCCTGAGATGGAACATCTCTGCATCCGAGGTAGTATGGCATCTTATGATGGACCAGTCTCAGCCTTTGGTCGAATTCCAGCTACGGAACGCCGAGTATGATCGCACGGACAACAGTGATGGCTCGAATCACAATCTCGTGGCAGTTGAACGGATATACGGCTTGAACCTTCTGCCGGACGCCATCTACCCTCAAATCATCGTGCCGTATCTTGACCAGGCCAAGAACCTGGACGAACCCGATGAAAATATGATTAGGGTCAAGTGGCACATGTTGGAAGCTGTTGGCGGTATTCCCGTACTCGATGACTTCGAGGTGTCGCTGTTCCCGCTCAAGATACAGCTGGAGCGCGAGCTTGGTCAAAAGGTGTTCGAGTATATCTTTCCGAATGTTCGCTCCAATGGGTTCGATGGTGGGTTCTCACCTTTCATGATCAAGAACATGAAACCTTTGGATGCCTCGGAATCGGAAGAAGACGATGATAGCCCATCTCCGCCGCCAAGCGCGCAAGGCACAAGCGACATCTCAGCCGAGGACCTTTCAAGGACCAAAGGACCCGGCGCTATTGAGCTCAGATTGCAACCCACGCTTTCGCTGGCAGACGAAACGAGACCTCGTTCGCGTCACAGTTCGTATAACCTCAAGGGTCTTGGCATGACGGCGATACACAAGAAAGAGCAGAAGGACAGCAATCGTCTGGGAGTATCTCCATCAAACCGCCCAGCAACGAGTGCTAGTTCATTGAGCAAGAAGAAGTCAGTTGAGAGTATGCGAATGCTCTCCAGACAGCCTACAGAGAAGTCATTCGCCAATGGCTCGACCGCCAACGTCGGGGAAGATAAGGGCAAGAAATTTACCCTGATATCGAACAAAAGCGGTAAATCCAAGGAAGTGCAAGACGATCTATCGCAGATGATGTCTCGCGCATCTAGCTATATGACCCTTGCTCACGTGAAGGTGAACGATGTCGTACTTTGTTTGAGTTACAAAGGCAAAGGGGAGCACAACCTCGAGGACATCCATGACTTTGTCTTCCGACTTCCTGTTCTAGAATACCAGAACAAGACATGGTCCAACTTGGATTTGGCTCTGCGACTGAAGAAGGATGTCATCAAGGCTTTGATCTCTCACGCACCCGCGATACTTGGCAACAAATTTTCTCATCATCGACCTTCAAAGCAACAACTGAAACGCTATCGCGAGCTTGCCAGTTCATCTCAGCTCCTTCAGAACCCGGACAGTGCATCAAATGCCCTGTCGGGCAAAACCCAGAGCCTAGCGAGTTATGACTCCAACAGCGAACATTCGGAGTCGACATCTCAACGTTCAATTCACTCGGGAACCTCCCCACTCGCGCGATCACAATCCTTAGGCTCAAGTATGCTTAGCGTCCAGGATCAAGGCACACCATTTGACTCGCGCTCTGCAAGTGAAGTGGATGTCGATGCTCGCTGGGAGGTATGTCTCTACAATGTCGTACGAATTTAGAGAACAGTTAGAAACTAACCACCCCCATAGCAATCCCGTAGGATCGTCAATCCTCCCAACCGACCACTGACGTCGAGCCAAGCCATTGCCAGAGCTGATACCAAGATTTGGGATGCTCCCGATGAGAGGTACATACCAAGAAGTTCAGCGTCAAGGAGATCTCGTCGCTAATTGATCAATGCAGTCACAAAATGAGCATCCGAAGCTTCGGACGGAAGTTGCTGCCGTCGCGAAAATAACGGCCTATCAAAAGTTCAGCTCGCTCAACAGACCAGTCACGAAGTTGTGTGATATATCCCCCATTCCAACCTCCCTCTCACGTCTCACCACCTGCCATTTCCCTCACCCCCAATAGCCTCTTTCAGTTGCCAATCTCGTTTCAATATCCGGAACCACGCAAGTGTCTTGTGCTGTGGTTTATCTAATTTGCAGTGGATTGTACTTGGGGCGTCAGATACCCGATCCATTTTCTGTTCTTCTCCCACAAGATAAGCTTGATATATCGGGTTCTGTGCACCCGTCATTTCTCCCTGTCCAGTTTTAATTTCCATAACATTTATACGATCAATTCCCCAGCGGCGAGCGTGTTGTTCTGCCTTTTGAGCGCTGTACAGTTCTCTTCTTCCTCTGTCTTGTTGCTTCTGTTTTTTTCCCTTTTTGGAACGGGAATACGGCGATCAAGAGGAATTAGATCGAGTCGGTTGCATTTCCTGGTGGCGTGGGTTATACTTCTAGTACATAGTTGAGGCGCCCTGTTGGGAGTACCTTACTCGGTTTTGGATACCAAAGATGGATAGATGGAAATAGGAATAGCAGCCTTTTTTCCCCCTTCAAAGACAGCTTCTTACAGTTAACTCCTTGGAGGTGACAGACGTGATGATACTACTAGTACGGTGAGTTGTTGAGAAAGAGATTTGAGACTGAAGCTTAAAAGGTGTTGATACAATTGTAGAAATACAAGAAGAAGAAAGGAAATCATACCGAAACAACCGCTGGGGTATCTATATACATCACACATCTCGCCATAGCTTCTGCTTGTGTTCGATCGATGAAAGACGCTGTCCGATGTTCCCGCGTCCGTGAATTGACAGTTCCATCCCAACGCCAGATGCATTCATTCATAATAGCAAGCATAACGACCGTTAAAACTGGTTAACCTGCTTTGTAATTTGATTTGATTGAAGAGAAGGCTGAGGAGACGATCACACGTTCGAGTGACCATCAGACGGAGTAGTCGGCGACGACTGCTTTTCCCGCCCCCAGGGCAAGAAACTCGGGAGGTGGTCCTGGACGTGGTCCTGGACCGATTCCAGGCGGGTCCGGGCCGTCGGGGCGCCGACGACATCGGTGTATGTTGGCACGTCTCCTTGCCCGCGATTCTCCCTCCAGGCTTTCTTTTCGCGGCGAAGGTCGCTTTGCACCCAGGGGATGGTGATGAGGGTCCAGACGCCGGCCCAAGCGAAGGGGAGCGACCAGCCCAGCTATTCGAATGTTAGTGGTTGTCTTATGTTAATTTTGCGAAAAGTAAAATGGGAAACGTACAGTGTAGGCGACGGGTTCCGAGGTCGTGAAGATTATGGCGGTAATGGCAGCTGCACAGACGATTGAGCCACCTGCCCAGAACATGTTCATTTCGAAGAGCATGCTTCGGAAGTATGGGCTCGAAAGGTATCGGTTGCGCAGTGCGTGGCGGTAGATCTGGCCGCCGCCTCCGTCGACGGCGACGACGTCTTCGATGAGGACATAGAGGGCTGTGGGCATCACAGAGCCCTTGGGTGTGGAGGATATTCGGAAGGGGGCCTTGAATCCACAAATGCGGAGCATATCGAGGGTAAGGTAGACGCCACCGAAGTAGAACATTACGGTGGGAAGGACCATTGCGACAAGGCGTACTGTTCAATTCGGCGAATGATCAGCAATGCCTAAGGCGTTTGGATGGACGAAACTCAAGCATGGAAACATACCATATGGTTCCTCAGGCACCGTACCACTGGAAAGATTGTTTAGCATGGTCACTCCGACGACAGCTCGCAGGCTTGCGCTACTTACACAATGAGCTCAACTGCCAGAATCAACCAGACGATTGTGAAATTGATATGGAAGAAATCCAGCTATCGCGAATATCAGTACCCGTGTATCACATGATTGGTGTTGTGTTTCTTTTCTTAGCCTACCCATGATTTTCTTGCGTTCAATGGCCGAGTCTTTGAATCTTTTCGGATCAAGTGATAGAGACGGTAAAGGTATTCGAAGACGGAGACACCCCCGAGGGACGCAGTGACGATGGAGAAGACTATTCATCGATTGTGCTGATATGAGCAGTCTGTCCAAGTCCATAGCTCCTACAACGAGAGCGGATAACTTACCCACATTGTGAGACAGATCCGTGGCGAACCAGAGGGCCCAGTAGAGCACCAGAGGTTGGGCCAGTGTATCGAGCACAAAAATCGTCCAGAAGATGGCGATAGATTTCTTTCTGGTATACAGTGAATAAGGGAGTGGTGGAGGCTCTAGAGGCACCGTGGTAGAAGTTCCTTCTTCCATCAGTCCAGAGTGGCGGGTTTTATCGTTGATGGCGATGCTTTCGGAGATAGAGTGGTTAGACCATGAAACTCATGGCAAGACGCTGATGAGAGCGCTGGGCAGTAATGGTGAGGAACAACGGGAATAATAGATCGTGGCAAGTCAAGCTGAAAAGAGGCGACTTGAAGCCTTATTATTATTTTTATCAGAGACGGATGCGCTCGGAACTGACGGCTTGAAATAGTGTTTCGGCGTGTTGTGTTTTAAGGTTTCTTTTGATAGACGGACTCAGTTTCCTCAGGCTCCCAACCAGCGTGGTGCCTGACGTAACAGGCCTCACGGCGGATGATGTCATCCCATCGCAATCGTCGACGAGCTGTCATTTTTTCTTGGTATTTGTCTTGGTATTTGGATACTATCATGTTATCGCATTTCTGATTTGGTTGGCAATTGAAGCACATTGGCAATGAGTCTAGATGATATAACTTGATCTACGAGGGACACAGGGTTCGTGGGGTCGGGCGATGTATGCCTAGCGCTGCCGTGCTGTTGGCTTAAATATCTAGCGGCCACACATATTGTCACTACTAGGTTCTTCGTACTCGATGGCAGTATCAATTGTCAATCATCGCATCGCCACTGATAATACAAGGCCATGAGCACCAAACAATTGCCTTGTTTATCTCTCTATCAGGAACCGAATCTAGGGGTAGAAACACTATGCAACTCTACAAAGCATATCACGGTTGGGAAGTTCCGGACCCACCCAGCTGATCATTTGACGATCCCGGCATTAATTTATGCATACATTGGAGAAATAGCATTAATCGAAGAAGTAGTAATTCTGACATATAGCACTTTCTGTATATTCTGTAGCATCAAAGGCAAGGTGTCCGAGTGGTCTAAGGAGCACGGTTCAGGAACTGGACCTATAAACTGATTCATCAGTTTCCGTGTCTCGCAAGGGGCGTGGGTTCGAATCCCACCCTTGTCATTAATTTTTTGGTTTGGAACAACCGTAACAATCTGGTCATTCTTCGCCCCCAATGTCTCCTGCTGTAGAGGAATAAATAGTAATGATAATACTGGTTGTTGGGTATCTTTGATGGTCAGCATTTTTCGTGGCAAATCACGTGACAATATCCGCCTCTCGTCCAACTCTCGTTTCTGCTCATGAACTTTTTCTCCTACGGCGGCGGTTCGAATCTCGTCTCCTGCTTCAATTTACCAACAACAGCAGAATCTTTCTCCGTTGTATGCTATGATATCTTGTTTGTCCAGCAACCCTACCGGCTGTCTTAGAACAATGGAGACAAGATGGCTCCAAGCTTACAAAACTTGATTGATCATCTTCTCGCGGAGATTGCGCTCTGTGGCGACCAAGGTGGGTTTGTTTCTCACATCTCTGGTGTCGAATTTACTTCTTGTTTTTTTTCCCGCTATTCCTGCATGTTGCTGCATCCGCACCGACTAGATTAAGCATACCCACCCTTAGTGCCGTGTTCCTGCCATTCATCCAATAAGACTGCCCGTCATGTATATTCTCTAGCTTCGTCATCACGTCGTACCTCATTCACCACCCTTACACTAACTAACATGCATAGGCGCATCTCCTGCGGATATCTTGACTTTCATCGACACATTCTACTCCAGCACAGCGCATGAGACGTCTTCACGGAGCCATACTGTCGATCGCCCGTTCCAGGAAAAAGTCTGGTCTTGGTTGACAAGACACCCAGAAGTCTCAGTCGGGAGAGACCGAGAGAGTAATCATCTGCACCTGAACGATGCTGAGCGACTCGCTCGTGAGGCGGACCCTGAACATGCGGTCCGGGTTTTCGTCTCTAGGGAAAGGAGATGGCTAGCGGTGGCTGGTCATGAGCCGGATGAGACCAAAGTGCTTCCCTTGGAATTCGCACTTCTCTCCATCATTGCGTCCCATAAATCCAATGGAATCTTCCAAACAGATCTAGTCAAACTTAGCGGCCAGGATAAGCGTTCCGTCCCCAAGCGAACCGACGTGCTGCAAGAAAAGGGCTACATTGAGAAAAGGGCGATACAGATCAAGTCTGTACGGACCAGTCTCTGCGTGCTGCGACGGTTCTCCAAGTCCGACCTCTCTGGTGCTGGCACAGCGGGCGACCAGGACGAGCGCCTTATTGACTTTAGGGACTTCAACAACAAGCTCTTTGCCATCCTCCGGGAGTACAAGATTATCGCCCGCACCGATCTCAAGAGTGCTCTCGGGTTCGCCGATCCCTGGCGATGGAGAATTCTCTCCCGAGCCCTGCGCAAATTCGAGCGTATCGGTGTGCTCAAGCGCGTTAGGGCGTCGTCCCAGTATGCGGATGATATGAAGAAGCTGCATCCCTGTGTGATGCTAGTTCGGGAGCCAACAGAGAGGGATTATGAGCTATTTCATGAATATAGTCAAAATATCTACACCGACCTCGAGCAGGAAGATGGGTTAGAGCTGGAAGACGGTGGAGATCCAGCTGATGCCGGTGGAGATTTCACTTCTGCCCGGGCTGGCAAAGCTGTTGGTATGGTCAAGCAAGAGGGGGACGTGGAGGAGGCTGGTCGAACGATTCCTGCTTGGTCTCCGGATCGTAATATACATAACCAGATATTCGACCTTGTCGACCAAGCGGGAACCTCTGGGATTACCAACCTTGTGAGTGTGCAAATGTTTAACTCAATGTGCGAAGCGGCTTCCGCTGACCTCCTTTAGGATATCCTGCGAGCCGGTTTTGGGAGCTTTTTCCGCAGACCACTTGAAAACACCTTGGCCCGGTTAGTGGAATGCTGGCAATTGTCGCAGCCCCTGCATCTGCGCCATCTAGCCATTGTGCGAGACACGGCGCTTGAAAAGACCATCACGCATTATATCCATTACTCAACGGCCAACTTCCAAAAACTCGTTGATGCCGGAGAGGCATCGTGGGAAGCTGTCGAATTTGTCCCCAGAAACACCAAGGCAGAGAAAATTTCTGTACCGCCCATCGATGAAGTTCCCGATCTGGATGAGAATGGATTGCCCAAAGCTGTCCCTACGAAGGAGCTTATCAAGATTGGCAATGCGTCGCTTCTGGCTGGCATCCTGGTGGTCAATCCAGCAGATTACAATTGCACTGGAAACGATCCTATGCCCTTACAGCTGAAGGATGGTAGCTATGGTAGGTTTGACCCCTGGCAATAAATGAATCACTGGTGTTAACTCTCAATCAGTAATACGTTTCGGCTTGCCAGGTATGAATCGAGTCGGACGTCCGAAGGGAACGCCCAACAGACCCAAGCTCAAGAAGGAACATCTGTCTGAATTGGAAGGGGATGTCATTCCTGAACAAGACCACCTGGCTATCAAGCGGTTGAAGAAAGCGCAACGCGACGAAGAGAGATTCCGAGGGATGTCTGAAAAAGAGAAACTCGAGGCGCTGGGGCTGGATGAAACGTGGACTGAATACAGTGTCTTGCTCCTTGAGCGCACAGAACCTGGTGTGTACATCACCCCTCGCGGACGACGCAGACCCGCGGGGAAACGACAAGGTCGTCCGAGAATCTCCCGCCTTGCAGTTTTCAAGTCGCCAAAGTTAGCATCACTGCCTTGGTTTACTGAGAGCCCGGAAGGCGAACCAGAAGATGAAGCTGCTAGCACTAGTCAACAAGTTTCTCGCGCCCAAAGTGTTGAAACAACTCCTGTTCCCTCATTTACTGCGATCAACACCCCTGCAACATCTTCTGCAGCGCCAGACACTCCTTCGAGAGGTACGAAAAGAACGCTTCGGAGTCGGATTCCCCTTGACGCAGAAGCTGAGCCGGATCATCAAAGACCGTCTAAACAGCAGCGTCTTGAAGGCACCGAGGTTTCTCGGCAAGTCGCTGAGGCTGAAGTCTCAAGGTCTGAGGAACCATTGTCAGACGGACAGCAGACCGGTGAGCCTTCTATCGACACCGTCAAGAACGCTCCTTCTCGGGCCAGCAAACGCAGGAGGGAGCCGTCTCCAATCCCTACCGCGGAAGATGTTGCAGTCGACAAGGGCAGGCGAGGACTAGCCTCTGAGATGCCACAAGCTCCGTCACCAGCAGAAAAAAAGCAAGTCGGCCTGTCACAGCCTCGTCAAAACTTAGAGACACCGTACAAAAAGCGTCAGTATGAACCTCAAGGTTTGCGAGGTGAAGAAACTGCCTCAACTCTTTCTCCGGCAGCCGTTATGGAAAACGTCGGGAAGCAGGTTGCTCCATCAAAGCCGACCAAAGGGGAGAATGGAGAACACCGCCCGGTCGACGCAGGAGCAATCGGCACGCCATTGGAGGACACAGCGCGCGAGGACATGGCGGTGGATGTGGCCACCCCGGCTGCAACTGCCGAATCAGGCGCCGCTATTCATAACATCCAAGAAGCCAACGTTATCGACCTGAAACCCACTGACTGGACACCGGACGTTGAGCAGCGCGACGTATCACAAACGCCAGAGGGGCATCGACCGCGCACAAAGAGGCAAGACAAGCTAGGCTCTGTTGCGGTCTTACGCAGGAGCATTATCATGGATATTATTGAGAAAGCTGGAGGCGCATACTCCATGGGTACCGAAATATGGTACCCATTTGCAACTGCATGGAAGAAGACGAAGTACAAGGAAAAGCCAGACATGCGAACAGTCAAGACATCTATTAAACACCTGATCGATGCAGGCAAACTTCGGCAGTTCACATTCAGCGGGAGGGACAGCAAAGGGGTAATGGTAACAAAGAGCATTGTCGCCAAGCCTGACTTGCAGCCTGATCATCCAACAATCAAAGACTTGCAGCACAAGATGCTTACCACGACCGCTCGTTACTACTTCCCACCCGGCGTTGAACTGGATTCTGAACTGACCAAGTCAAGTGCGAAAAGTGCAAAGAGTACGCCGAGCGGTGAACCCAAGATGGCGAAACTCCCTATCGAGCGTGGGATTACCGTGCATTTACATCAAAAGCCAGCCTTTGTCCTGGCTCTGGAGAAGAGAAAGGGACAGAGCATTCAACGACGGCTGCTGCAGCGCCTCCAGTCTGACACGGAGATTCTACGTCCCTCTGGAGTTGTTCGACTTGCCGGACTTCAACGCGGGCCCGCTCGGGACTCTCTGGAACGCGATCTGGGGCCCATCTCCAAGACTCGAGAAAAGGGTCAGCAACGGAAACGCATCCTGAAGCATCGCACCCCAGCTGACGGCCTCGCTGGAGAAGAGGAAGCTGCCAGAGCTCCCCGCAGGTTGAAACGCCTCTGGATGCCTATTTCACTCATGGCACCTTATGCTATGTTTATGAATCCAGTGCAGACGTTTCATTCCAGTACGGGCACCTTCTCGACAGAGGCCGGGCTTGTAGCGGTCCGAGCTGCGGCCGTTGCCCGTGCAAGAGCTGTCTTCCGATTTCCGAAATCCCTGGACGACGTCTTGGACCAGGTAAAGCGGCCCCCAGTGGATTTGTCTAAAGCTGTGGATCCACGTACAAGCAAGTTCGTCCGTGAAACAGGTGCCATTTTGAGGTGGGAGCTGCAAAATGAAGAATTCTTACTTGAAAAACCTGCCGACGAAGGCCAGGAGTTTTCTTTTATCAATCAAATGTTTGATGATTTCCCAGAGGCAGTCATGATAGAAGGGGATCTCCAGTTTGAAATTGATCAAAGTGCCTATCCTAGGGTGCGGGTTCCAAGAGTCAGGAAGATCAGAGAAGCAGCTCGTCGCTTGGAATTACTTGAACCTGAAAAATCTCTGCCAGAAGAGGCAGAAGAGGCAGAGGAATCGGAAGAGCCTTCAGAATCCGAAGTTTCCTCTGACTCTGAAGATTCGGACGACTCGCTGGATGCACTGGATCTGCTGTTCTCCGCTGACTCACGTAGACGGCGCAACGACTACGTACCGCAAAATCGTCGCTTGGAGAAACTAGCGGCCGAGGGACCTAGAAACGTCGTTGTGGCAAAACTGCCCAACCGACCGGCTGCCCGTCGGAACCGAGCTCTTCAGCATCTGCCACGTCTGATAGCAGAGAGGATTCTGACTGCGATTGTGGTCGTTAGGGCACTAGCCGGCGGCTATGAAGGCAAGATCGTTGACTGGCAGCTGGTCTGCCAGAGTTTCCCCAACCAGGACCCCAAAATGATCCAAGAGCGGGGGAAGAACATTCTCAGCAGAAACCGACTGCAGGTAGCGAAGATGCAGAGTGACTTTCAGGAGCGGTTTATTGTAGCATACGCGAATGGCCGGGTGCCGCCGATCAGCTACGACGACTTGGAAGGATATGATTGGGAGAGGGTCGTCGACTGGGCACAGACAGAGCTGGACATTCCCAAGTCCGAGAAGCTGCCGGATCTTCCTGCCACCAAGGACCAGTTCGACAGCGTGTTTGAGCTGCGCGAGGAGCCGCCGGTCACGCTGGATGAACTCTATCAGAACACTCATGGAGTGACTGTGAACCGTAGACGTGCTCTCTACGCAGGCGTTCCTTTCGCCATCCCTGTGCCTGAGAAGCCGGCCCAACCTACAGCGCGACAGGCCGAACTTGCGCGGTTGGAAGTGGCCAAGACGTGGGTTCGAGCCAACATCGTCGCACCCGAGGAGTCATACCGGCCCGCGGAGGCCCGGCAGGCCCTAGCCAATTTCGGAGGCAGACTCGTCGACGATGCGCTGCAGTCATTGACGACGGAGCGGGTCGTATCGCAGGGCAACAGAGGGCGCATTACCCCGGGCCGCAACTACGACATCACCGAGTTCTTCCTGCACATGTTGGGCCGCAGGCGGAACATCGAGGTCACACAGCTCCGGCGAGCCGCGCGGTTCAAAACCGGGACCCTGGATCCGGCGCTGCAAAGCACCGGCTCGTTCACCATCAACTACCACGCAGAAGACGGTGATATCCTCGCCCTGATCAACCTCGCCGCCGAGCGCAGAATCATCCTGAAACCGAAGGATCCCCCACGGGATAAATTCGGGCTGACAGACGGCGGCTACCTAACTAGACAAATCGACAAAGACAAGCTGCGCTTTGTGGTCCAGGTGCAAACCGTCGAGGGTTCGTATATATACGGCAACCCGATCCGGGAGAAGGTCGCCAACAGGCCCCCGCCGTGTCCGCCCCGTGCTGCCATCAGCAAAGGCGAATTCATCACTGAGAAGATTCCCCTGTGGTTTGATATCCATGGCAACTTTGTCCGAGTGCTCTGGGAGTTTGCCGTAGCGGCTGTCGTGGGGATCGTCGCGGTGCGGCCGGGGATCAGTGCCAAGGGGGTTGCGAGCATGGTGCAACCATCTATGGGAGCGTGGGAGGTGCTCCTCTTGTTGAAATGGATGGCGGATGTGGGAGTTTTACGAAGGGAGAACGAGGATGAAGAAGCCGTTGAGGAGACGTCGGGATGGCAAGTTCAAGAATGGTGGTGGATGGTGTTGGCATGATATCTAACAATTGACTCTCTGATGTAACGATATCTGTCAAAAAAGCTGTATAGTAGTACTGTCATGGAAACGCCGACCTTAAATAAAGTGTTCAGACTTGAAAGCAAAACCTTGGAATAAACATCGCTCCATGTATGTACCAAACTTCAACCAAAAAACCATTAAGATATCCAAAAACTCCCCCGGGACCAGCCCACCCGTAGAAGAACAGCGCTAATAGCTAATACTCCTCCGACTTTGCAAGCCGCCGTACGATCATAAAGGCCAACGCGACAAGAACCCCCAGGATGGCTCGATCCAGCCATGGCGCATCTGATGCAGTAGGTCGAGAAGTAGTCGCAGTCGTAGTCTGGACTGGTGTCGTGCGTGTGGGCGCTGGTGCAGGTGCAGCTGCTTCTGCAAGAGCAGCCACAGACGCAGACGGTCCCGGTACCTGCTGCTGCGGCGCAGCATCCCTCAACGGCAGTGATTCCGATTCCTTCTGAGACGTCGCCGTCGTCCCCGTCTCCGTCTTTGCATTTGCATTTGTATCCTCCGGTTCTCGATCTGGATCCGGCTCAGTATCTCCCGAAGGTCTCTCTGCGGTAGTACTGGCGGCCTCCTCCTCATCATCATCATCATCAACAACCACCCCTTTCGCGCGACACACCTCCCTCCACTCCCTCAGCACCTCCTCATTACTCCTCCCCCCTCACAAACATCACACACCCACCCCCGGCTCTCAACCGCATACCGCCTCCTCACACCCACGTCAACATCCAACCCCCAACCTGCCCCTTCGCATCCGCATCCATGAAACTCCTCAGCGCCAGCAACGCCGTCCGTATCCCCCACGCAGGCTGCCACGTCTCCTCATGGTGGCCCGAGATACTGAGGCAGATCTCGCGGTTGACCTCGAAGCGGCCGGAGGGGGTGAGGAAGCGGAAGGAGGGCGGACGTAAAGGGTAGGTGGGTGGAAGCACGATGCGGCCGTGGTAGATGCCGCCGGAGTAGGGGAGGGAGAGGGCGGGCCGGCGAGGGTGAAGTGCCAGTCGTAGAGGTTGGAGTCGGAGACGGGGTGGGCGGTAAAGTGCGGGGAGGGGTGGGAGGCGAGTTCGGAGGCTTCTTTTAGGAGGCGCCGGTGGGAGGGGGATGTCATTTTGAGACCTCTCCCTGACTCTGTCAGCAGATGTGATTATTCTGTTCGTGGTGGTGGTGGTGGTGGTGGTGGTTGGTGGTTGAGAGGCGTAGATCTGATAGAGTTATCAGATGGGTGTTGATGGCTGATGACTGATAAGGTGGCAACTGGACAGAACTATATACTGCGTCAGATGTTATGTGGCATTGGAATGTGTCAGTTCATAGTTTATCAGTCACGTATGACTGCTTGTATGTAGTCCAAAAGATGAGTGAATAAATAGAGCGGTACTCCGTCTGAGCTAAATGCCAGCTTGTCCAGTTCAAATGACGTTGGAGTTTCCACGCGGCGCGCGGAGCAAAGATACGTAGTACTCTATACCTCAGGCACCAATCAGCTCTTAGCAGCAGCTGGCAGGATACAAGCCATTTAATCTAGTGCATTAGGACAAATCTATATCAAAATATTGTACAAAATACGCCGCATAAACTTCATCTCCTCATATCGGAAGTACTCCGTATATACGACCTATTCGTTTATGCATGTCCGCTATGTCCAATACCCGACAAGTACAAGAGAACTAGACCAAGGTATCAATCCCAGTCCCGCCACTCGCTCGACTCCTCTCGTCGGTTAGTGGTCGCGCTGTTTGCCTCGTTCGGCTTTTGCAATCGGTTTACAGCCCCGTTTGTAGGGACAGATTGCTGGTTCAAAGGATCAGTCTCGCTGATATCATCTTCAAAATCACTATCACCCGGGCGTGGTCGCGGGGACATGGGTGCCAAAGTCTGCATCGACACACCCGTAGCTGGCCGCTCCGGGTTTCGGAAGCTGTCTATCGGCTGATTCGGATTCCATGTCGGGGCTGCAGCGTCCGGCCCTAGCCAGGCTCGGCTGTTGTTCGTGTTACGTGAGTACAGGTCACGGTAGTAATGCTGTTGGTTGGCCATGTCCTGTTCTCGCTTTAGACGTAGTCCTTCCTGCGCTTCAAGGAATTTCCGGCTCGGCTCCCAGCGCCAACCATCGCCGGTGGTTGTGCACACAGGGACGAGCCAGAGTAGGGGCCGGTTGCCGAACAAATGCAAGAGATTCTTGCGCCACCCAAGATCAAACGCGTGCGGTAGCTTTCCGTTATCCTCTTCGTTCAGGTAATCCTGGTACCTGTCATGCTCCCTCTGCCTTTCCAGTTCCGCATACGATTGTGTCAGAGCCTGTTGCGCGGGCGTGAGTTGATCATCAGACACCCCATGTCCAGCGGGCTGTGCTGACGCCGGAGAGAGCCGTTCCTCCCCTTCCTCGGCCCGAGTAACTCCGGGAATCGCATTAGCATGCGCGTCGAGAATCTGCTGCCCGTAGTCCTGCAACCGATGGCCAAAGCTGTCCGCAGCCTGGCCGTCCCCGTTACCGTCCCTGTGATTCCCCAGTATGTGCTCGTAGCGGTGACGATCCAGCGCTTTCCGCAATGGTGACACATACCGCGTCTTCTCCAAACATTCGATCGTCGTCATGCCCCGGACCGCAAGACTGATATGCCATGCCGTGAACCCCGTCAGCACCAGTCCAATAATCCCGCCCAAAATAGCCAGCAGCACCACATTCACCGGCAGCATCGTGTCCAGATACGGAGCATCGTTGAACACCTCCGTCCAGATCCACATCGCTGACACCGCAAAATCCACCCAGCAGAACAGCGACGTATAGACCAAAAACAGCAGAAACGCCTTATAATTGTACAACCCCACACAAGTCGCAAGCCACGGACAGTGATGGTCCATCTTCAGCACGCACCGCTTACACGTCGAGCAGTGGTGCGCCCGGTCCGGCTTCGGACACTGACATTTCTTGCAATACCGCGATCCCCCGGTCGAGCTCACAGTAAACGCCGTATACTCGGGCAACTCGGTGACCGGCAGCGCACTGTATTGATGTCTCCCAGCCCCAGTCGTCAGCGGCGACCCGGGATCCGTAAAAACCGCCACCGTGTACGAGGCATTAAGGCATATGTAGAGAAGGACTCCTAATATCGAGGTCGGCAACCCTACCAGAAACAAAGTTAGCTCAGATGCCATCCCCATCCGCGCATATCCGGCACAGATCCAAGGTCATCGAAATCTTGCACATACCGATCCACGGGCTTCGCGACGGCTTCAAACCAATACTCGCTTCGACGTAGACCGCCCACGTCGTCAAACTGTACACAAATGCCAGAGGAAAATAGGTTGCCGCGGCGCAGCAGTATCGTTCGCATCGGAGGGCCCACGCCCGCGGGCGGCGTTTGGGCCAGGTTGGAGATGTTGGCGGCGATGTCGCCAGGGTCGCCATTGTAAATGCCGGTGTATATCACCGTTGGAGATTTTGCAGCTAGAACGAGAGCATCGAGACGATCTATAAGCAGGCGATCATTGCGAATTAGATATCTGGAGGGATTAGTCGTGTTGGCGTGGCAGAGTAATGGGTAGTAGTGAGGAAGACTGGGTATTCGAGGATTAAACAGATAGTGAAAGCAAGGACAAGCCAAAGAAAATAAATCGAAAGACGGCACAAAGCAGACCAGAAAACAAGGCGATGATGCTGAGCTGGAGCCTGGTGGATGATTGCGGAAGATCGCCGTCTTGATAGAGTATGTGATGACGGGAGGGTCGCGGTATCGTACGGGAATTACCACCTGCACAGCCATCGATGCGTACGTAATTATACACGTGGTTAGCACCAGCCACAGCCACCTTTGTTGACTTGGAAGAGCAAGATATTTTTGGAATCAGACCGGCTGAACTGTCACATTGTCACTGTGATAGAGAATCTAGTCTATAGACGTATTCTCTTCCTGGGTATAGTAACATCAAAATCATCCCGAATAAGTACCAAAAGACCGCCACTTGTTGATATGAATAAGAACCAAAATGCGGCCTGCTTGAACCACTATATACAGTATGTCTTTGAGAAAGCTGATCTAAATTTCTCTATGGCATAAAAATGAACCTAGTTTGTTGTGGTTGTATTGACGACTGTGATCTGACCCTGCTCGCACCAATCATTGACCGGCTGTAAACTGTCAGTATGTCACGAGATCTCGCTTCCATGGAGGCGACTCACCAAGCAGCTCAGTCTGTAGCACCATGAGCAATTCGAAGTGTGATATTTGTAAAAGTCCACAATAAGCAAGATGAAGCCAATGAGGACTGCAACCAATGCCCCGAGTCGCACCAACCACCAGGCCCACCAAAGTGGTTTACGACCCTTGAAGAAACCCAGAGCACTGGAATCTTTCGAGCTCTTAGAGCCCTTGTGAGCCTTGAAAAATTCAGCAATGCTCGAGCCAGGATTGGTGACTTTATTTCCAGGATCAGCGCTGGCACCCGCGGCACCAGTCATGGCCACGTACGGGTTACGGGCAAGGCCAATGCGTTCGCGAAGGGCATTAGGAGATCTCATAATGCAGAGACCAGATGCCAGACCCATGACGAAGCCTCCAATGTGTGAAAAATTGTCCAAGCCCGGAAGCAACCCGAGCACGAACGAAATGCCAATACCAAAAACCATGATCACAAGCTCAACCCATGGACTCGACCGTTCACCCCAAGTGTAGAGAAGGTCCAAGATATAGAGGGCTAGGATGCCGAATAGACTGCCCGAGCAACCGCAAGAACTTTCGCCTTGAGCTGCGTAATTTCCGCCGAGCACGAAACCCCAGATACCGCTGGCCAAGTAGACAAAGGCGAACCGCCACCATCCCACCGTTCTCTCCATATCAGCGGCCATTGTCATTTGAACCAGCAAATTGAAGCCGATGTGAATGATCCCGGTGTGAAGGAACATGGGAATGATGAACCGGAACCATTGATTTGGCTCAGGGCGATCGTCCAGGGTGCCGCCCGGAACCGGGTTTGGGACTCCATCGAAACCGCACAGCTCCGAGAGGCTGCATACAAAATCCGCAGTCGATGTCGCGTTCGGACACGGGAATAAAAAGTCCACAGGCGAATTCTGAATCTTGTCCACGTTCTTCATACACGGCGTGTACCGCGCTCCCATGTTGATCTGAACGTACGGCGAAGGGCCGATCATCGGGTTGAACTGGGGGTGGAGTTCGATCGGGCTTCCTGTAAGTTGAGCTGAAAAAAGTCAGTATGATGGACCTCCAGCGGGAAAAACGGATCGCCGGAACCACATACCATTCTTCACCAGCTCGACGATGAAAACGATGACCTGGGCTATGGTCAATGTATATGTCACCCAAGCAATCTTCTTCTTGAATATCCCTTTCTTCTGTCTCCTTGTCGAGGCAACCGGGGGCCCTGCGGGCTCCATTGCCGAGGGGTCTGGCGCATATTGAGTTGGCTGCTGCATCCAGTTTGGCGGTGGAGATCCATTTGGATCCTGGTTGTGTGCTTTCAACGGTATATTGTCTGAGTAGTAATCGGCCTCGTTGAACCTCCCGCCTGCTACATATGGACCCCCTGATCTGATGCGATCGAATGCTGGCTGTGCCGAATCTCAGGTGAGCCATAGTCGGTAGTTGTATAAGGATGTCCGCTGTTGCCTGTGTAACCATGCCCCTGTGATACCGGAGAGACGCGATCGACGGGTTCGGTGTGAGGAAGGGTTTGCTCGTAGGTTGGGGGATTATTGCTGTAGCCGCCGTTGTAATAGCTGTGGGCTGCCATAATGGATGGACAGCCGCGGCAGGGAGATTTTGGCGCTAGACGGAGGTTGCTGCAATCCTTTGTAAATGGGGCTGGGGCGTATAACAAGACAGACGGCAGTGATAAATTCAGAGATATGGCGGTGACGAATTTAGAGGAATCGCAAATGGATCAGTAGATAGATATTCTCGCTATGAATTCAGTTGACCAAGTCGCGGCCACGAGCTGAAACGAGATAATTCCCCTTAGTTTGATGGATCCCGGCTGGGCAAAAGGAGCCGTATGCGAGCACGAGACGGCAATGACAAAGACGTCTATCAAAGGATTCTAACTCAAAGACACGACTCGCTTGGCAATCCAAGAAAAATTGGTAACGACTGAATCCGAATCAACAGAAATGATGCAGAAGCAGAGTTCGTTGTCAGAGGGATATCGAGGTGTTTTCTAGGCAGTCACTTTTGGCTCTGGCGCACTATTTTTGGCGCCGATCGTCTGGTGAACTCGTAAGATACATCATCATCGGCACTGTTTAACTGTCCAGCCACTGCCACGCAGCACTGTTCGGATGCAGCAAATCAAATGATCTTGCCGAGGAACCCACAAACTCAGATTACGACGATACTATTTATCTTTTGGGGCTGGGGTTGTCCAGTGGATCGTACCCTTGGGAGCGTTTACTCTGCCACACTAACTATCTATTTACTGCTTGGGTCAGGTACTGTACTCTATCCATACCTAACTGCGCTTCGACGGGATTGGTCCACCAGACATTGCAGGCTCAGCACAGCCACCTCATGTTTGACGTGTTTGATGTTTTACATAACTAATTCTCACTACGAGTCTATTGTAGCTCATCAAGCCGTGGTACACGCAGACAGTGTGTCTTCGTGTTCTGTTTCATACAACATTTGACATTAAGCATTATCCAACGCCTGCGGTCACACAAGCCAATCAGCTTCTGTTCCGCAAGGTAATTGTTGGTCTTGTACATCAACAAGAGAGACAGTGTGAATGCAATCCGTTGTGTATGATTGATAGGAGTCAACCCCGTCTGATCCAAAAACAACCTCTGGTTGTAGAAGCGAAAGATGAACGGCCCAGCGACCAGAGGTGCTCACCAATTGTCGCCCCTCCAAGCTTCGAGTACGCATTACTATAAGCTTCCCGTTGAATCCGTCCAGTACTCGTGCTCTCATTAATAATCCGGTTCCCTTCGCTTCATTAATTCTATATGGCGAGATCGTGTCGGCCATAGGATGAGATGATACCCAAAAGAACGCCCCGTTTTGAACGCCTGGAGAGAAATAATATAAAAAATCTTTTGAGCCGAAAATAGTCAGCTTGCTGCGCAAGAACGAAACTTGATCGGCAGAAGACTTACCGTCAACACTGACTTCCAGATCCAACCGGATGGAATATCAGAGAAAAAGTACAAAGTCGTTTATGTCTATACAAAAATCCAGTCCTCTCATGATGACGGACTCCCAGAAGCGGAGAATGCCGAAGATGCAGGACTGACATGCGCATCGAGAATGCCGAAGGCAGCTCCCATCTCTTCACCGCTGTGGCCGGTGAGCAGCCACACCAGGCGGCTCAGCTTCTGGTACAGCAAAGACGGGAAGTAGAGCACTAACGCCCAGAAGAGAAGAGAGAGCACCACAATGACGAAAGTGTTGGCGACGAGCTTTTCGCCGGGCGTCATCACATACAGTCCGAAAGTGACCTCATAGCGGTAATATCCCAATTGAATATGATCGCCAATGCGTTGCACGATGTTGCGACGGGGATTCTTCAGCGCCAGATGGCTTGCCGAGTGTGCGCTCGAAGCAGTTACCATTGTGGATGAATACTTGCTAATGAGCTCGTCGACGGCGGCCGGAGCATGGGAGGAGATGTGCGTCGTGGCGGTAGGGGTGTAGAAGGTTTGGAATTCGGTCGCCATGGGTGTGTAGGTCGGGCCTTTGCTTTCAGAGCTAAATTTCTCGTATCCTTGTTTCAGAGGAAAGCGGTCTTGTCACGCCCTTTTATAGGTATTGAAGTAGTCGCGTCAAGGGTACACTCCGTTTAGTTCTTTCCCTGTGGAATGGCAAGGGCTGGAGGAAGTCCCTAGCAAATACAATAACGTAGGCACGTCCCTTTTATTTGGCCGACTTCTCAAGAGCGTTGAGTACCTTTTCCCCGTCTGATCTTTTAAGCGAAGGGTCTGGCAAAACGGGTGCCGGGATAACCGGAAGAGGCTGAACAGATAAGACACTAGAATCCAATTGCTGAAAGACGCTGAAGGAGCGCGAATGCTTTTTTATGTAACAGGTAAGAACAAGAAGCGCGTAGCGTATCAATACAAGAGAGGGAGTAAAGGAAGGAAGAAAAACCCGACGAGGAGAGGAAGGAAGGGGTGTGATTAATAGCAGGCCTTAAAGATTATTATACCTTACCCATAGAAAGAGGAAGAACAGGATTGGCGAACCCGGTACGGCGCGGATGAGAACAGCCGCAGATCATCCACTTTTCACTAGCTTGCTGCCCTATGGGCAGGTATGTACCTAGCTCTGCCCGGGTATCTCAAAGTCGCAACAACTCTGGATGCTTAGATCGGTGATTATAATTAAAGATTCAACAATGGAATCTTAATTTTTCTATCCTGATCGATTAAACTGAAAGGTTGTAGCGACATCATTATTGCCGTGTTTTGATTGCCGTGTCTTGTCTGGACATTACTCAGCTAGGCGGAACTCATGAGCCGAACTATCATTTTATTTTTTTTTCTTTCTGATTCTTTTGTCTCCCGTGGAAACCTTGATTAGATCCAGATGAAATATGGTTAGATAAATATCTGACAGGGTCATGGTGGCATGACACGTACAAAGATACAACGGCTGATGGTTCTAGTCTCTTCAGGAGATGATCTTGTTCAGTCTCGGACTCCTCATAACATACTCCGTACATCTTTAGGTAGTTCTTCCTAATGAAGTGCGTGCCTGGAAGATCGTCATCTATTTTCTTGGCGGCTTCGATACCCGGGCTCGGTACGTCTCTAGTCTGCCAAGTATCTACAAACTCCATAGTCTATCTACTGCCTCTCAGCCAAACTACGTCAGCCATGGCTTTTAGATTGCTATACTTCCTTCAGAGCCACGTGATTATGGGGATCATTCACGATCCTCTTTCTGCAAGAGGTCATGGGTCATCCGAGTACTCTGTGCTGCTACTGCTTACTAAGGTAGGCATTTATTAACTTAACTTAATTAATGCCGCGGTACCTGGTCATGTGACCTCCCCTTCCGCCAGTGATGTCATGTGCTGGAACCCCCCACTTTCAGTACCTTAGGTATCCATAGTTGTGTCTCTGTTCCGAACTCTATCTAGATCACTCAACTTACTGTTCCTGACCACATCCCACTCCACCTATCCAACCATCCATCCATCCAACCATCCATCCATCCAACCATCCATCCATCCAACCATCCATCCATCCATCCATCCAACCATCCATCCAACTTCCATCATCATCATCATGGCGGAAGAAGAAGATCCCCTCATCAAGGCTTTGCCGCCAGCGACCGACTATCTCACCTACCTCACCCTGTTGGAGTACCAGTTGACGCCCGCTCGCTTGCCCACTCTGCATAAGCTGCTACAAGATGAGACCCTCACAACAAACATTGGCTGGGATCTGGTCCAGCTTTTACTACCAATGCTGCCCCAATCGCTGGAATGCTTGCAAGATGTTGCTCGCCTTGGTAACCCCAGAGAAGTTATCCTGAGGGTTTCTGATGCTCTCATGCGGCTTCAACCTGATGAGGACGACTCCAACGCGCACTCCCCGCCAGGAGACTTTGATGCACCGGAAACACAGTCTAAATCAACTACCAGCGAGAATGATAGACTTGGCGAAGGAACAACAACAACGCCTCCACGATATGTCGTGCAATTCAACTCCCTCGTCGCTATGCTCTCTATTTTACATTCCCGTATTCAGACCAAATCCCCAAGCCGATTTCTCGCGACATCCCTCCAGGCAGTTCTAGAAGCATACACCACACTGCCAACCAGTGAGACAACAATTGCACTTTTGGAGTTTCTCCGTGACGTGTCTCCGACGAAGAGACCTGCACCGCCTCCTAGATCGGCCAGCGAGTCTGGCGTGTTGCGGGTGTCGGCCGCGTCCGCCCCAGATCCCGAAGCCGAAGTCCAATCTCCATCGCCGAAGAGCAACGACGAGCAGGCTCTTGTCAAACGCTTCCTACAGTTTGGTCTCATCGAACTTCTAAAATCTTATCTACTGGGTTTGGCGGGTCCCATGGACCCAGGGATGTCCTGGGCCATCCGGTTGCATGAAAAGCTTCATCCTGAGACGCGCTTACCCGGGAAGGCCTCACAAACCGATGTGTATTGCAGTGACAACTATTTAAAGGACAGAGACATGATACTGGCGAAGATAATTGTAGGTTATGACTCCTTCCGCAAACATTTGCACATTCTGACCGATGTAGGCTTTGTCGAGTGACTTTGGTTTGAGCGACGATCAACTGCTCGCAATTGCCCTCCAGCCTGCTAAAAACCAGCCTGCGCCATTGGACTTTGATGAGCCCCCCAAAAATGTCGAGGACATTCCGCTGGAGAGACATGGCTCGCTGTTACTGCTCGCTGGACGGGCCGCCATGGCCGAGCTGTTCTCATCCGGACAAGTTCCTCCCATCCCGGTCTTCCCTGATTTAGCCCGTATCTATTCGAATTTCATCGGGCCAGTCAAATCTCCGGACGATGTAGCATTCGGGCAGCCGCAGCCGCTTCTAGACTCTTTACTCGCACTGACTACTCTTTCATTACGTAACAACGCGATCGGAGAATCCACAGACGATAAGGAATTTTACGATCTTCTTGTCGCAGTGACTGCTTGCACGACTCGGCAGACCTACAGCATCATCCGGCAGCTCCCCGAAGTCATTGTCCACAGCCATCCCTCTCAAAGCACCCGCTTCAAAGTCATCCGCAGGGTCCTAGAGGACGAGCATCTGCTGGCGGTAAAGGACCGAGCAGTCGGATGGCTGAAGAAGGAGATTCTGGCTGCGTCAGCTCAATCCTCCAATGACGCCACAAACATCTTCCTCAGCCCCCACTATTTCTCTGTTGTATTCCCGCTGCTTTTCAACTCAGCCGATATACTTCTCAACGTATCCACCGACATCGCAGCGTCGTGGATCCGATTCTCTCAGACACTGGCTCCATCCATCCACGCTGCATTGAGCCTGTACTACATCTTGCTTCAATCTTCGACGCTCCGAACGCAGTTACAGCTCGAGAAGACCTACCCTTACTTCCGCAGCCGATTCCTGGAACCCCTCAAGACCCTCTGTCATGCGTTCGAGACAGAGATGACGCAGAACGGCGGTGATGGCCGCATCGAGGCCGCTGTTGGAGAGGAGATGTCTCAGATCGGCATGGCCCGCACCGTCGGGCTCATCTCGCATGTCGTCGAACGGGTCGAGGACGCGCTGGAAAATGCGTTCAGGAGTACGGACCTAGAGTCGTCCGAGCCAAGCGCGGATGATATCGCTCGGGTGGATGCCATTCGGAAGGAGACCGTACTATGATGGTTACGTTTAATATACCCTAGTCGTATAAGCAAATGAAAACCGAGGCCTAGCTTCGAGCCATGCATGATATCCTTTATGTACTTACAACGTATGACAAAGCAATTGGTCAGATCTTCACATTCATTCCGAACTATCACGGCCAAACTTTGTAGAAAAACAAGTTCCAGCACCGACCAGATCTCACCCAGCCCAAGATACAAACAAGCAGACTAGCCGGAAGAAGACAACAGAAGCACCAAGAGAGTGGAATGACAAGGAAGGCAAGAGCCCAGGTCTCTCTGCCCCCTTCACGAAATCGCAACGCAACGTCCCTCCTCCCCTCCCCATCCTCACTACCCAACTATCTTCCAAAACAGCCCCCATCCAACAAAGTCGAATGCGTCATGTCGTCTAGGATAATCGTGTGCGCGAGGAACGAAGAGAGTCAAAAAGCACGCAGACCCCGGGAGGTCCGGTCACTATAGCAGAAAACAACTCAAACGGAAAGAAGACAAGTAGACGCCCGCATTTGGTCGGTTGAGTAATCTTGGGCTGGCGGTGGCTATCGCTAGGTTGACGTTGAACGGCACTGGTCGGTAGGCGCTAGAACATTGCGGGCGAGGGTCTCGTCGATGGGGCGTTTACATGACGACGCAGCCGCCACCGGGGGAAGCTAGAGACACCTGTTAGTATACTGCACTGCAAGACAGATTTGGGGGAGGGGGAGAGAGATGCATACACTTGACGACAACGGCGTCCTTGACAGTGCTCTGGGGAGACATTTTGATTGATTGGGGTTTTTGCGTGAAGCAAAGAATGGAGTTTGATATTTGAAGGTTGGAGTTTGGGATTGATAGGCTTGATGGTGAGAGAGAAGAGATTGGTCTTGGGGGATTCGACGATGGCTTTATATCTTCGTCTGAGGGGTGTTGAGTCGGCCTGCGAAATCTGTTAAGGTGGTGTAATCTCAGCTTTGATTCGGTGTTGATGAGGAACATAGGAGGAAGGAGAGTGATGGTCTGGTGGCTGAGAGGAATGGATGCATCTCTTGGACTTGAGTGGCTATACCATAGAGTCGGATAAAGAAGAAGGATCGATATTCAAGTCGAGTGCATTAGTATTCTTCCCGACTGGGTCAATGGGGTTGCGATGGCTCGTCAATGCTTGACTGGTGGGAGTATTCGATCGGCTTGATATTGTTCTCGACTTGAAAGACTGACATTGCCATTCTGGTCATCGGTCTACCGCGAGTATTCTTCTCCTGATATCACTGGGATATTCGGTTCCAGGATCTCAGCTGCGTAAAGAAGACCTCATTCATTTCGGCAGTCTCCATTTGTGGACAATCGATCTGGAGCACGATTCTTGGTCAGCGTCAATTTCGTCGTATTGGCCTTCACGCACAAGAGATACACGATTGTAGGAATACTTCATTGTGTACTTGAACGTGAGTGGCCCAGGTTCATGGCTCGTCGATTGACGCGCTGCCACGGTTTCTGGAGATCAATGGAAAGAGACAAGGATGTTAAGAGGCGTATAGTATCCATTGCAGATCATGTTCCCAAGAAGCAGAAACACAGTACTACTCTCATAATACAACGACAGTTATACCCAACAATGTGTAGATATTAGATCGATAGGTGGGTCAGGTTCACGGCCAGATATGTCGTCGTCCAATCAGAAGGCCGTTCCTTGGTATTGTTCTTCAAGGAACAATATCAACCATTCAGCCGGAAGTCATAACTTAAGAAGTCGCAGAGAAACAAAGAAAGAAGACGATAAGATCAAATTATCCAAATTACTAGATTCCTAATTAGTTCCAATTGAACAAAGAAATATCCCAACGTCCTCAAGTGTAAAGAGGTTCCGTCAAATCATTGAGAGTCAATCCCGACTTTGCAACATCTTCCTCGATCAAGAACATCAATGGCATCTCGACCAGCGTGCCTTTAACCTGACTCAACAGCTCCTTGACCTGTCGAACGCCTTCTGGACCAGGAGGGAAGTCGTCCCGCACAACATGTCCATATTCGTACCGCGCGGGCTTGACTTTCTCGTCCTTGCCGTAGGATTCCTTATCGGCGCTCTGGAAATAGTAGCTGTAGAACTCCCGGTATGTCGCCCAGTTGCGCACGGTGTCGTCTGGAACAGCATGGAAGACTTTGCGGAAGACCTCGGTATTTGTCCTTGCGCGAGTATTCCAGAGACTCTGAAGGGTATCCGCAAGAGGATCCGCCACGATTTGGCTCTCTGGAGCGTCAAAGTCAAAGTCGTTGGGAACACCTACTGGCTCAGAGTTGGCGTCTGGGCGTTGGTAATCTTGGGGTGGCAGGAGTCCGAGGTGCTTGCGGAACAGTTGTCGACGCAGAGAGGCGGCAAAGCGACTGGCGGTCCATGGCTTGCCATTCATGGTGGACTGAACGGGAGTGTAGTCTTCGATGATGACCGCAATCTCCGAATCGTGATCCCCGAGCTGAGAACGATCATTCAGATTGGCAGAGCCACAGATGACGATCCGGTCGTCGGCAATCATAACCTATTCGCCATTAGTCAATCAGTTCCTATCATACAAGGGCTATGTCCAACCTTAGAATGAACATAAAGTTCCTCAGTCACAAATGCATCTATCTCGGCCTCACTCTGACCTTCCCAAGGCACGTTGCGAATGTCCTCGCCGTGAAGCATATAACACTCGCTAACAGTATCCCACCGGCTGGGTGTTGGCTTGGTGGTCGACACTTGATGAGCAGCCTGCTGATATTGTTGCTGGAATGGAACACTTGTGTCGAAAGCGCTCCGAGTTGGCCCAGGACCATAGCCTCCCTGACCGACCGCATTCAGATCATGTTGTCTGCGAGCGTCTTCATAATTGACACCGCTTCGTTGCTCGGCTTCCATCATGCGACTGTTGACATTGATACGGTCGTAATTGCGAAGATTATAGAACCGGATATACTCCATCGGGTTTACCCCTTCCTTGGCAAGCAGCTCCATGATGCTGTGGCCTCCGCGGTTGATGGAGTTGTACTGGAACTCCATAATGGCACGCGTTCCCAAAGATGCATCGTCTTCCAAATCACCGGCAAAGCAGGGGACGGTAGGGATAACAACAATGATCTTGTATTTCTGGCCCGCCCTAGCTGCGCGCAGAATGCGTTCTACAATAGCAGCACCGATCTTGTTCTTCACCGGCTTCTGAGCATCACCTGTTGCTGTGATAAAGAACTGATTTTCGATGTAGACAAAGTGCTCACTGTTGCGGATCACAGCCGCGTAAGCATCGGCGATCGAGTGTTCGGTAGGTGTTCCATTACTCCATTTCGCACAGCTGCGCACAATCTGACAGGACATGTTGCCCCGTGACTGAGAGTTGTGGCGCCCGAAGGAAGTCAGACGATCCTGGTATTGGTGAACTTGACCCGCCAATTGTCCGCGAATGACATTGCCGTATCCTGTGAGCTCATCCTTGAGACGGCGAGGAATGAAGCCTGATCCCCGTTCGGGGTCGCCTTGGCCACGAGCTTCCTCATAGGAGTCGTCAAAGCCCCTTGTCTGGGAGTGCGATCCCTCCTGAGTAGGGGGAGGTGGGAAATAGGGAGCTTGACCATGACCTTGGGCTCCAAATTGAGACTGAGGGGCTGGGGAGTATTGACTGGGAGGCGCTCCCGGAGGTGGAGGAGGGAACGAATCCCCCGTATAAGTGGATTGGTGACCACCACTCTGCGATGGGGAGTAGCCGGCGTAGCTAGGCGAAGACTGGTAGCCCGGTGCTCCTTGTCCGCCAAAGCTCGGCTGTGAGGGATAACCAGAGACGCCGGGAGCATGTTGTTGCGGCTGGGTCTGGTGATGTGGCGCCGACTGTTGGGCATTGTATTGTTGGCCGGAGGGAGAGCCCGGTCGGCCAGGCAAGACAAGTCTGGTATATCTTGCGTCCTTGCGAACCTGGTACTTCGTGTCGTAGATGAAGTTCCAACGCTCTACGAAATGCCGACGCAAATCTTCCACGACCGGCCCATGCAAACTCACTGAGATATCGGACCATCCCATACGGGAGGTACGTTTCCGATCCAGCTGGTTCTTTTCCCAATGCACAACATCCTGGAAGTCAAGGACTCTAGAATTGTTATAGTCCTGACCGGGGAAGACAATGTCGTCCAGATTGGTGGGATGGACATCGGCGATAGCGTGTTGATGCGTATCCCATCGGCCAAAGCACATATCCAAGCCTCCCATGAAGGCGATTCTGCCATCGATCAAGCACAGTTTCTCATGGTGGGCCCAGTAGAGGATCACATCATCATTCATGCCATACAGACCCTTGAGCGCATCGCCGGACATCTTTGCAAGCGAAACCGTGTCCAAGGTCAGGTTTTGCAGCGAGGAAGTAATCGAGGATGCCAGTCCTTGACGATCCGGAAGATGATCAGGGTGGCGGAAGACTGCGATATTGGGATGGAGGTCTTCGAGAGCGTGCTTGGTGTGTGAGGAGGACACTGCGTGAGCTACCATCAGTATAATGCGCTCGGAACCGGAATTCCTTGCCGGTCTTAATCTGTAAGTTGGTACATACGAGTCAATGCCTGAGTAACCTCCTTGTATACAATGACGTTGACCCGCACTCCACGCTGCGCCGCGGCCTGCAGCATCCGATCCAGCCGATATTGTTCGTTTTTCGCAGGTGGACGTCTCAGGTACAATTCAGGAGATAGCCACCCTATCAAAGGAGTTAGTCGCGAAACAGAAGGTTTGCTTCTCTAAGGGATGAGCATCACTTACAGTCCAGAATCCAGATTGACTCCCTGGCGCTCTCGAGAGCTTTGGAGACGGCATAGAAGTAAGAGCATCCGTCGACATACCACTTCGCATCGTTGGCCTGCCGCGGAGGGGCAAAGCTACCGAATCTGTGCTCCGACTGAGGCTTATTCGTACCATACTGTGCATATGCCTGCTGTGGATCGAGAACATTGCCGACTCGCTGGGCGACTTCCGAGCCAAGTCCGGTGACGGTGTCTTGAAGTTTTCCTAAAAGCCCTGAAAGTTTGTCCTGCTTTGCTGGTTTTCCCTGGTGCTCGGGATTCTGGTACGGGTCCTGGTACGGGTTCTGGTTCTGGCTTCCGTATGGGTAGCTTTGCGAGGATCCTTGATTTTGGTAACTCTGTCCCTGAACCGACAGATAATATTAGCCACCGCAAGCACGAGGCACGCGAGCTTAATGGACTCACCCCATAACCTCCTGGGAAAGGACCCTGAGACTGGCTCTGTCCTGTCTGCTGGGGCTGGGAGTGTTGTTGCTTATAAGTGTCCTTCAGTTTTTTGAAGGTATCACCAACGAAGCTTCTCGTGCTCTCTCCCTGGCCATCTTCCTGTCGGTGGTACTGGCCGTAGGCCAAATTATCGTCTCGTCCAGACATTGCCAAAGTCAAAAGCAGGCGATCGAGTTATAGGGGTTGAGGCACAATATCGCCTGCAGCTGATCGCTTACCGAATCAACAACGAACCTCGAGGGATGCGGAACAATTTATCCATATCATTGCGGGACAACCGACATAAGCCGGGGTCAGATCAGCCCAGTCCCTCATTTACACAGCCTCACCGTCAGCTTGTTAGTTTGTTGACACGCGGCACGCCAATAAGCCACTATTGCCCCGCTATCCTGAGACAATCGGCAAGACAGCCCACTTTCAGCTTGAAAGACAAAACAGAGATCTCCTCGCCGATGAAGCCATCATTAGTTTTGATTATGACACAGAGCATGAAGTTGTCAGTGTTTTCAATAACAGGCACAGAATTCATGAAAAATGACATTTCCTGGACAGCCTTAAAGAAATTCCGTTGTAGTACTTGGCGGGGTTTTTTACTGTTGCCTACCCCTCGTATATCCCGCAACAAGCATTATTTTCGCACCATTGTGGCGCAGCATTTGAACATCATAAATGCAATCGCCGTTGATTTGTGGCTGACGTTCAGGGACTGTTGATGGAAGATAAAGACCATAAATTCGAGGGTGTTCGGGCTCTTTTTATCCTGGCAGGAAAGTTGCAGTGACAAGGGTTTCAGCTGAGGACTCGAACTTGATCATACTGTCCAGATATAATGACACTGGATGGCAAATCAAGACCGTCTGCTTCTGCCTTCAGTATGTGAGGTGAAATGGTCGATAATATGCACACTCGAAGGTACTGAATGTCACCAGCTTCATTGTGACCTCGTCGACGTCGGATAATATATCCTGATCGATTCTCTCCGCTTCTCAGCAGTCACCTGCGAGATATAGATATACAATGAATGACCGACGATTTCATAAGCAATAATTATCTCGGATATGTCGTAAGGAACAAAGTTAGATATAGAACCATTGATCCTGAGGGTTCCGAGTGAGGTTCTCCAAGCACACCAGGGTACTACAGCAGAGCGAGACTTGGAAGGGATAAACCCCGCAGGGATTTGCTGGAGACTGGTCAGGTACGGTAAAGAAATTACCTTATCTTTGCGAATCATCAGATAGGCCAGGAGAGGATAAGGTAATGGAGTAGTAACAGTACATTATCAGTGACAACTGCCTTATCTTTCTCTCCCCGCACGGTGTGATCTCAGTATTGGAGAAGATGTCCCGCATCAGCTTATAAAAAGGCCCATATCGCTGCACTAATGGAAGACCAGTCCTTACCTTCTCTTCTAAAAGGTTGAAACTGTCGGTAAACATAGTGACATATTCTCCCAAGCAGATATCTTCTGGAATCGACTCCACACACCACATCAATCCTCATCATGTCGCTCGCAACACTTGACGTCAGACCACTCCCCTCCGCAACCACCAGCTAACCCACTAACGAAATAACCAACAGGCCACCCAGCATCCCAACCTCCCAGCATCCGCAGCAACCCTCTTCAAAGCTAAGGCCCAGAAGAAGCTCAGCTTCGAGCAAATCGCCCAGCACATCGGCCGCAATGAAGTAGCCACAGCAGCCCTCTTCTACGGCCAGGCAAAGGCCTCCCCAGAAGACATCCAGAAACTCTCAGAGCTCCTCGATATCTCACCCCAGGTTCTCGAAGAGCAGCTAAGCGGCTTCCCGGACCGTGGTCGCTCCGTTGAGATGCCACCGAAGGAGCCCTTAATCTACCGGTTGTATGAGATTGTGCAGAACTACGGGTATGCGTACAAGGCTGTTCTCAACGAGAAGTTTGGGGATGGGATTATGAGCGCTATTTCATTTTCGACCAAGGTGGAAAAGGAGACGGATGCGGATGGGAATAATTGGGCTGTCATTACTCTGAGGGGCAAATGGTGAGTTTCTTGCTCTAGCCTTGGATGAAGCTGACAATGGCAGGTTGCCTTTCTCTCGTTTCTGATGGGGATATGATATGAGATTGAGATTGAGATTGAGGTTTGTCAAAAGTCAAAGGAAGGTTTTCCAATATGAATAGGTATACAATATATGGTAGCACATCTCCAGGGATGTGTATAGTTGGAGGAGCACTACGTTACGAGCACTCAAAGTAGTAAACTTGTGGTCAATACCAATTTTGAACCATACTAGTCGTAATACATTCATGCTTTGATCTGTCTCGCTGACGGAGGACACAAGCAAGACTTCCTGTAGGGTCAGTTAATGGCTGTTATGTACCCGAGTAATTATTCTTGTCAAGTTAAGAACGAAGTGAAAGGATCCTCAACGGAAGGACAGATGCGACAACTGCCCATGAGGCTAGTAGATTGTTCTCAGCTGTTCCTCGCAGAGCTCTACAGACTCAGAGGATGGTAATGGAAAAGAGTGAATGACTAGACCTTTAAATACGCCACAGGTCAAGCATTCTCAGTGAGATTTCTTAAGAGGGATGCCTCACTGTTTTCAATTTCTCTCACTTGTCTTTCAGGATTAAAGGCAGACTCTACTTTTACTTCTTCTTCTCCCCATCTTGCCAATTCAAACCTACTCTTCAATTGACAAGCTCCCTTCGCTCTTACAACACCTCTTCTTCATCCGCGTCATTCCTACATATTCTCACCTTCCCCAAGTCCATCAACAATGCCTAACCCAGCTACACCCAAGAAGGTGCTCTGCACTTTTCCTGACTGCCCTCGCCGCTTCAACACCGTCGAGGAGATGAAGAAACACAAGAGCTGCGCCCCCGAACACGAATACTGCACCCGCTGCGACGAAGACTTCGAGAACGAGGAACGACACCTCATCCACAAGATCAAAAGCAACAAGCACATCGTCTGTCCCATCTGCGGCGTTGACTTTCGAAGTGAGGGAGGGCGTGACGGACACATTCGCCAGGTGAGCTTTCCTCAACCCACCACTTTCCTTCACGCAAATACTAACTATGAGGGCTGGATAGTACCACCGCGCCGAGCAAACCCTGACCTGCTATGGCTGCAAAGCTCTCTTCAAGACCGCCGGCGGCCTTATGCGCCACATCGAAGATGACGAGTGTCCCGAGATCACCAAGAGACGTCTCCTGGAGGAAAGATCGAAGAAGATTATGATCAAGCAGGCTCTCGGAAGTGGCGTGGGCTCGCCGCTGCCCATCCTACCCCGTCCAGGCGATTTGGACGACGTCGACGGCGGCGTCAAGGTGAATCCTCTGGAGTACGACAACCGCGAGGCGATGGCAAACCAGCCGAAGCCTGGCGATGATGGCTCAGCTATATTGCCGCAGAAGCACTGGCCAGAGCTCAAGACGGCTGCCAAAGCCAGGGCAACGGATAACCCCACACCTGCTGACCTGATGGCGTTCTCTGAGCTTGCCATCACGGACAAAGCCGGGAATGGAGACTGGAAGGGCAAAGGGAGACTCATAGCAATTCCGGAATCCGAGAGGGAGAAAGACGAGAATGAGCGTCCCTTTGGAGTGGGAGCCCCGGATGCTGGCCAGATCTTGCGCTTTCTGCAGCACAACTGGGACCCGACCAACTTTTTCGACTCGTACAGCGGCGAATTCGTCTGTCCTTGCAGAGCACGCTTCAAGACCATAAAGGTGTTTGAGGAGCATATGTTGATGAAAAGTCAGGGCGCAAGAGGCATGGAGTATGTATGGTGGCCTGGCTCGGTTGCAACGAATGCTAACTACTACTAAAAACTAGGTGTCCCGGATGTCATCGTATCTTCAAGACCACCGCGGCTTTGGTTGCTCACTGCGAGTCGAGCACCAAAAGATGCCATATCAACGCTAACTCGCGATACAGTCAGATCATTGACGAGGTGAGCGCCGGCGTCATTCAGGCGGCGGGCTATATGCCAGATGGAACTGTGAAATATGAGGCTGGAAAACTGGAATTGACCAAGACGACCACTATCGGCGTTGACCTTGAAAAAAACAAGTGGTAGTTCACGGACACCGAGGATCCTCCTCCTAGTTCCATACTACCGCGGCAATGGTTGAGGGCATAGGAGTCGTGCAGCAGGTATTGCGAGGGTTTATCAGATTTATAGCCATTGCTGCATAGCATTCAGGCTAAGTTGACCAAGAGTATGTTTTACAAGATCAGCCTGCTGGAAATTCAAAGAGGAAAAAAAATGTTCCCCAAAGCAATGGAAAGCAGAGAAAAGTCAACAATATTCAAGAATTCATTCTCTATGGCCAGCAATCAGCTAGCAAAGGGTATAAATGAGCATCATAGGGCAAAATAACATTGCCAAAAAGACTTCAAGGCAAACAATGCCAGCAGGAACCGAGCGTATATCCATAGTTCATGACCTCCCTCCTTATGAGCCTTGAGTCCCCGACCAGCGACATCAACGCTTAACAGCACTCCTCACAGCACTCGAAGCAGAGGATACCGGCGCAACTAATCCACATTAGCCACTTTCAACAGTCAGCTAGTATAACGGGTTCCATACACTCCACAGCAAACATCTCCGGCGCCACCACCGCGCAGCTGCGTCTTCATGGCCTCCTGGTTATTCTGTAGACAGTATTAGTGTTTATTCCTGTTTTGTGAGGGTGAATGGATAGAAACGAACCGGTTGCTCAGTCACAACACGCTCTGTAGATGGGGCCTCGGGGCTAGCGGGCTGCTGCATGGTGAGGGTGTTCGGGTCCCAGGTGGGGTGTTGCTGGGCGGGAGCAGAGTCCTTGGAGGATTTGAAGAAGTCGAAGAGGCCCATTTTGTTACAGATATGTCTCGTAAGAGAGAGTAGAGTTGGAATAAGTGTGCCAGTAAGGATGAAGATGAGATGCGGAGAGATCGGCGCGAGTATGAATGGGAAAGAAAACAGGTACGGGAGAAGGTGGGCAGTGGGCTTATGTACTTGCGAACCCTCACTTCCCCCGTAGAAACGCCGGGAGAAAGATAAAAGTACAATAGCACCGCCACTAAGTTTAATAGTCGGAAATTATAACTAGTGCTCGAATCGGAAGATCAGCACTGAAATCTACGAATACGGAAGAAATCATCTGGTCGGGTGGAGTGGACCACTCATTGCACAGGAAGAATCCACGCTCTTTGGCCTTCAGCCTTGCGGACTTGCGTTGTCGGTGGGGTCTTCTTTGTCATTTTGATCATCTGGTGGACTCTCTTCGATTCCCTAAATTCATCCTTCATTTAATGTCGCATCATTATTTAATTGACTTTGGGCCGAGGCGTCGAATTTCACCTTCCAGAGCACTCTCCTGTTTACCTGGAGAGGTCAACCAAAGCGACACCCGACAGGCAACATGGTCTCAGGCGTTTATGATCCCTGTATATCTTGCCTCATCTTGAGATATCAGCAAATGGCTCAGTGAGAATACAGTATACATGAGACAAGGTTGCTGAGCAGTGTCTCCGTGTCTCAGGATCACAATCATTGTGGCTTGTTAGCAGTTAGGCAACCTCATTTCCGATGATGCGGTGAAACCACGGGTCAAAGTCCAGGTCTTGTTTGTGGCTAAGCTTTGCTCAAGCTCCATTTGCCCAGCTTGGCGGGGGCTATTCTTAGGATACTAGTCGGTGCCGAAGGCCGAAGTGATCTCAGTCTCGTAGGGCTGGCTGGCAGGTTATTACGTCGCGGTCCATGTTCTACCATGGCCACCCGTTTTGCTCAGGGTTGCAATCACCATGCACCAGCGTAACTTCATATTTCGACAGAGAATGGGAGGACTTCTCCACTACAGGCCAACAGTGATGTTGTGGAATAGTAGCGCTGTACTGGAGAGGACGAAATCACGTGATTATTCATCGACAGTTAGGTCTTTTTTATTTCAAGTGATCATTCCTCAAATACACGTGCTTATGTGGTAACATATCTGTACTCCGTATAGCCTCATATCAATTTCAATCCCCTCCTGGCTGGTGATGAGCTAACAGCTCGATCAGGTACAAGCTGGCGGCCAATTGACAATTTTAGATGTCATATGCCCTAGAACGATGTATGATGGGTGATTTAAAACGTGCCCATCATCCAACCTTGATGTGGTGCCTGAAATGTACCGTTCTTTGATGTACCATAAATCTGTGCCTGAAGAAACAGGCAGCCGCAAATGCTGGCCAGAACTGCATTTGTGGCTACTCCGGCCACCGTAAATTTTGCATCAACCGCCATCGACATCAGTCTTCAGAGTCCGAAATAAACTGACAATTTACCAAAATTCAAATCTATTCAAACTATTCCTAAACAAGCTCCCTTCCTCAAAATCCACAATCTCGATCAGGGCACACTCCAACCAAAATGAGCACAAATCCCCCTGAACAAGACATCCACTCCATCCGCGAAGCAGACTACCTCCGCTTCAAACACTACGCCGCCCTAACCTTCCTAATCGCCTCACCCGTGCTCATCGCCCTGCCCCCCGAAAACTAGACCACCTGACCGTCCTCCTCGGCGGCGCCTTCTGCGTCTCCGCAAACCACCTCACCCGCGAACGCACAGGGCGGAGTATCGTCGAGCGCATCGAGGCGCGAATTACTTCCGCCCCGTCACTGGTCATATCCGATCTCCCGAGCCAGCGGGCGCAGGAGGTCCAGGCGAAACTGCGTGCGGCGCGGGATGCGCAGATCCGGGAGGGAAGTCTAGTGGGCGAGGAGCTGGAGAGGTTGAAGGCGAGGCGGGAGCACGACAGGGGGTTGCGGAGCGGATTTGGATGGGTGGGGAGACGGAGGGGTGGAAGGAACGGCGGCTGAGAGAGGAGCAGAAGGCGTTGGAGGAGGGGAAGGGGTATGGGGATTTGATCAAGGAGCATATTTGGGATGTGTGGACGTGGGGCAGAAGGATGGGGAAAAGGAGGAGGACAAGAAGGAGTGATTATGCAGATGGGGTGGTGGTTTCATGGCTGAATTGTATGATATAGGCATGTATATATGGGTTTGGAAAACTTTGGAGTTTGGCGTTGGTCAATGATACTTCAAGCCATTGGGCACCCTGAATGAAGATCCTCATTCTGAACAATTGGATACTTTGAATTGTTTCGCATCAATCGTGAATTGCGAAGGTGTTATACTCTGCGCGGGTCTCAGGACATGCTTTGGCTTTGCCTATTCATAGCTGAGATGCTCGAGACTCGGAACTAAGCTCTGTACGCAAAATCACCAAAGTCCTAACCTTACTTAGTCCAAGGATCAAATCGCTCGAGTGTATAGTGTTCTGTTATCGAACCCCAATCTCCGCCATCTTCTTATCAGATAGCCGGGAAACACCCCGAAGATCCTGCGTAACCTTGCTGCTGGTCGATCCACCAGGGATAGGAATTATAGTTGGCAGTCCAGGTCTGCCGCTGAGCGTCAAGATCCAGCCTAGTGCAATCTGTGCCAGAGCCACCCCTTTGCGAGCCGCGAGAGCCTTGACTTCGTTCACGAGCTTGATGTTCTGCTTCATAGCATCGTCCTGGAATCGAGGCAGCCTCTTCCGGGGGTCGTTGCCCGGAAGGTCGGATGCTTTAGTGAACGCGCCGGCCAGGACTCCCCGGCCGAGAGGGGATCGAGCAATCACGGGGATACCAAACTCGACGCAGGTTTTGAAGACGCCGTTGTGGAGGGCATGCGTGTCCAGATGGACAGTTCTACTTCCACGAGGGCAATAGGGTAGATCCCGTATCTGTTCGGTCATGAATAGTTAGATTTCATGTTGCCACTAGGAGCAGCAGGTTTGAGAAGGAGTAGATGAGGACTCACGCTTGTTTAATAGTCTCTGCATCATTTACCTCGCTTAGACCAATGCCCACAATCTTGTCTGATCCGAGGAGATCTGCCAAGTATTCCACCATGCCCTCTAAACTTACGGCTTCGTAGACGCACAGTTCCATCCTGTTTACACCATATCTGCAGTCGTTTCATGATCAGTTCGATGCTTGAAGTAGCAATTAAGCTCATATCCTTACAAATCAATTTCATAGGGAGAAGCACAATTGAAATGCTAATTAAGGAATTCAAGGATGACGAACGATATGCAGATAGTCATATCCCAGTAGCAACGACCTAGTGAATCTCATTTTTGCAGATCCTGCAACGGGACGACTTAGCAGCTGACTATGTGTCATTTATGGCCTGAATTGATCCATGAGATATCCCACAGTCTCACCTGCGGCTGAAGGTTACCGCTTGTCCGTTCGAATATATCGTTCCAAAACAGCTTTCATAGTAGAAGCAGCAGTGGCTGAAGCGTAGTGCTGCCACTTCTTATTCTTATGACAGTCTGCATAGTCACAGACGCCTTTAATAATGATGCAGGGCATGTTGTCCCATACACCTGCTCCCTCCATCTCAAAGGCAATGATGTTGTCGATTGCAGCAATCATATCTCTATCCTCCCCAGATTTCATGACTGTGTCCCCAGATGCAATCGGCCCAAAGTGTATAGCAGGCTTATGCACGTTACCGCTGTTCTGATTGTCTTTTATACCTGCAAGTCGCTGCCTTGGCACTAGTTGGCTCTCATCGCATTTCAGTTTTATACATGTGGAGTCGAGAGCTTCTTCACAGACAGGATCTGATTTGCCGGTACACTGGTTGCAAATTTGACAGTTTTGATCTTCAGAATGTTTATGACGATAGGCAGGCTGAAACAATCGGTCTTCCGCAATATCAGGAGGCTCATATTCCCCATCATCGACCTTCATCTGAAGATGTTTAAGGTGGTGCAGCATTCGCGACTGGAGAAGGTGCAAGAATCTTCGCGTCCTTAATGTCGCCACAAAGGCGCGGATGTCCGCATTGGCCCTCCCAAGACTGTCCTGCAGTGTATCTTTCCTTTTGAATTTGTCCGGCAGACGTCTCCCAAAGTCATATTGAATTACATATTGACTGATCACAACATCACCCAGCAATATCTCCTTACCTTCTGCATTCTTTGGGACAGCGCCACAAATACCCACAAGCAGAGCAAGCTGCACTCCTCTGTAGCTGGAACGGAAGTTTGCTGCTGCTCCCGCTGCGTTGGCTTTACCCATACCCGGTAGGAGGGCAAGGACCACATTATATTTGCCTATCCTGCCAGTTGTGTAGGTGTTTTGATCCCCTGAGATCCTGCCGTAGCGATCGCCATCCTCGTCCCAGTATTGGTCGAAGAGCGGGGTAACGGCGTTGAACTCGGTCTCCAAGGCGCATATTATGCCTACTTCAAACTCATGGCGATGGGATGGTGGGCATGAGGGCTCGGTGTCATCATTCTTGACTACTACAGGAGCTGCTGCTGCGAGACACTCAAAATTAGCGAGTACACCAAATGGCGGAAAAAGAGTAGCAGACAGAATCCGCTACTGAATGTTAACTATGCCAGCGTTCTTGGAGAGGGCCATGAACGGGGGTGCATTGTCACAACCCACTCGAAGCTTGGGTCTTACCCGATTGAAGTTGAGGCGCAAACTGCCCAAGATTATTAAGAACTCGAGTTCCAAAGAGAATACTCCAAGACAGACTAGCAACCATTCCAGCCTGGCCAACGAAGCTCACTCTTTTGTTGGCAGTATCGATCTGGATGTTGTTGATATAGCGAGCACCAGTTGCCTCCACGGTCCTGATGGTAGCGCCTGCTGTGTTTGTTTGAACTATTGCCAGCGACAACCGATTGTCAATGTACGACAACGGCCAGAAAATGTAGTTGCCCCACAACAACACGGGATATGAGGATATCGAACAATCGGTGTCAACGGCGAGCTTTGTGCCAGATGGAGGGGAACAGTTGCTCGCATCAACGTAGTTGATGCTGGGCTCGCTACCCTGTCCAAGCGATGACATCTTCCTTCGTTTAACGATTTATTGAGAAATGTTAAATGACTTTGATTGAGGAATCTTGCGCTCCCTGCGTCCGTAGGGAACTAACTATTGGGTATGATGGGCATTTAGGTCCTCAGCGCATGGTTCGTGTACAGAGGAGTGTTTCCCTGTTCCACTAAGCATGCGTAGCAATAAGGTAGCTCTCTTCTTCCCGACCATGGGCAGCCTGGTAGTGAGGGGTATCCCGACTTAGTGCTGAGTAAGAGGGAGCAGCTTCTCTGTAATTTTTGCCGCTGTCATGCATGGCAAGGGTGGTGGGAAACGTAGCTAGCAGCTGAAACGTCCTGGAGATACGAGGGATAGATGCAGATCTAATTGGCTCGGCTTTTAAGTTGTTTCCATTCTTTCTTCCTCCTCGCTGGAGCCTTCTGCCGTGCTCAGCAGTGATGTCCAGCCGATACATTCCGGTCCTAGCAAACAACTACTATGTGCCAATATCACTAGTTCACTACAGAGCTGTGATGGCCGCGAGGTCATTGGTCCCGAGCATAGGCCCAACCCGAGAAAGGAGTCAGGTATGGCCTGAGTTCTCTGGTCTCAAATACTCTAGAGAACCATTTCGTGCAAGCGTCTCTTTGACTGTGCGGTGGTAACTACTCCATATAGAGTTCAATCTGTTTGCTTCCACATACGTATCTTCCTGCTCAGGGTGGCATGCACAATTCACAGTTGTCTGTACATTAACATATCAGTTGTCCTGGAAACTTCCATCTATCCAAGTCCCACGTCTAACCTTTCCGTTTTCGTAGATCATTTTCCCATGCCCATGAGGAATACCCCTGTCTTTGAGATCTCCTTCATATATCTGCCCCTTTGACTTGTGAAGGCGCCCGTATCCTTGTCCTGTATCAGTTCTGTCATCCCAGGTTCCCGTATAATAGTCCCCGTTAGGCCAGCGCTTTGTGAACTTTCCAACCAAATTGTTGCTCTTATAGATCCCGTTGATAGTCATGCCATCCGGTAAAGTATAACTTCCGGCACCGTCTCTTTTCCCGTTAACGAAGCTACCAATATAAATACCCTTATTTTTCCATTGCTTCTCTCCCCGACCGTTCGGCGCATCATGACGCCACTCGCCGTCGTAGATGTAGTCTGGACATGAATATGCGCCCTTGAACCATCGTTCACCGTTTTGCCACTGTCCTTCGTAGTAGGACTCTCCGTCGTTATAAATTATTTTGCCTTGGCCGTCAGGAACCTTGGAACCATTGGGCTTGACAATCGCGGTACCAGTGTACTTGCCCGGATTTGCTGAGGTGGTCCAGGGCAAACCGGTCACATGGGTTCCTGTCATTATAGCAGCGTTCGAATCTGCTATTTACTCTGTTTTCAAGGCGGACTCTGGGCGTCGCCTACTTGGACTGGAACCGAAATACTGCCAATCTTTTGGGAGATTAGCACTTTTGTCGGAGCTGGAACATGCCCAGCGGAGCTGTCTATTAGCGTCGATGCTGTATGTTGGTAGCCTAATTTGGGCCAGCATGTCAGCATACCTGCATTAAAGCCAGCCTCATACTGAAACCCTCCATACGTATCCTAAAAGGTCGGACCTTGAACTCCTTGATAGAACCCCGCGAAGAGAAACCAAAACAGAATAGTGTTGGTTCCGAGACTCCGCCCAGACTGACCGGCTACCGTCTAGCTCCAGAACCAACTGTGGGGTATCAGGCCTGTATTGTACGCTCGTTAGCTGATTTTTGACCTCTTTTATTTTTCGTGACTGGCGTAATGAACATGCTGCCTATCTCTCTCTCTCCATTTGATGTACGACTCCATTTGGCGGTTCACGGGCACTGTTGACTCGAACCGAGGTGTGGGAATTTCCGGGTTGCAAGGGAGGACAGTTCGAAAAGGGGAAATGAGCCTGATAAACTAGTCAGTCACTATGGCATGTCAAGCGGCTATGCTATAACTATCTATTTCGAATACACACGGGAGTAGCTAGCCATTTAGCACCTTATCAACCGGACCTTGTCGTCCGACAACCTCAAGCCAGATATTTCTTCACTGTGGGGAATATTGATATTTACAAGTCTGTTAGCATCATACTCTCTCTATCTTCATCTGGCGGCGCTGTCTGCCCGAACCCAAGTTTCTTCGTAAAACTTATACGGCGAATCTTCAGGCTTCACATTCTTCACCGGATTCCCACTCATCTTCCCTTCCGGCGGCGTTGCCATTTCACCCCCAACCGCTTTGCTCGGGGGTTATGCTGTCGTATATGAGCAGTCGCGAATTCCAGGCCCCGGCGACCGAACCCAAGACCCTGATACCGGCCATCAATCATGGATCACTAAATGTAGTATGCCTTTTCAGGATCCCATATTTACCATCATAAGCATGCCGACAACCGTCTCGTCGGCGTAGATGGCTCGTACCCACGCGTCTTCGGAGTAATGCGCTTCGCAGGAGTCCAGACGTTGGGGGCGAGGTTTCCTATCTGGCCGGCTTTAGGGCTCAGGTTTGCTACGGCGCGCCAGTTTTCTTCGGTGACTTCGCAGAATATGAGGGTTGAGTAGGGTTCCTGATGGGAGTTTCTGCCATGGGCATTGATGAGGGTTTGAGTGGGGAAGCACTGCGAGACTCGAGGAAGAACAATGATCACTTCACAGTAGGAACAAAGTACAAGTAGTGCAGCCTTAACTTCCCTTTTTATACTTTGCCACAAAGCGTTGGTCTCCTCTTGCGGAATTGCCTCGCCAGACCTAACATGATAGAACATAAGCAGCTCTGCGTGGGGTAAGCTGCCAATCGCGGAACCTGTTCCGTGGGATAGTCATTGTGGAATAGAAAGAAGTCGTCTGAAGAGCTAAGCGTTGGCTGCAAGATCATTTTGTGAGCATCATGATCTGGAGGACATTGGAGATTATTCTCGAAGAGATCAGTCTTGCACTTCATATGACTGCTCCCCACTGGCCGATGTCTATCTGTGTTGTAGATCCATTGTCACCGACAGTGTCAAGTGACCATGTTGACATCTAAAGGAAAACTAGATGCTTGGAGAATCCCAGAATACAAAGGCCGAGGAAGTTGTACCGTTGGCAAGTGGCATCGAACCGGCACCGGTAAAAGACACAGCAAAAACCAATGCCATCGCGTTATTGAACTGCATCTTCATGTTTTTCTGCTTCACCTTCTCTAGGCACAGCTTCGATCTGAAAGGGTTGTGGCTCGCGGAATATGTGGGCGCTTCCAACTGGGTTGGATGAATCTCTTGGGCGTACTCGCTCAACTCGTGCTTGGAGAAGGCAGGAGTTTATATAATTTCGATCTTTTGGGACAGAGTGAATGTTGTCACAGGTAATCCTGTAAACGTACTTTGTCGGGTGAAGTGGGATGTAGATGACCTCGTCTGGCAAATCTGAGTTGTAATTGAGGATATCTTCCACAACGTCAGAGAGGTTATGATTGCTTGGGGTACCCTTTATTTCATGAAGTGCCATATTGTTAGCCGCCCTTCTTAACAAAGTGTTAGATGGGAGTAGTAGATATGATGGGGTTTGACAAATGATTTGCGTATGTTAGGATGTCCGCGATTTTACGCCGAGGAGGGGAGAAGCGATCCATTTATAGAACTTGATATGGACGCACCTGATTGACAAACTTTTGCCACGCTTGATACCAGGATAAGGATCAGCCAAAAGCAGAAAGCAACGAATACAATATGGATGTTTGTGCTGGTTTAGAAAGCTCCAATAGAATATGAGAAGGTAATGAGTAATGCTACATAGCATTATTTTGTGACCTCAATGCTCCTCCATATAGAAAGAGCAGGAATAAGCACAATAAGCAGAATAAGCCGGATCAGTAGCTAAAACAGATGATATCAGACTTCGTTCGAACTTCTACTTAGAGGACATGCCGACATGTAGTCCCTAAACACTCGTGCTAGTTCCAAGCCTTGCCAAGGACGTCCAAAACCTGATCAACCTTTTGATGACCTATATGCTCTTGTCTTCAAAGAATATTCTGTCACATAGCAAGGCATTTATCGTGGTGCCTCCCTGAAGAAGAGGGAAGTACTGGACTCTCAGTCTGGTTTCTATACTGGAGAGGCAGTACCTGGGAAAGGTATGGTATCTCTAGAAAAAGCATTGACAGAGCTCAGACTAATGTAACCCACCAAAAGGGAGACCAAAGGAAGACCAGGGTATGGAGAAGGCTATTTCAAAGCCCACTAATCAAGAATGCATGTTTTCCGGTGAAGGGGAAAGAATGTTTGACAAGCTGACTGATTTATACCGTCTTGGGGTTTTACTTGGGGTGCTTCCCAAGATGACAACTTCATCGGATTACTTTCGAACGCAAGAGAAAGGCTTCGCATGTTGGTACAAATTCCCGAATGATGATATAGAATGTTCTGGTATAGGATTAGTTTCGACAGTCTGTCAGCTCATCTGGAGGTCGTCTCATGAGAGGCACTGGATTACTGAGAAATAATTTGGGTATGCTAGGGTATCCATGATTTTTTGGTTGCGATGAGCTGCACTCCCCCTTTTAATTCAGTCAGTCGACCAGCTCCAAAAAATCTATCTGTTGCCTGTGCGACGACTGCAGAATATTCTTCCAATTTAAAGGCTTTTCTCCCCGTGCTCGCCTCCAAAAGTTAGTCGAAGCCAATAGCTCCGGAGAGTCTGTTATCATCCACGTCCATTTGTGCGCGAACCTCTCGGTGACCTCCCAGTTCTTTGGATCCCATGGGTGGCCCCACACAAGCAGCGTCGCGGCCGTGTTCCTAGTATCCCAAAAAGCCATCAGGTCATGACACAGCTCATCATCGTCGAACGAATCGCCTGCGAGAATCAGACGGTGGCGCATGCGGGGGAACGGGAAGAAATCCAGCCACGGATGATGCGGGACCTGCAGCTGGACGGGGGTCGGGCGTAAGCTAGGTGGGATTCGCTCCGTGGCAAAACTGGGCTGCCGGAGATTGAAGATAGAAATGGCATCATCGCTTCTCATCCATTCGGGGGTCATGCCGATCATGGTAATATTCTCGTTGATTGCTCGATGGACGTTAAGGCGGCAAAGACTGATCAAGTGGTCTCGCTGTGGAGAGCCGTTCAAGTAGCTCTGGTAGGCTGCCGTTTCGAACCATTGCCGGAACCGCAGCGCATGAGGCGGAGCGTTGGCGCATGGGAACTTGTCATGTACTTCTGCGGCGGCGGCGGCGGAATAGAAATCGCGCAGAGATCTATCCCAAGAAGAAGGAGCAGCAGCAGGGGGAGCGAATATGCTCGTTTCGGAATGCGGTCCTACTGGAACTACCCGCTTCCTCAAGCCTAGCAAGGTGGGTTGTCAGCTTTTGAAGTTTGTCTATCATCTTGCTTGCCGGGGGGTGGAGGGGGGAGGGGTTGATGCTGTATCAAGTTCACGTTAATACGCACGGTAGAGTCGCTGATTCAACCGGTTCTGTAATTTCCTCCGTTCTTTTCGATCTATGACGCCCGTCCAATCATCCTGTGGCGCACAAACACCTGCCTGTTGAGGCATGCTGGCTAGTGGGATCATCTCGTAACGCGGTGTATGTATTTCGTATGATGGATGTATACACTCCATGATGGAAAAGGGAAGAAAGCTGCTAGAAGTCACGAAGATGGAGCCTTAATGCAAGACGATGACAAAAATCAACTACGTAGTCTCATTACAGGGATCCACGGAGGGGCGAGCGCCCAGAGGGGCTCATAACCAGACCAAACATGCTCGTTACTTTCCACAGTGGCAGAGATGCTGTGGCTTATCAGCAACATTAGAGTTGTGCTAGTTAATGCCGGGTGCTTACGTCTCTAGCCTGATTTGGTTAACATGCCAAGAATAATATAGACTAGCTGGCAGAGAGCCAGAAAGTTGCCGCCTACTACAGTGGCAGGTCAAAAGTCTGAAACCAGTGGTATTACCGCTAGCTTAACTAGGAAATTCCTTGCCTATACTGCCACAATTTAAATCTTCAGATACCCTCTCAAATTAACAATATCACGGCGCTTTACTAAAAGTAATCACTGTAGATGCAATTATACATATTTAGGCTCTATAGTATTGGATAGAATCATTATACGCTTCATAGAAAGCATCATAATATCGCTTATAGGACTATTATGACTGCTAGTTGTTGAGAATCTATCCGGATCCCTAATCAGGCTAGCGGTAAATACATTGGATTCAAACATTTGACGTGCCACTGTAGGTATTCAGCAATTTCTATTTTCGCTGGGAGGAGGCATTTACTTGGGAGTAAGTGGCGTAGAGGGACGTCTTTCTCCGGGCGCTAATGCGCCTTGCTTACGCCAAGCCAAGCCGGACCCGCCGCAATCGATGATGAATCCATCACAAAGGATCGGCAGCTAGCGCCTCAAAATCAGCTCTACATTTGGATCGAGTCATCAAACATGCGTGATGGGATTGAAATGAACACACGTGCTTCAAGTTAAATCAACAACCCCGCCGAAACCGGGGCACTCAGCATCTGCTCTTCTTGGACCTCTCCGAGCAGCGCATTGCCTGGGTAATCATCCAAATCCAGATCCACATATCCCCGGGACGCCCATTTCCTAGCGGTGACGAAGAAGGAGTGACCGTTGACGCTAGGGTCACTAAGTATCCGAAGTAGACACTGTCCTGCATCCTCAGTCGTGGCAAATTGGACCCCGACATTGGAGACGTGGTCAAACATCTTCTCCGACAGAATATTGGTTCGGACGTACCTAGCCAACAATTTATCCATCAGCCGTGGACGCCACAACTCGGGCAATAAAGAGGTAGGTGACATGACGTACCAAGGGGAAATCACATTGACCCGGGAGCCATAATAGTAGGTGGTCCTGCGGAGCGAATGCATGATGCCCCGCATGGCCCATTTGCTCGCGCAGTACTGCGGCGCTCGGGGACAGTCCAGGAACGCCGCCCCCGAGCCGATGAGAATCAGGCAGGTATCCTCCTGGTCAAGGGTGGGCGTCGAGCCGTTTTGGCGGATGAAATAGTGGGCGGCCAACTTGGCAGTGTACAAGGGGCCCTTGATGTTAATGTCGATGATGGCCAAATCCGGTTTGGCAGGCTCCTGATCCGGATGTGGCTGCTCGAAGACCTCATCCGGGCGATGGATCCCGGCGTTGGCCACCACGTAGGCGATGCGGCCGTTTGGGGAGAGAGAGACTGCTTCTGCAAAGAGTCGGACTTGGTCATCCCAGCTGCCCGCGTCGCAGGGAACAAATTTCGTCCTTGATAAGGGCAAGAAGGTTCTGGTCAGTGATGGACTATGCTCAACCCAGAGTGCTGAGGTGGATCCTACATTGGCAGCTCTGCCGCCAGGCGTTGTCCTTTCTCCAAGTCGATATCTCCGAAGCAGACGTAGACCCTAGTATATTACTTTTTTAGCTCCTGTGGGTAGATGATGAGCTGAGGTCTCAAGGAGTGTTCCATACCCGGCGGCAACGAGAGCCCGCACATAAGCTTCACCAAGACCACTCGCACCTGTGTGTGTCTGTAAGCGAGTGTAAAATTGCGTTATTGTGAGATCATTGTGAATCTAGTTACCTCCCGTCACAATGGCAGTCTTTCCCTTCACACTGCTGGCGCCAAAGTCCCGCTCACAGTCGACTGGCCCGGTGTGGATGTAAGGGGCCATGATGAATGAGGCTTGGTCAGTAGATGAGGACGCGTACAGCTTGGCTTATCGTGGGAATGGCAGAAAAGTCAAGAAGTTGCGTACACCCAAGGCAGCATAGTTCAGGGAGAAGAACTCTTTTTATCTCCCGCAGGCAATGCCATTGCTCTGCCTCCAGTGTACTTCCGGGTTGGTATGATCCATGGATTAGAGTCAGCCTCCCAGCTCGATAGCGCTGGGAGGGCTGTTATTGGTTATTGGTTATTACAATGGATCATTCACGCAGCAAAACAGGCTGGACTGGCCCCACATGTAAGCAACTTGCGTTTGCATCAAACTTGTCCAGTGATTTCCACCCCTGACTCCCTGAGGCCCTGACTCCACTAAGAACCAAGTGTCTTGGCATGATGACAATGTCCCTCACGATGTATCTATCCCTTTCAAGGGCCTTGGTCTGCACTCTCCGGTGGCAGATGATGTAGGAACAATGGCGTGCAAACTCCCACTGCCTCCAGCGTGCTTATTTATACCACCGGTCGACCCGTGCCTTGGATCAGAGACAGAATCTTTCTCTTCTTAACCTCAACCACTCTACTAGTCTTTTTTTCGAACAAGTAACCCGTCGCAATACCATGAAGATTCCAACAGCCCTTAGCCTGACCGCACTACTTTGTGCAATGTCGGCTACCGCCCAGAACCTCTCCTATGGCGCAGACAACTTCTACCGCAGTGACAGTGTCACCCTGAGGCCGATCACATTCAAGAACCAATTTCAGATGACGGTGGCCGGCAACCTCTTTGTCCCCCACAGCCGGAACCTGACCCGCGGCGGTGATGCCCCAGCAATCATCGTGGGCCATCCGATGGGCGCCGTGAAGGAGCAGAGTGCGAACCTGTATGCCATCAAGCTGGCGGAACAGGGATTCGTGACCCTGTCCCTCGACCTCCAGTTTTGGGGTGGAAGCTCCGGGGAGCCGCGGAATGCCGTGTCGCCCGATCTGTACGCCGAAGCCTTCAGCGCCGCGGTCGACTACCTCGGCACGCAGAACGTGGTCGCCGTCGACCGCCAGCGCATCGGGGCAGTGGGCATCTGCGGCAGTGGTGGCTTTGTCATCAGCGCGGCCAAGATTGACCCGCGCATTCGGGCCATTGCCACCGCAAGCATGTACGACATGGGCGCCGTCAACCGCAACGGGCTACGTCGCTCCCAGAGTCTCACCGAACGCCAGGCCATCATCAGGGACGCGGCACTGCAGCGCTGGACCGAGCTGGAGGATCCCAGCCAGACCAGGTACACCAGCGGCACCCCGGACGAGTTGACCCCCAGCACCAACACCGTCGGGCGCGAATTCTATGACTTTTACCGCACCTCCCGCGGCGAGTTCACCCCCGCCGGATCTGCCCCCGAGCTCACCACCCACCCTACTCTAACCAGCAACCTCAAGTTCATGAACTTCTATCCCTTCAACGATATCGAATCCATTGCCCCGCGGCCATTGCTGTTCATCGCCGGCGACCAGGCTCACTCCCGCGAGTTCAGCGAGGATGCGTATGCCCGGGCCGCCCAGCCAAAGGAGCTGCTCTGGATTCCTGGCGCCGGCCATGTTGACCTCTACGATCGGGTGGATCTCATCCCTTTTGACCGACTCACTCGGTTCTTCCAGACGAACCTCGCCCGTAATGGGACTGCTTCTAGCACTCGGTGAACCGCCAAAGTCTCAATCTAGTACGATCTAGCTACAGGTGCAGAGCGCAGTTTGAATATAGACCAAAATAAACTATCTGCAGGTAACCTGCCTAACTACGGGCATATGATTACTACGAATAGAATATCCTGTCTAACTCAGGTGCATATATATATATATGTATCTAAAAGTATATTCTGCCCAGAATAATTCCACGCTCAAACCGGTGTCAACCCCCACTGGTGTTAGCTCAGCTCATTAAGTTTGTCAAGTGTCAACCATGATAAACTGCCTGAAAATCAAAAGGGAAATACAAATGCTTCTGTGGGCGCCTCAACATCAGTGTTGAATATGAACACTTGGAATTACCTCGAGACTCCACATCAAAGCGAACTTCACCAGCATGAGATGTATGTATGTATGTGGAGTTAGCCTCAGATTCCAATGATGTGTTCAGAACAACTCCCATTTTCTGTGCAATTACCTTTGGTAAACTCCATGAAGCGAGTTTGCTTGTTGCTCATCCTCTTTTGTAGATGAGAGTGTGGTTCAATGGCTTCTTCAGCCGGGGGGTTGATATAGATACATCTGACGACCAAGGAACAACAGGCCGGCAAGCCTTGTCCCGGGCCTTTGGAAGGACAAGGAACAAGGCAAGGGAGTTCTTGATGGCATGTGGGACGCGAGGTAGGGACTGTATTAATCACCGGTCCAAGGTTCTGTTTGGGTCGGGCCCGTGCTCGAGAAGCAACAACAGGATATCCATATCCCCATTCTTGGCGGCAGTGTTCAATAGAGTCTGCCAGAAGTGGTAGAAGAAATTGACCGCAGCTCCATGACTAACCAGTAATTGGACAATCTCTTTACGGCGGCCCGTAACAGCCGAAACAAGCGCCTCCTTTATCTGGTCATCGAAAACTTCACTGTAATGGTTCTTCAGATCGGAAAGCAAGATGGCAGCCAGTTCTTCGTGACCCTGGTAGGACGCAAGCGACACGGGGTGATGTCCCATGAAACTTGGGATATCCTGCCGCGCCCCTAAGGCTAACAAGGCCCTGGCGAGAGAGACATGGCCATGGATCGCTGCCAGCGAGAGCAAGGTAAACCTCTCTGGATCTGCCATGTCAGGACTCGCACCCTTGTCAATGATGAAACGAACAATCGCCTCGTGGCCGCCCCTTGCAGCGAGCGACAGAGGATGTGGTCGAAAGTTCCGGAAATGAAGCTCCCTTTCCCTGCCAAAGCGAAAAACCACTGACCCCTTTCTAGGTTCCCCACGCGGGCGTTTGATGGACAGAGGTGCACCGGCATCTAGCGCCTTTTGGACCGTGACCATATTGCCATGTTCCGCAGCCCAATACAAGGCCGAACACTGGCCACGGACAACATTCCATCGATACAAACAGGGGTCGTAGATCGAGTACAGACGGTGACTGGCCCGGGCCAAAGCTGTAATGGTTGACTGCGACATCGCAAAAGAGGCGATGAGCAGCAACAGCTCGTCTGATAGCGATTCTAGGCGGGACATTAGTGAAGGCGTCGGTGTAGTAGGAGGCAAAACGCCGTTCTTCCGAGCGGGGACGCTCCTTAATATTGAGTTGAATTTAATTAACTTGTCGAAGCCTTGAGAGCATGCGTCTCGGATGTAACCCAAGATGCATCTGTGATGCTCAGGCTAAGCTCGCCGTATGTTCTAGGCTTTAGTCCAAGCTTTCGGGATTAGCCTAGCTGACGCAAGTCACTGATAGGCTGAAAATACCCCTAAGGTATGGTCAGCTGGTAATCCCAGCATGAGCTCATAGAAAAAAATTATTCTCAAAGGGTGCTTGTTGTTTATTTTGGGGGCTGAAAGCAGCTCGTGTGCGGTCATAAGTGACTACAATGATGCAAGTGATGAAGATGGGGATGGAGGAGTGGACGAGGGAGTATAGAGATGGAAGACTGCAAGATATTAGACGGCTACGGCTATCTTACGTGGACAGTCTCTAGGAGCGGCAAGGATAATACCTGCTATTACAGAGTATCAAGCGAGCTAAGAATCAGACCAAAGAGTGGGCAAGATACAGAATTTACCCCTTGAAGAGCACAAGACAGATACTAAGACCCTGAGGACGGTCTACACCCACATTTACTTCTACAGTCCGCTTGAAAGTAAGAGAAGAGGAATAGTTGAAAGGAAACGCGAGCATTTCATTCAACACTTAATAAAAAAAATAAAGTAACAAAATCAACAGATACAACAAAATCCCCCCATTCGGGCAGTGGATCAAGGAAAACGTCCCCGTCACTCTTGTCTGTGAACGAGGTAAAAACCTTGACCGGGATACATCAAGAATGACAAGAAACCCATATCACAAATCAGCCCTCCAGCTGTCTTTTTTTTTTTTGTGTCTTTTGATCAGCTTTTACCAGTGTTTTTCAAAGTTTCAAGTCTCTCTTTCCCTCTTTCGTCCCCAGATGAAACGGTCTCCCACGATGTGGTGAGATCCATACAACGACTCAGCAGGAGCTGGTCCCAGTGAGCCAGTCCATCCTTCATCCCCAGGAAAATAAAAAATTGTTCTTCCACATCAAGTGTGCTGAGAACTGTCAACTCTCATAGGAGCTAGTCCCCATAGGCTAGTCCTGTCTCTCATCCCCTGATGTAAAACTGTTCTCCCACTTCATGTGAAAAGAACATTCATAAAACGGATTTGATCACTTGGATCAGTCCTCTCTCCTCAAACGAAAAAAAGTGTCTCCCACTTCATGTGGATGAGACTACATCTTCCCCAAGGATCTCATGATGGGATGTTTCATGATGTCCCTTGACTGAGACTTCAAAAGTCTCCTCCGCTGGGATTCTCCCAATCCCTGGCCGGCGCCGGCCAATTTCCTTGTTCACACTGTTCTTTTACTGATTGTTCAGCCGGTAACTGGAGGACGAAATCCGATCAAAAGTTCAGTCGCTGCATCGGAGCAGTCGATAGGCGAAGGTAGACTGAGTTGAACGGAAAGGCTTGCCATAAGGTTGTGGTAGTTGATGATGTGATAAGATTTGAAAATGGAATTGGCTTGTCGCCGCAGATTGATGGCATCGACTCGACTGAAGGTTTCTCGGTTGTTGGATTGTGGATCGGTTGGATTGTTCCCACGATTTGAACGATTAACCACCATGTTGACGCTGCTAGCCCAAAGTGACCTTCGACAAGAGAGAGAGTCGAAGTCGGAACGAAGGCGACCCGGCCGACACCTATTGGGGCCCTCAATAGGGCGGCCAACAGTCGCAAAAGCATCGTTCAAATTGTGTGTGCAGGTGAAACATATTTTGTTCGTTGGTTTATTCTTTGTGATTGTGATGTTGTGGCTTTCTTGGAGGTTTCGTTTTTCCCGGTCAGAACAATTATGCGTTTTTTGTTGTTGTTCTCCCGTCAGGCATCACAAGCAGTCAAGCAATGGTGGGTGGGACGCGGCATTGCCATTGCCAACGTCCCGAGGTATGTCAGGTTCGCGGGGGTTTGGCGTGCCAGTGCCCAGAATGGACAATTTGCTGGGCTATCCTGGCCCCCCGGAGGTAAAAAAAAAGACAATTTAGAAGCAGAAGGGGGCACCAACCACCTGGACGCCGGTGGTGGTGCTCCCCTGAGCCTCGTCGTTCACAGCGAGGTTCAACATGGCTGTGGCCTGAAGATCGTCAGCAAATTGCTAAGAAAAGTAGGGAGGAGATTGGACTCACAATCCACAAAGCCCCTGAGTGAAATACTCAGCCCTCTATAAAGGTGTTAGTATGCTGATCAAAAGCCTCGATTTGGACCTAGGACAGGAACTTACCTCTTCGCCGAGGGGAGGGGCGTCTGTCATGACCACGTCTCTATCTTCTTCAGCCGGGGCCGTGATGGGTGCAACAAATGCGTCCCTCATCACAACGTCACCATCCCGGGTGCGTGTGAAAGCAGTACGAAGCTGCTGTGCACGACGCTGGTTGTTGTTGTTGTTGCCCGGGTGTCTAGGCGCCTATCGTTCTGTCAGCTTGATAGTCATAAAAGGTCGAACAGCAAAACACGTACGGCGTTTTGCCAAGGCTGTCTGTTGTTGGGCACATTGCCCTGCCGTCCGGAGTTGTTCCCACGCTTGCGGGTGTTCGCCCCATTCGGATTCGGAGTATTAGGAGAACGACGAGGCTGCTGGTTGGGTCGCTGACCGCCAGCGTTTCCTCCTCGCCGTCTGTTCCCACGAGGGGACTAGAGGAAGTCAGCTTTGTGCCTCAGGTAATGGACAAAAGGGGAAGTGAAGCTACATTTTGGTTGCGACTCATGCGACCCTAAGAGGCCAGTTAGCAACGAATACATATCACACCAGAGAGACAAACACTTACATGTCCATTGCGGTTGGTGTTACCGCCAAATTGTCCAGTTCCGTTCGGTTGGTGGCCATTGGAAGCAGAAGCTTGAAGAAACCGGGCCATGTCCCCGCCGAAAGTATTAAATCCGTGGGTGTAGGAAGCCATTGGGTTTTTGGTCTTCCTCGGAAAAAAAAGGTAATAAAAGAAGAACAGTTTCAAGAGGGTGAGGGTGATACGGAAGTTCTTTTTGGCGAATACCACTGCTACCGGCTCTGGTCGGTTTAGCTTACTCTCCAGAACGGATCCCTTTATTTCCTTCGTGAGTGAAAAAAGGTTAAAAAAAAGGTCAACGATTTGAAAGCAGATTTGTTTTGGCTCTTTTTTGTTTTTTGGAGTCCAAAAGTCTGAAAATTCAAAAACGGCTTGAAAAGCAACGCTCCGATTTCAGCCCCTATTGAGAGACAACGTATAGCCAGTGGGTGCGTGAGGTGAAGGTCTGCGGTGTGGAAATGTAATAAAGAGCTCTTGTGGTGTTCTTTGGTTTCTTCGAGTTGGAATCTGGAATAGTCACTTGATACCTGATGGTAGCAAGTAACTGAGCACACGGTTTGGGGCTGAAGAAGAAAAGAAATCAGAGAGAGTCGCGGAGCAGATTGACGGGCTTCTTATAGACGAGGGCAGCTCCAAGAGAAGATGTAATAACTCGTCGAGACCGTGGTTCAGAAAGACGGTTGACATGAAGGCAGCCATGCCTACCGGAGCTGAGAGTGCTCGAGATCATTCATTTTCTCAGGATTTGTGGGCGAGAAGGTGTGTTGTCACCTTGATTCCCCCAGATTGTATGGGTACCACATTTCCTGTTCCTGAATTTTCCGGGGAAATAAGCTTATCAGCGGGCGGATCTACTAAAAATAGCTTGTCAACCTGCATTTCCGCAGGGAATGCTCCAATCATATTCGACGCTTGGGGAGTTTTTCCTCAGGGCTTCTCGTTCCACTATTCTACATCTTTAATGATTGGTTGAAGCTTGAGGATTTGTTCTGTACATCTTACTTAGAACTATGTCTTTCCTTAGAAAGGAAGAGAAAGAACATACCAGCTCTGGGCCATCCAATCAACTGGTAGAACCAATTCGAAGAGTTTAACTCTGTTTTTTCGTTCCTGACTTTGATTTTTCTGCTCGCTGACCTCGTTGGAGAGACAGAGCACAGTAAGTCCGCAACGTCCAAGAGAGCTCACAGAAGCGAGTTGAATTGAGCAAGCTTTTACCAATCTGCTTGTTCCTGACTTTGTTGGCTCGTCTTCCTTATCGTGTTCAAGGCAAAAAGAAGAAGAAGAAGAAGAAGAAGAAGAAAGAGGGAGCGAGCACAGCTACCAGCTCTATGCCGTCCAATAGATCTCCTTGGAACATACTCAACAAGCTTTTTCCGTCTTTTCGTTCCACTGTCTGAGAAAGGTCTCTGGCTTAAAATAGAACGAAAAGACAGAAGGCCAAGTCAGGATCGTCCAATCGAACTCGCAATCAGCTCAGGAAACTTTTCGCTGTCTTTTTCTCACTTCTGACGTCGACGTCTTTTCGTCCAGAATCGCTGGGTCGCGCTTTCTCCCTCCGAATTTGCCACCTGATGTCTGCGAGAAAGCATTGGGTGTCTCAGCGCTCCCCTCCTCTCCTGCACCGCTAGTTTTGACCTTCTTCTTCCTAGGCCTAGCGATACCACCAGGCGACGAGGCAGAAGCGCTCCCGTTCGACGCAAGACTATCCCGTTTCCTCTTTTCGGGCTTAGCATCTCTCTTCTTGCGTCGCTCCTCCTTGATTTTCAGTCGCCGCTGGACTTCCTCTGAAATATCCTCCGTCTCTAATGCCACAGGCATCACATCTGCGACTTCCTGCTCGGCGCCGGGAATAGCTAGATCCAGCCGCTTGCGCTTCGAAGACCGAGAAATCGCCGCGTACGGCCGGTCCTCCTGCGCCTGCATCAGCTGGACCTCTGCCTGCATGACGTCCACATCCTCATCCGCGCCCTCGTCCACTCTCGCCCGCTTATGCTTCTTCACTCCTCTTTCTCTTTCTTTTGAGTGATTACTTCGCGCCGAGTCACTGTTGCCATTTCCCGCTGCCTCAGGTACACCCGCAGAGGGATTCCGTGCTTCGTTATCGTCAATTCCCTTCTCCCTCCCTAGATTTCGGCCGAAATCGGGACCAGACTTACTATTCATCTAAATGACCCATTAGAACCAAAGACAAATTACCAGAACAGTCTCAGAATAACTCACGAGCTGTTTCTTGATTACCCTGAATTGCATCACTAACTTATTCGTCTTTTCGGCCATCGAGGAAACCAGTCGGAAGGAGTCCCCATCGCCCGCGACTTGGCACTTCACACCATTCAGCATCTCCAGATGAGACAAGAGGACGGACTCATGCTGATTGCAAATCTTTGTTTTCGAGTTCCGTCAGTAAGGGGCCTGTTACGGTGTGTTATCTATCCGGCTAGCATGCATTCAACTACCCACCTCCGACCATGAGAATAGCTTGCGCTGAGTGTCAAAATTTTTTGACTGAGGATTCCCATTTGTTTCATCGCTAACGTCTTCAACGAATGGATTTAACGGGCGCTGGTGATTGCTTGATGGCATGATGGCATGGGCAGACTCTCAATTTTGACCCTGCGTTGGATTAAAGCCCGCAAATCCTTCGATGATCGACGGAACTGTCAGATAAGCCGAGGCTCCCGCGCCAAGGCTCCGCTACTGTCAGCCATTCCCATTAGCGCTCATTAGTGTCAGATGTGGAGTTGTCCTGCGAACCATGTCGCATGCACAATTTCGGAGTATCTATTGTCTAACTACACTTCTCATCACTGTTGCACTGATTTTTATTCACCAGCGCATATCGATCATAGAACTCATATCCAGATCCATTTTTGAGCTCAACATGTTAACGCCAGAATTAAGTGCTGTACTATAGTGATATCCTGACCTCCTGTGGCATTGTGAATCGTACATAACCAGATGCAAGTCTCATCTTCGCCAATACGCCATTTCAAAATATCAATCATGCTCAGACGCAGCCCAACAGTCATACAGACAGCCGCCCTCAGCACCCAAACCCCAGCCAACTACCAAGCACCAGGATCAAAATCGAACCGCGAAAGTTCTTTCTCCGCATCTTCGACATCCTTCTTTGCCTTCATTCGCATGTAGAAGATGGGACAGTCTCGAGAGGAGCAAATTACCTCGCAGTGCAAGCTACCCTGACAACGCTGGCATTGAGTCCAGAGCCGTCCGAATCGGACCTCGAGATCCGATACTTTGGTCAATGTCTTTGTGTAAAGCTCGCCAATTCGAGGGCGGCAATGCGTGCAAACAGCGCCAGCCATTTCTTCTTTACCTGAAAGAGGCTTCTTGCAACCCATACAGGTTTGGGTCTTCTTCGCAAATTTCATCAGGCCTCCCAAGGTAGGTGCCGCCACTGAGATGGACCGAGTGTGTTCACCAGTCAGAAGTTGATTGGCCTTCTTCTCACCAAGTATGGGTTCGAAAATACGACCCAGAGGGTTCGCCAGTTGGTTGTCAAGGTAATATTTTGTGTCGATCGGAAGGTTGTTCTCCAGAACGTATATAGGATCTTCAGACTTCTCGTAGTTCTTCGAGCCTCCAGCGCCCTTGACAATGACATAGGCCACACGATCACCGAGACTTGGCGCAGAGCCTGCGTCACGCTTTCGCATCCGCTCCGCGAGCTCAACGTGTGCCTGCTTGGCTGTGTAGTCGGCTTTGGAGAGCGCTTTGGTAATCACAAGCTTTGACATATCAATCTTGTTCTGCAGAAGATCTGAGATGGTTTCCTTGACGTAACTACGAAGCAAGTCAGCAAAGACCACAACACCGGGGGATAAGCCATCACTTACTCCTGAGCGCCATCGATGTCTCTGTCAATCAGAATCTTGTGCAGCACCGTCTCGATGACATTCTGAACCAACAGGCAGTTATCTCTACGGACGGTTTCAATACCCTTTGTATCCATTTTATCGAACTTGTTCGGATTGGTCCAGTAGAGCCCGGCGTATCTCTTCTTGTTGATTAGAAGATAGGGGAAGTAAACCTTCTCAAACTCGAGTTTAATGGGCTTGAGAAACTTGGAAGAGACATAATCGGCTGCCTCCTGTCCGAGTTTCATGGCCTCTTGCAGTTCAGTCACGCCAAATTTGACCATGACCGAGTCGGTATCACCGTAAATGACCTTGGCATCATGGGAGTAACCATTAGCGATAGTGTATCTGGCTTCAACCTCCTGCTTGGTCTTTTCAATCATTTGGCGTCCGTAACTAGTGGTACTACTCGCAATGGGAAGACAGGGCAGCTTTCCGACTGTAGCACCAGTGAGACCGTACACACTGTTGGCGCTGATCTTCAGGGCAAGCTGTCTTCCGTTCAGCACTGCTTTCTTGAAGGGGTCCGTTTCGACGGCCAGCTCTTTTTTCGCCCGTTTACGGGCAGCAAGCAATTCTTCCAGAATTTGCGATAGGAGACCTTTGCGCACTTTTGTTGTGCAGAACATGTCGCCGTTCGGAGTCACAATGTAGTCTTCATCTTTCTTGAGCTTCAGTTTCTCAACGCTGCTCTTGTTTAGTAGAGTCGTATAGCATAGGTTATGTGCTTGGATGATTGAGGGATATAGAGATGCGAAATCGAGGGTCGCAATCGGAACACCGTAGTACCCGCGACTTGGTTCAATAACGGTGGCACCTTCATAGTCTTGTTCGTCTGTCGACTTTATATTCGGGATGACAAGCTGTTGCTCAAGGGCTTTGCGAAACAGTTGACTAAGGAACTTGACTTGCTGGCCGCGAGAGAGGAGAAAGTTGAATGGTACACCCGTGACCCTCGCCATCTCAGTATAATTAACCAAGCACATCAGCTTGTCCATCAACCGTTGTGGCAAGTACGCATCCTTCAAACAATACACGGCTAATCGCCGCCTCGAGTCAGGAGTCCCATTGAACAATTCCGTAATCATCGTATGGTGGACATCCTCTTTCTGCTCCTTAAGGAACTCGTAAGAAACGGAGTTCAGCGTGTAACTTCGCAGCTGATAGTCTCTTTGCACCAACTGCAGAAGATCGAGCTGAATCCTTCCGTTAGTGTTTGTTGCCTTCGTGTCTCGATTACCCATCTGCTTGCTGGAAAAGTTTGTCGACGTCGCCTGCGACGCCATGCCTTTGAGACGTGTCCAATATGGGAATCCAGTGCATTTGAGATGCTTTGCCCGGTCCAAGAGATATGGAAAATCGAAGTTGGCGATGTTATATCCGATGATCACATCTGGGTCGACCTTCTCAAGGAAGTCGCGCCAAGCCATCAGCATTTTCTCCTCTTTGTCGAATTCCAAAATCTGCGTGTTCACAATCAGACTACACGTATCCAGAACGAAAACATTCCGAATGAACGGTTTCGATTCTCCATAGCGGGTGACAACGTTTGCTATCTGAATGACGGGGTCTTGATTCGGCTCCGGAAAGATGCCTTTGCGTCCGGCGCACTCGATATCGAAGGACAGGATGCGAAGAGGCGCCATTTTAGCCCATTCACCATTGGGCGGGTGAGATATCAAGTCACGATAATCGATGACGGCTTCAATCTGACAGTTTGACAATTTCTCCCGAGGGCTGAGCAGGCGGTATTTTCCGGCCTTTGCCTCCACCCATGACATACCAGCAATGTCCGTGTCAATCATGAACCTGAGAAGGTACTGGATATTGTCGAAGGTCAGAATACCAGCATCGGCGTTACTCCACAAGCCCTTGTAATTCAAGCCTTGCGCATTGTTCTCCAGCGCACTTCGGACCTTGCTGATGAACTTCGGTTCCGTGACTGTAATCTTCAGATAATAACTCTTCTGGTTTCCTTGAAATCCATAAATGTTCTCTCTCATTGTTATTTGAACCGACTGAATGACTGGTTGAAACTGTCCTAGTTTGCTCTCGAGAAAGGCACGGTAGGGATCGCAATCTTCCTTGGTGAAATTCACCGGCGCCGCGATATATAGGTAGTGTTGAAACCCCGTGACATGGAGCAAAACTGATTGCCCGGCCTGCATCGAAACCATTAGCAAACCAAGTCGACTGGCTGTGAGAGAACAAATCTACCTCTGTAACTCCGAAAAGTCTTACAGCTGTCTTTCCGCCGGTAATCGTTCCCTCTTCTGCGTCAATTTGCTGGAAGCAGATGTTATCTCTGGTCTCATCAAAGTCACCCAAAGGTGGCCGCTCCCATTGCTGGTCTTTTTCCGAGTTGCTATCTTTCAGCCCGTTCATGTCCTGGGTCAACTTTTCCAGAACTTCCTCTTCGAACTGGCTCTTCTGGGGCTGACTTGAGCCGAAAGATTTCCGCAGGCCATTCTGTGATAATGAATTAATTGCAGCAGAGGGTTGTGCATCGAGCTTTCGTTTCTTCACGGTGCCGGGGGTGTTCAGTACGGTGCGAGGATTATTCGTTGCATCACCCAGAACCCGCTTCTGGGGCATTGCGACGGCTTCAGGCATGGTGGCGAATCATACACGAAGTCTCGTAGTTCTGCGGATGGGGAGAAGGACCGTCAAGACGAGAGAGAAACAGGGGTTAAAGTGCTTTAGAAAGTCACATAGATGGAAATGTTATCGGCGGACAATGCGCTCCCCGATTCGGGAAGTCGTGTCTTGGTCGCGCCTCGACCGTGACGCTCTTTACGCGTGTGACAAATCACGTGATCTGACGTCGCGCCTCTTCCTAGACAAATTGACAGGGCCCTTATTTGCTTGCATTACTGGAAGCAAAGTAAAAGGGGTCGGGCTTTATCAAAGACGATCTCCAAACGATGCACCAGACGGAATATCATTGATTTTCCTGGACATTATAGTGAAGAATCGGTTGCAGCTTGCCTGCTTCAATGTCAGGTTGGAAAGCCAACTCCAAGTTTCTTTGATTGCATAGCATATCTAGGGAATCTTATGATCAATGAAATTTTACGATTTGGATTCAACATGCAGCCTCTGTCGCGAAGTACTCTATATTGCGATCACCTGTTCTCATGAGTCGTATAGATGCTGTTATACCCTGCCAGCGACTCCTCCTTCAAAGCTTGCATCTCCTTACCCTGGAACCGGTTCGGGTCCAGTGCTTTCTTCAGGGACTCGTCAACTTCTTCACCCTGAATCATCTTGGTCAAGAATTTAGCTGACCCAGCCGCATGAGTGACCCACACTGCAGCCGCCACATAAAGACCCTTGGTTGACGAGATCGTGCCGACCAAAGGCAGATTGTCCGGAGTCATGGAGAAAATACCATTGAACTTCTCCTTGATGGTCAAATTCGTCTCATCAGGGATCAAATTGCGGGCTCGCTCCAGTGTTGCATCGAATGCATCGACCCAGTCACCAACCGCAGTCTCACTGGGCTTGTGATAGAGCGGCTGGTGATCATAAGAACCAAGTCCATAGGCTGTGCCATGATCACGGGCATACACATGGTATTCAGGCCATCGAACAAATGGTGACTTGCGCGGTTTTGGCTCGCGCTGTTCGCCATACATGTATGGATGCGCAACAGGAATGACCGGAATCGGCACACCAAAATTACAGAGATTCTCTGACCAGATACCTGTGGCGATAACCACCTTTTCTGCTTTGACCAGTCCAGATGTAGTTAGGACACCATTTGCACTGCCATCTTCGTGAATGATCTTCTTGACATCTGTTTCCAAGAAATGAACGCTATTTCCGCGCGCCTGTTCTTGGAAAAATGAAGTGATTTTAACAGCATTTGCGGCCCCGTCGCTTGCGAAGTGCAATGCAGTCAAGATGTCGTTCTTGACAAGATCAGGAGCCAGTTTAGTTGCCTGCTCAGGAGACAGAAGTTCGGCAGGCAGGCCAACCTTCTTCGCCATGTCGTATCTGACCTTCAATTTTTCGACGCCCTCGGGAGCGGTTGCGACTTCAAGCCCTCCGATGCTCTCGAAAGCACCGGGAATCTTCTTGTATTCACTGACAGTGTCCACTGCTAGGCGTGTAAGAGCCTCCGATTCGTTGTATTGACCTATGAATCCAGGCGCATACCCAGTTGAACCTTTCAACTGAGAGAATGAACGATCGATGAGGACAACTTCATTGCCATTCTCCAATGACTCTGATAGAAAGTAAGCCAAGGCTGACCCAACAATACCACCGCCGACAATAGCTATTTTGAATGATGCTTCCGAGGAATCCATCCTTGCTCAGGGTATCTTCAAGACCTAAGGGATAAATGACACTTTCTGTACCATCAGTCCACAGACTCTCAACGGGGAGTCTGTCTCATTTTATGTTCATTCATGGTGGGGTTCGACGAAGTAGCGTCATGAATACGAGCTATACATAGAACTAGTTCGACGCCGACCACGGTGAGTACCCACAAATACGCGTGATTCCGACGACAATAGCGAGAGTGAGTCGAATATGAGTAGATCCTGCTACCGCTATTGCCGCTTCGATAACTCAACTTGATAAACTGTGCCATCTGGAATCGCCCTATTGTACTCCGTAGTCTGTTTTTGATCAGAGTATCGTAAATGACATTGAGGTGGCCTTGCGGCCTGAGGCAGAAAGTGCGTCATCCAATCTGACTTGAAAGTCCGAAGTTCGGCCAAGAATGAGAACACGTCTTTCTCGATGTCAACGGCTCGAATTTCTGCGAAGTGATGCATATTTCTTAGCGAGTTAATGGTTCATTCAATGCTAGGCCGATATATCGGACGCCTAGAGGAAAGTTTGACCCACTAGTGTCGAATTCACACGCCCTTTCTCTGGCATCTGGCTTTAGAATCTGATGGAAGCCGGCGGGAATTGACAGCCTGATCAAAAGCCATCCCCAAAAGAGGAGAATATTTACCACATAATTTACCAAGTGAACCCAAGACCATAGCTTCGGAAAAGCCCAGTGAATGGCCTGAAACTGGACTTTCCTACTCCGTCGACGAATTGGTGTTGAGTAAACATTCCTAGCAGGTCTATTACCGGGAGTCATTAATCATACACGATATACATTCGTGCCTGCTCTCACAATCCAGACCTCTGCTGCATTGCTACGCTGCCTATTGGCTCACTGCTACATGAGGCAGGCCATCTGTGCTGGCATGGCTCCCTTGTGGCCGTGAAATCACCACCCCTAGGCATTGCGACTAATTGTGTCCCCCAATATGTCTATGTTCAGACCGGCTTCGGAGATCTCGTCCTCGGAGTCTCAATCCAGCTCCGATGAAAGCGACCATGGATTGCTTTCAACAGCCTCAAGGAAGACCCCGGGTGAGTCTGATTCCGGGAATGGTACACAGACTGCATCCCTCGATAGGGAGCCTGGCACTGAAAGCATCCCTGAAGCATCAATGGATGTCCTAGATGTTGAAGCTCAGGGCCATACAGCATGGATCACTTCCGCCTTGCTCGAGTTCTACTGCCTCAGCAAAGCAACAGACATCCTCAATGCCAGGGAAGGCTCTCAGATGCGGTACACTCGCGACTCTCCGGAAGTACAGCATCTGGCCAAAAAGATGTATGCTCATCAATCACAGCTGCTATCGACACATGGAATGTTACCTGGGGGCATTGAGAGCGACGAGTGGGGAGAAAGAAGACAGACGTATCGCGAAACTCTTGATGGAATTGGCCTGCAGGCCCTCAAAGGGCTAAACTTAGACGATATCCCTAAGCAGACGCCGTCTCTTGGCACAACAAAAGATGTTGTTTTGGCTCCCAAAGCCTCAAACCGGATGCAAGTTCATGTAGAGACGGATTTTGCAAGGCCTGCGCAAATGAGGCGTCAATACAGTGGACTGTTGGGGTTCAGGAAGCAAGGTGCCGCAAGACACGACACGCACGCACCGGACCATCAGCCGTTCGCCCTCTTGGGTAGTTCGCCTGTGAGCTTCCCGCTATTCAGGCCCAATCCGCCACCACCGACTCCAGCTATATCTCGTTATGCGACGGAATTCTCAGAAGTGAGAGTCCTCGGACGCGGATCATTTGGCGAAGTCTATCATGTGAAGAATCATATTGACGGGCAGAACTACGCAATTAAGAAGATTCCGCTGAGTCAGAGGCGGCTTCAGCAGTTGCAAGGCGGTGATCAAAATCAACTTGAAAGTATCATGAAAGAGATACGAACGCTTGCTCGACTCGAGCATACGAATGTTGTCCGATACTATGGTGCATGGGTGGAACAGGCTCATATATCTGAGCTTCTTCACTCAAGGAATATGAGTGCAATGGAGTTCCAGCACGAGGAGAGCCACAGCGGGTGCGTGACTCAAGGATCAAACGACGAGCAAAGTTTCGGGGTCGTATTTGAACATTCGGAAGTTTCTGCGGTTGAGGCACGCTCAATTTCTACGTCTGCTGAATCCGAAGCCGATGCTCATCATCGTTCGCGACGTCGCTACAGTCATGCTACATCGTCGTCGCGCTTCTCAAAGAACAGCCTCGCACGGAGTCTTGAAGACGATGAGGAGGTGGAGTCGATCCCTCGCGATTTCAATTTTGTGTCTCATGGTCAACTGTCGACGTTCGGAGGCACCGATGATGATATCTTCACCGACGGGCTCAGTTACGATGCGTCCAAGCTGCAGATCCAGCGAAGGCGTCAAAATGGGTCTCAGCTTCCTGCCGTCGTTCTCCACATTCAAATGTCTCTGCATCCTATTTCCCTGAACGCCTATCTTAGCCCTCACTCTTTGGGTCACGCAGAACATAACCATGCGCCCCCACGGCGTCACTGCTTCCATTTGATACCATCGTTGAGATTAATGCTACGTATAATCTCTGGTGTGGAATATCTTCACGCAAAAGGCATAATTCATCGTGATCTGAAGCCGGCAAATATTTTCCTCTCACCGTCGGATAATGGCAAATTCGATGGGTGCCCTTCCTGCGTCGCGAATTACGGGTCCACACCTGATTACTGTCATCCCAGAATAGGAGACTTTGGTCTTGTCGCAGATGTATCGCATCTCAACGATCTTCCGACCCCCTCTTTTGAGGAGGGCCCAAAGCTCGAACGTGTCGTCGGAACGGAGTTCTACCGCCCTCCCTTGAGCACTAATGGAGAGAAGCACTCTAAGGGCATGTTCCAAACTGGAAATAATCAATTCAGTTACGTCATCGACGAGACCCTTGATGTTTACGCTCTTGGAGTTATACTTTTTGAGCTCCTTTACCGTCTGAACACTAAGATGGAACGACAAATGGTTCTGACCGACTTAACAAAAGGCATGAATCGCCAGTCACCGGCCAGAATTTGCATTAGAAACACTGTATTCCCAGCAGACTTTGCACAGAAACTCGACATGGGGTCGATCATACTAGACGATGGTGTGTCTGTGGCCGACTCGTTGATGAGGTGTATCAGCGGCATGTTAGAGCCCAATCCTCATCGACGATTGCGCTGTGCGGATATCAAGAGAGCTCTGGAGAGTATTCTGGATGCTGCTGCCACGCAGGATCCTTCCTGTTGTTGATGCTCTTGAGCAAAACTGGCTGAAATCTTTCTTCATCAGCGCTATAATACTCGAGCCTACAGGCGCCTTGGTGTAAGGAGGAATGCAATAGAGGTGAACATATTAAGATTATGACCCCTGTATAAATTACAGATATGTATATTGAATCCATTTAGGGGAGTCGGAACTAATGCTACAACTCTTCTCTACTTATCTTTTTATAAATCTGAGTCAATGACGAGCAATGAAGACGCAAGACAATACTACCCACATTAAGTCGGACTGGAGAAAATACACCGTGCTCTATAACATAAGCGAGCTTCGGGCCTCGGTTTCATGGGATTTGTCTAAATGCATCAGTCAGATACACAAGCCATCTTCCCCGCATAATACGGGGATCCCCACACTCCTCCCAGCAAAATATGTAGCATTATACCTACATAAAAGGATAAGATAAAGTCCCTTCACCTCTTGATTCAATTGGCAATCAACATCACTCGCGCTCTCTCTCTTCCCCCCATAGCCCTTAGCCCAATTGTCAGAAAAAATGCCACGTACAGATCGCCCACCAACAGCTCCCTACAGCGAACCCCTTCTTCCCCAACTAGACATCAAAAACCCTTACTACACAGACCTCCACCACGAGCTCCGCGCCTACGTCCGCAACTACGTAGAAGCATCCATCGCCCCTCACGCCCAAGAATGGGAAACAGCGGGACAAGTCCCCGAGGAAGTCCGACGACGCCATTGCGACCTGGGGTTCGGGATCGTCCATCCTCTAACCTCCGAAGAAGACGCGGCTGGTATCTCATTACCTGGTAACGTTCCCCGTGAGAAATGGGATACGTGGTGCAACCTTATTGTGACGGATGAGCTTACCCGGGTTGGATTTGTGGGTGTTATATGGGGTCTCGGTGGTGGAAATAGTATCGGGTGTCCGCCTATCGCGAGGTTCGGGACAACGGAGCAGAGGCGGAGGTGGTTGCCTAAGGTTGCGAGGGGGGATATCAGGTTTTGCTTGGGGATTACGGAGCCTGATGGTATGATTTTTGATTTTTTTCCTTCGTGCAGAGGGGGGCTCGTTCGGCTGACGGGGATACTAGCTGGTTCGGATGTTGCGAATATCCAGACGACTGCAAGATTAGATGGTGATCATTACGTTGTCAATGGGGCGAAGAAATGGATTACAAATGGTATCTGGGCTGATTATTGCACTGCTGCTGTGAGGACAGGGGGACCGGGAAGAGGCGGCATCAGTTTGCTTGTGATTCCTTTGACTGCGCCTGGGGTGACTCGCCGGCGGATGCACAACTCAGGCGTCAATGCCAGTGGTATGGCCTGCTTGTATGGATACTACCATGAAATGATACAAAGCTGATCGGTCAATTAGGGTCGACGTTTATTGAATTCGATGATGTTCGGGTCCCAGTTGATAATCTAATCGGGAAAGAAAACAAAGGCTTCCCCATCATTATGTCGAGTGAGTTTTGTCCCCGGGAAAGATATCCGAGTACTGACGTTGTGAAGACTTCAACCCCGAGCGCCTTACGCTTGCATGCGCCGCTTTGCGGTTGGCTCGTGTCTGCGCAGAAGATGCCTTCCACTACGCAGTGCAGCGAGAGACCTTCGGCGCGCCTTTGATTCAAAGACAGGCAATACAATCCAAGATCTTCAAGTTCGGCCTCATGATTGAGCCCGCGTATGCATTTTTGGAGCAGCTCGTCAACGTCATCGAGCTCACCAAAGATCGACCCGCTGACGATGTGAAGATCGGTGGAATGACGGCCTTGCTCAAGGTGATGTCCACCAGAGCTCTTGAGAAGAGTGTTCGTGAAGCGCAGCAGATCCTAGGAGGCGCTGGGTATAATAAGTCCGGAAAGGGAGCACGGATTGAGCAGGTTTCCCGCGATGTGCGAGTTCATGTAGTTGGTGGTGGTAGCGAGGAGATTATGATGGGCCTCGCTTTACAGGAGGAGACCAAGGCGCTTAAGACGAGGAGGCAGGCTCTTGAGAAACGGTCGAAGCTTTGAGATGGTTACTCGGTGCAGATATTCTGTTTTCCCTATCAGATGCTTCAAAACTCACTACAGCTCGAAGATTTAACTAGCCGCAAAAGCCATATCCAAATGCTGGCAGTGTCCATGTGTCAGCTAGATCCTAACGTCTTTGACCGAGCCCAACACTATGAAGTGAGATCGATGCCCAAGAAAGAAGCTGAGTAAAATGCAAGTCTTCAGGGCATGAGCGCAGGGGTTCAAACTAACTCCCAAGGATTGATCGATTGACGCTCCTCCTCCAGCTGTTGCACTCTCCTATGAAGTATGTTGAGGTGGGCAACGATGTCTTTGATAGCCTGCTTAAGCAAAGGCAAATCGTTGATAGTTTCTGGTCCGAGAGGAAACGGAACAACCTTGCCATCGAGACGTGACCTCGGAGTAAGGGTCTGACTGTCGGATTCCTTTACCTGTTCCTGAACATTCGTCTGAGTATCCTCCCGTATAGGGACACCCTGTCCTTCGTTCTCCTGCACCTCCTCCGCTACGCTGCTATTGGTGGTATCCGTCAAGGAATCTTTGGAACTGAGCGACGAATCTACAGATTCATCATCTTTGTGTCCTCCTGGTGCGATCGTTAACAAAGTGAAGCAAACTCAGGACGAAGTTTAGGGTTTCAACTTACGGAGGTCACAGTTGTGTCTCCTACTGAACCGACAATTTGCACATGCTCCGGCAAGCTTCGAGTTCCCATCTGGGTTAGGTTCAACGACACACATTCTCCAAGTGCCTTTATTGTCTTTGCAGAAGCTGCACGGATCAGCCGCCTCAGTGCCGCGGGTTTGGACCAAAGCAGCCGTCAACGCCGTGCTGTCTCTCAGTGGTTTGCGTATAGGTTGGCCGTCTCCGTCTATCTGCCAGTCCAAGATACGAATGGCAGGCAGTTTCTGGTATCGCTTCTGCGCCCCGTTTGGGTTATATCCTGCAATGGGCAGGTCGGACGCGTCTACTCCCGTAATAAGCTCGTCCTTTTCTGGAAATGAAATGTCAGCCTCTTCAGAAACGACCGACGAGAGAATCACAAACTTATACCATCCTGAGAGCCCAAGGATGCTTCACCTTTGCCACGGCGACGAGGCCGGTATGGTCCTTCTTCCTCGCTTTCTGGTTCTGGGCGCGGTCGTTTAGGTGTAGCTATTCCGAACATACGAAAGATTTTGGGAGCTGTCGGACTCAAGAGGTCATGGTACTCTTTCTGCTTTGTTATTTTCCTCATCTTGTGCCACAGACTAAAAAGTGGTAAGGATATGAAACTCGTGAGATATTAGAAGGTGATGAGAAACGCCATCCAGTGAGCACCAGCTTGTACACATAGCAATGTTGCCGCGGCGTCAGAGTGAGAATGACCAACATAAACGCACGACCACATCTATGATGTGAATTATCCTTTGAACAAGGCACATAGGAACATCCCTGCTCTCTTTATAACCGTGTCTCTGGAAGAGCTATGATAGTCAATATAGGTGAGCAACCAAGCATATTTAGTCCAAAATTCTGAATGTCTCGTTGATACACCTGTCGCGTCGAATTTTACTGGTGCTGAAAAAGCTGACGAGGCCAGCGCCGGTACAGTAAAATCTCGTATATAGTCTCTCAGTTTATCCGCGTTAGATGAAAGGAATCAATAGTTGTAGCGCGTACATCACTTCAAGGAGTTTTACACACATGGAATGTACTCATAGTAGCACTATTAAGATCCGGCCTTGACTTGGCTAAAACAGATAGGGAGTCTCACATGCTACCAATTCCACGCGCATTTTAATGAAGCCTAACCCCTCTTTGAATCTAGTAGAGAGCCGTTTATCTCAGTTCGCAGGATCAGGAGTCTGGCTATCCCAGCTGAATGTGTATGTCGTAGCCTCACGCGTGGTGTACACAGCTCCTAGAACCTCCTGGGAAATAATCAGTCTCTTAAGATGGAGAGTCTTTGATAAAAATTAGAGGCACTTAGAAAATTACACCATTAACTGGTATGGAAAAAGGATGACCTTCCTACTGCTATTCAAGATACTAACAGTATGGTGGAAGGATGGAAGCTTCTTTAGCCTAAGGATCCATGCATTATCTTAGAAGAAGGGGTCTAAGGTGCCGAGCTAATCATTATTTTCAATATGATCTTAAATACTACAGGCTATCCCTAAGTCATGTGGATCTTCAAGCCTTTCTCCTGTATCATCTCCTACTTAAGGATAGACTGGCTGACCCAATCCGCAAATCCATATCCAAACCACCCAATCCGCACTTTGGGCTGGATGGGGGTCGACCCTGATCTAACCCACATAGATATGGGTGGATGGCATCCAACCCATATGGATATGGATAACCCATTAGGTGCACATGACCGGCAGAATAATAGATATTCATGATATTCTCTTAAAGAGAGATCTTTCTACCTACTAAAAATAGTATAGTCTAGATTCTTAGGTCTTTCCGCCTACCAAAAGTAGTATAATCTAAAATCACATGTATAATATGGGTAGAATGGTTATCCACAACCCAACCTGCATGGATATGAGGGTGGGTTAGATAGGTGGTGGATTAACCCAAAACCCATGTGGGTTGGATTGAACCCCCTGCAGATCCATCCAAACCCAACCCACGACCAGTCTACTTAAGGATTCAAGGTGAGGAGAGAAAGCTAACTAAGAAGAACTAGGCTCCATTCTTCTATAGCTACCATGCTAATTCAGAAAGAACTAAGCAAGCACTTATATTTTATTTACAGTTTTAATCCTCTTTAAGTGCTTAAATGCAAAGTTAATACTAGGAGTTGTGACCAGTTCTACAGGGCAGTATAAGCCTGGATTTTCTATCACTGCCACTACTACATCAGGACCCTCACAGGGAAATGCATAGGGGAATAAATTTCCTGCTAGTGCCACTCACAGGATAGTTAGGACTCTAATTCTTTATAGGATTTCCCTGAATACTACATATAACGATGAAACAGTTAGCCAGCGGCCAAAAACAGCTACACTTGACGCCGTTTTGCAAGTCCTACTAACACTTGGCCGTCCTTGGCGTCACGTGTAATAACTGCATGCCTAACAGCTTTTACCACCACGGCCTAGTGCTATTTAGTTCTCCCCCTGTTTCTTGTGTGCCTGGTCCCTGATGTTTAATCATCATGCTGCTGCCACCTGAGGGCTGGTTCATCACTTAACCATACCTCATTTCCTTTGATGAGGGAGCCATTTTTAGCTCCCCTCACAACCACCTTATTCACTCTAATTCTATAAAGCCCATAATAACTATGGGACTCTCCCACTTCCCCTTTACTTTTGAGTAACTTCTATATCATCACCTGCATTTTTGTCCTTTATGTAAGGATCTACGTATCAGGGTAGATGGCCTGTTGACTAGGTAAGAATTGGTGACAATAATCAATGGAAGAGGATGGTAGAGAGTAGTAGATTATATGAAATAAAAACTAATCCTTATCTTCTTGAATACCAGATAAGGGGAATACTATTTATCTTTGCTGTCTATCCTAGATATATTTAGCAATAATTTGAAAGCGGCTTAAGGTATGAAAATAGGAGGTTGCAAATAATTAGGAAGCAAGGGGTAGCTATATAATTAAGTAGCTAGGCTGCAGCTAAGCCTTTTTAATTATACCACCTCTAGTTATAATAACTATCCTTAGTTAGAGTTATATAACTTTAAATTTTCCTAAAGAAGTAAATAATATCATGATAGTTAATATAATATAATATTATTAATAGAGATAATTAATTATAGGGTAGATGTAATGCTTCTATTATATTAGCTTTATATATTTTAAAATTTATTATATTCTTTGTTATTATGTACTATAGTGTGGTAGTAAATAATATTATTATAGGTAATAACTATAGTATATTTATCTTAATTACATCTTTATTTATATTTTCTCTTCTTTCACCTTTATATATTAATGCTTCTCTTTTATATTATAGTATTTTCTTTAGTATTATAGCTATTTTTTATTTATTAATATCTAACATCTAAGTTCTCCTAAATCTTATAATATCTTATTTATTTCTGCTATATTTTGCTTCCTCTTTATATTTCTTACTGTTAAGTTTTGTCATAGCTAATACTATTATTTATAGAAAGTATTAGTGTATATATTACCTTTATACTATATTAAAGAACTTTAACCCCTAAGGGGGTCTTCCTTTTAAAGTTAATTATAAGCTTACAGATAGCACTTCTATAAAGTATATCTAGTATAATGCCTGCTATTCTCTCTATAAACCTATATATTATGTTAGTCCTATATATTATTTTAGTATTAATAGCTGTTTCTTAGGCTGTGCCTGGTATGGCTGGGAATGCTCTTAACCTATCTACTATTATTTAGACTGGCTGACCCAATCCGCAAATCCATATCCAACCCGCCCAATCCGCACTTTGGGTTGGATAGGGGTTGACCCTGATCCAATCCGCATGGATATGGATGGATGACATCTAACCCACATGGATATGGATAACCCATTGGGTGCACGTGATCTAGGGCCTTAAGGGACTGATAAGCTTATCCAACCTAATCTAGGCCTAGGTAGGGATATATTTTTATATATATAGATAGAGAATAGTCATATCTATCTATATATAAAATAAAAATATTAGATTTACTAAGAGAAATTAGAGTTATGGTGGATTTTATATTTTAGAAAATATTGCTTAGGACAGTAGTAATAAGAAATATATATCTCCGCACCATTTTTCATCCCAACTTTAGGAAGCCCCTATACCCCCTAATTAAGCATATTTCAGCTTATAGGATAGGTAATATATAATATTTATATAATAAGTTATTATATTAATAAATAAAATATATAGATATCCTAGTGGTGTGGCTAGAATACTAGAAAAATGGGTGGTAATTAGAATACTAGGGGTCACCTGACTAGGTATTATGGATATATCCATTATCCGCAATCCAACCCGCATGGATATGAGGGTGGGTTAGATAGGTGGTGGATCAACCCATAACCCACATGGGTTGGATTGAACCCCTTGCGGATCCATCCAAACCCAATCCACGACCAGTCTACTATTATTAAATAGTATACTAGGTTCTTTAATCCCTAGTATACCTGGGACCTAAGTCTTTTTATAGACTTTTTAGTTACTTTTCTTAGGCTTATTAATGCCTTTAAAAATATAGAGCAGAGCTATTATTAGTTATATAATATTATAAGAAAGAAAAAGGAATAGCATGTAAGTTTCTAGGTTAATTTATTACTATAGTACTATCTTAATACTAATATTCTTATAGAGTGATGAGTATAATAAGTTCCTTAAAGGTTATTATACTGAAATAGCTTATATTTAGTATCTAAATACTAGGGCTACTGTTAATAAATAGGCTGTATATTATTTAGCTAAAGCTCTTTAACTTATGCCTAGTAATACTAGGTATATAGCTTAGGCTGCCTCTCTTCTCTTCTTTATAGAGGAGGTTAAGGTGATTAGCATCTATTTCTATAGTAATAAAATAGTAGTTACTAGCTAGACTTACTTAGCTAATATTAATTAGACTTTTCCTTTAGTACTTAAGGATATTTAAGTTAATATTATATTCTACCTTTATCTATTATACTTAGCCTTAGCTAAGTCTTCCCAGCGCCTTTGTATTAGTTAATAGTAGTAATTCTTTTCTTATATTTCTATATTGCTTCTTATGTATTAGTTATATTATTAATATAAACCTACTAGTTATATTCTAAAGGCCAGTCCTTCTATTTAATTAAATAGTACTATTTATTTCTAATAATATGGTTATCCTTAATCTCTTTAACTTCCTATTTATTATTACTTTTAAGCTCTAATATTAGTAGTAATTAATCATGCTTTACCTAATTCTATAGTTCTAAGTATAACATATAAAATATATTATAAATTTAATTATATTTTATAGGTAAAGTAAGATAATATACTTATAAACTAACAGCACCTAGCATATAAAAAGGTCTAATAAAAGTAGGAGCTAGCTTCTTACTTAGAACCTTTAACTTAAGATTCTTTATTAATAGCTCTACTAGTTATCCTTTTTCTAATATTAACTCCTTATAATATTTATTATAGTGCTTTACTTATATTTTACTAGCTTTATACTATTATTCCTTTAATCTTTCTTAAAGATCTGAAAGTTTTTATACTTATGCTGTTATAGCTGGAATCTCTCCCCCTATAGTGCTATCCTTAGTATTAATATAAAAGTCTAGA